CATACCCTTTTCGGCTTGGCTTGACATATTTCTTGACTACGCGCTTTGTCTTGTAAGATATGGTAAACACCAAGAGGCATATGAAATTTGTGAGGCAGCAAAAGATGCGGTCGTATTCTACCACTCGAGGGAAGATATGTTTTTAATCCACGTTTGTTGGTGTGGTATGCTACTATCCCATGGCTCTCCAAATTCCATTGCTGACGATAGCCAAAGCTTGTGCAGTTCTTGCAAATGATGAAGAAACTTGCGTAACGGCATGCAGATACTTCATGAAAGATTATCAGTTTACGACCGATACGTACAGAATGTTCGCCGCATTGACGAGGCTATGCCAGTCACCAATATCCTGGTACAGCTCTGGGCCGACACAGAAATATATGCTCAGGCAAATTAAAGCTATGGACTATGGACTCGTCAATGATGATGCAAGGCGGAAATTTTTCTCTGAGAAGGGCTCCTACTCGGCCCAGGACGAATCTGGTCGCTTGATAGTCAACAAAGACATGGACATCGCACTGCTTATGGTGTATGGCCATATTTTATACACTGGGACGAGTTACGCGTATGCTCTTAGTAAGTTTTCGGTGACTGGCTTGAGAAACTTCAATCGTAATAACGAGGCTAGATTATTTCTTCAGAGCTTACGCCTTGGATCCTGAAAATCCTATGATAAAGCTCAGTATTGGCCTTGGTTACGTTCATCATGGCTTGAAGCGCCAGTCGGAAAATCGGCAGTTCCAGATAATGCAAGGAATGACTTTCCTTCTTGACTATTACAAGTCTCGCAGAGCCTCAGATAAAGCCGAAGAACGCCAAGAGGCGAGTTACAACGTTGCGAGAACGTATCAGATGGTTGGCCTCTCACATCTTGCCTTACCCTACTATCAAGAGATTCTTGACGAGGCTCAGTCTTCGGAAACCAAGGAAGAGCTGGTTTTAGACGCCGCATTTAATCTGCAAACCATATATTCAATGAGTGGAAACATGAGAATGGCCGACTACATAACCTCCACTTGGCTACAAATGTAGCACTCATTATTCTCCATAGCCTCAAATATATAAAGGTTTAACTTGTACAGTAAGAGCTAGAGCGTGTCTATTGAATCGATCGAAATGATCATGATATTGTGGCAGTATGTGATCTCAGTGAAACCGAATATCAACAGTTTGTGTTCATCAAAAAACAGCAGACACGCAGTTTCGTATAAAATATATATTCCATTCAAGTATATAGAACTATGGATTCTTCAACAATCTAAGGAGAAGAAAAATGCCACAATTCAATGTGATTGTGTATGTAACCTCAGCTGATTCCCATATTTTCAAGGAGGTCGGAACGACTTCTCAAAGCTAGGCGCCCAGCAACGGGTAGAAAAATGATCTCCGCACAGCGCGAAAACAACCTCGTCGACTGTGACAACAAGGCTGCCGTTAAGTAATGTTTTTGAAGCTGGCGTTAGTTTAGAAAGAAGAGAAAGGAAGGGAAAATTCAAAAAGGCAATAAATAGTTGTGACGGTGCACAGCCGAGGAATGGATGCATCTGAGGCTAAACTACTTTTGTCATAGCGGCTCGTTCGACCACCAAACCAGATCTGGCCCTTGCGTAAACTTGCCGGCAAGCTGTCAGTCATTCTGGTGAACGAAGCATATCTATCCCCACGTAACAACAACTTCCTCCCAAGGAACCAACTTGGCACCGGGTGCACTGCAACACTTATACCTCGTCATATTTTCTAGTCAACTCTACCATTAGGCCTTCCGTTGGACAAGGCCTTCCGATACAGAGGGAGAGCTGTGCACAAAAGCCAAAATGGACCATGAGGCACAGAAAGAGCAATGGGGTGAGATGGAGGACCAGGATGGGATCCGTCTCAGTTGGAATGTTTTCCCCAGCTCGCGCATGGTGAGTGAATACCTCAAATGCTCATGGCTGGAGATTTGACAAGAAATAGGAAGCTTCAAGACTCGTTGTCCCGATAGGCGCATTGTATACCCCTCTGAAGGAGAAGCCAGATACGCCTCTCCTCCAATTTGAGCCTGTTACTTGCAAGCCTCCTTGCAGAGCTGTTCTTAATCCCTTCTGGTGAGCTAATTATCATTATTATCGTACGAATCGTAGTTAACTGTTAAAATAGTCAAGTTGATGTGCGAGCGCGTCTTTGGATCTGTCCATTCTGTCTCTCACGCAACGCCCTCCCACCACACTATAAGGATATCACGCAAAATGCCATTCCTCCGGAGCTTCACCTCACGAACACTACCATCGAATACCGACTCTCCCGACCTGCCCCAAGGCCGCCAGTTTTTCTTTACGTTGTGGACACCTGCCAAGAAGAAGACAGTCTTTCCGCGCTGAAGGAGAGCCTTATTATGAGTCTCAGTCTTTTGCCAGAAAATGCCTTGGTGGGCCTTATTACGTACGGGACCATGGTATGTGATTAGCTCCCCTCTATAAATTACCGCCGTCTAATAGCTACTAGGCTCAAGTACATGAGATTGGGTACACAGAGTGCGCAAAGTCATACGTTTTCCGAGGAAGCAAAGACTATTCGGCAAAGCAGGTACAAGAAATGCTAGGTCTGCTTTCCGCAGGACTCAGGCCCGCAATGCAACAGCAGCAGCCCGGTAGGCCTGCGCCAATGGGGCCAGCTTCGCGATTCCTTCAACCTGTCCAGCAATGCGAATTTCAGCTTGTTAAGGCCCTCGAGCAATTGCAGAAAGATCCATGGCCAGTATCCAACGACCGGAGGAATCTGCGTTGCACCGGTGTGGCTTTGAGCGTAGCTGTGGGTCTCATGGAAACATCGCTTCAAAATGCAGGAGGACGAATTATGCTTTTCGTGGGTGGACCAGCAACTGAAGGCCCAGGACTGGTAGTCGGGCCAGAGCTAAAAGAGTCAATCCGATCTCACCACGATATTGACAGGGACCAAATCAAATATTACAAGAAGGCATTGAAGGTAAGAAGCTGCTGCGATCTTCTCAAGTCCATGGGCTAATTTTTCCAGTTTTACGATAACTTGGCCAAACGTACTGCACATAACGGCCATGTCATCGACATCTTCGCGGGTTGTTTGGATCAAGTTGGATTACTTGAAATGAAGGGGCTCGCAAGCTCAACTGGTGGATATATGATTTTGACTGACAGCTTTACGTCGTCTATGTTCAAGCAGTCCTTCGTTCGGGTGTTTGAAAAGGATGCAAACGATAACCTTTTGATGGGCTTCAATGCGTCCCTTGAAGTCTTGACGACAAAGGAACTGAAGGTGACGGGCCTAATAGGACATGCGGTTTCCATGAACAAGAAATCCACGTCAGTCGGTGAGACAGAGTGTGGCATTGGAAACACATGTTCTTGGAAGATGTGCAGCATAGATCCAAGCTCCAGTTACGGTATCTACTTCGAAATTGCTAACCAGGGTGGCCCGGCTCAACACCAGCAAACGCCACAGAAGGGGATGTTGCAATTCCTTACATACTATCAGCATTCGTCAGGCCAGTTCCACTTGAGGGTGACTACAGTGGCCCGGAACCTGAGTGGCCCTGCTGGCGACCCAGCTATTGCGCAATCCTTCGATCAGGAGACTGCGGCAGTCTTAATGTCAAGAATCGCTGTCTTCAAGGCGGAAGTTGACGATGGCCCTGACGTACTGAGATGGGTGGATAGGATGTTGATACGCCTATGCTCTAGATTTGCGGATTACCGAAAGGATGATCCATCATCCTTCCGCCTGGAAAAGAACTTCACCCTATACCCACAGTTCATGTTCCACCTTCGCAGGAGTCAGTTCCTTCAGGTGTTCAACAATTCGCCCGACGAGACTGCCTTTTACAGGCACGTGCTGAACCAGGAGGACGTCAGCAACTCGTTGATTATGATTCAGCCAACTCTGGACTCCTACACCTTCGATCAGGATGGCAGCCAGCCGGTCTTGCTTGATTCTACCTCGATCCAGCCCACACACATTCTCCTTCTCGATACCTTCTTCCACATTCTCATCTTCCACGGAGAGACGATTGCAGAGTGGAGGAAAGCTGGTTACCAGGAGCAAGAAGGTTACGAGAACTTCGCAACCCTCTTGGAGGAACCGAAGGAAGATGCAAGGGTACGTTTTCCGATGACTGTCGTTAAACTCTTGACTATGATGCTAACGATATTTAGGAACTGATCACCGATCGATTCCCCCTTCCCCGTTTCATTGTTTGCGACGCTGGAGGCTCCCAGGCTAGATTCCTCCTCTCCAAGCTTAACCCCTCAACGACCCATACGACTGGTTCATATGGCGGGGTTGGCGCAACAAACGCCCAGACGATTTTCACCGACGACGTCTCTTTGCAGACATTCATGGATCATTTGATGAAGTAAGTAGAATAGTCTCCGATTATTAAGTTACATGCTAACACAATACTCTTTAGGTTAGCGGTCAGCGGCACGAACTGAGAAAGCATAAATGGCATGAAAGGCAGGCAGGCTGAGGGAATTAGATTATCCGTTCCGGCAACTACTGGCGACATCAAAATCGATTCTGTAGTAACTGAAGAATTGCAAACCAAAGATTAGTCAAATAGGAAATATAATGGGAATCAATGTTCATTGTTTGAAGCGTATCGTATTCGTGCGGCCCGACCCAAATGTGTGAGAGACAGTGTAGGCAAGAATTGATTGCAATTTTCACTACTGGATATCTATTTTATTTAATTTATGAGCACATTAAAGACGCGTCTCCTGGTCCATACTACAGGTTGAAGCTTGATTTTCCTATCATAGTTATCCTCTTCACACTCACAACCATCAATGAGATCAGAGTCTTGTCCTGAGTACTCGAGTACTTGTGATATTCGCCTATTCCCAACTTAGTCTAGCCCTGCATTCGGAAGCGTGGCCTGACTTCAAAATTTGTTGCTGCCCCAGGCATCAGTTGATCGCTTATTCTACTCTAGCGCAGCCCACAAACCCTAACAACCAAAACTTTCGAGTGAGAAGACGACGACGACTATCAAGAAACCACCAGTAACGACCCATCGCCCAACGACGACACGATGGTAAGCCCATTCCATTCCGAACCCGACTGCATTCAATCTCCAGAACCTTTTCTATTCCACACGCAACTCCCCCCTCTCGACAAACCCAGTTCCATGGCGGGAGGAGAAGAGGAAGAACAATTGGCGAGAGAAGAAACACACAGACGGATGGGCAAATGAGACATGATCATGAGCAACGCTGACCACCGTCCCTACAGGTTCGATACGCAGCCACCGAAATCCACCCGGCGAAGTCGGCTCGCGCGCGCGGAGCATACCTCCGTGTGTCCTTCAAGAACACCCGCGAGACCGCCCAGGCCATCAATGGCTGGAAGCTCGAGCGTGCCGTGAAGTTCCTCGAGAACGTCCAGGAGCACAAGGAGGCTGTTGCCATGAGGAGGTACGCCGGCGGAACCGGTCGCGCCGCCCAGGGTACGTTAATATTATCCCCTCTTGTGGTGGAGAATTCTGTTGCAGGAATATTTTGCGGAGCAAGGGACTGATTGATGTATAGGCAAGGCTTTCGGTGTCACCCGCGCCCGCTGGCCCGTCAAGTCGGCCGAGTTCCTCCTCGGTCTCCTCAAGAACGCTGAGGCCAACGCCGATACCAAGGGTCTCGATACCGGTAACCTCGTCGTAAAGCACATCCAGGTCAACCAGGCACCAAAGCAGCGCCGCCGCACATACCGTGCACACGGTCGCGTAAGTAGCCCCTTGTATCCCGGCATCAGCAAGCCAGGAAAATCAAAGCAATAAAACTGACTGTCCACTTTCTAGATCAACCCATACATGTCGAACCCCTGCCACATCGAGTTGATCCTGACCGAGAGCGAGGAGGTTGTGGCCAAGGGAGAGGCCGTCGAGGGACGCGAGGTGCTGCACTTGAGCTCGAGACAGCGTGGGGCCCGCCAACGCGCGGCCATCACTGCTGCTTAAGTTAGAGTAGAAAGAGAATTTTTCCAAGAACGGGGCTGGGATTGTGAGTGAGGCGCAATGACTTGGGCTGGGTGCGTTCCAGATCAAAGGTCTGTGTACTTCAGTAGCATATGGCAGGGTATTGGTCACGCATATGAGCTCGTTTTGTTCCTTTTTTGGGTGTGTGTTTTTTGTGACGGTGATTGCTGTGATTGCGATTTGTGACTTGTTGGCTTTCCCTTTTTCCATGCAGATGCAGGGGTTGTGAACTGCTGTATAGCCTTGTCTAAGAATACAAATCGACAGCCACAAATCGGCAAGAACAACAAAAGGTAATGTTATTCCTTATTCCAAGGTACCGTATCCGCTCGCTCACCTGAATGATTGGAGCCCAACAATCGTATCTCACAAGTTAGGTATTCCAAGGCAAAGTATTCTTTAATCGCTTTGTATTCTTTCCTATACACAGTAATACCAACTATATCCACTCCACATTCCTTATCATCTTCGGAACACTTTCCTCGTCACCATCCTTCCCCCCCCCCCAATTCCTGCCCCCCATACATCCAATCCAATACCTGCCCATCACCTTCCCAACCCATGTCCTGACGTGCTCAGCGATAAAACCACTCCCAGCGCTAATTTGCCTGCTGGAGGTCTTCTCGCAGATTAGCTACCTGGTGCAGACGCGTTACAATTCGTTGGAGGGATGACCCCACACGCGAGCAGGTTGTGTGGATGACACGAAACGCAAATGGTGGATCTGGCGGGTAGGGCCCAGCTCGCCATCGTGGGGGGATCGGATTGGTATTTTGGTATCGACTCCCAAGAAAGGGGATGTTATTGAAGGCAGAGATGTCACGGGATGATACAGCAGTAATATATCTCAACGCAGACAAGGGCGTAGCATTTATTCCGCTAACTATCCATCATCAATCATACCCCCATCAAACCCCAAAACGCCCCCATCTACCCATCCCTATCGCCATCTAATCCAAACCAGGCATCTCATCAAAGATACCACCCACAACGCAATCTAACTCCCCACCATCTATTCCAAGCCCATCCATCAAACCATCTAATCGTCACGCACCCCTCAGCGCCTCAGCGCGCCAATCCCTACTCTCCACCCCCGGCATCACACACGCTGCATGCCGAAGCTTACTCTTCTTACTAACACTAACCGCACTATCCGTCGACCCAAAACTCGACGTCCTCGTAATCCCCGTCGCAGTCCTCTTCAACCTCGTCGGCGGCGACCAAGCCCTCAACAAGTCCCCCGCTGAATGCCGATCCTCGGCTTTGAGCTCAATATCGACAACGCTATCAATGGCCTCCTCATTATCGCGCGCCGAGGCGCCGTCAAGGAAGGGTTCGAATGCCCAGCAGGCCTCGAGGCCGGGGAGGAAGACGGGGGAGGAGGCGAGTTCGGACCAGGAGAGGTAGTCATTGCACATCCCGATATAGAGGTCGAGGATTTGTCCGTTATGATCTAACGTCGCGCAGTGCGCGGTCAGGAAATCCATGTCATAGAGACTACTATCGATCAAGTTGGGGGGGAGCTGGCGAAGCATGGGGAGTCCCGTGACGTGCTCGGCGTCGCAGATCTTGGCGACTAATGGCATCCATGGGCGGCCTTTGAGGAGGCTTCCGAATTCATTAGAAGTAGCTGTGACGAACGAAGCGCTGTCGTGGCCGGGGACGGCGACGACGCGGTGGAGACCACGTGAGAGGACGCGTTTGTAGGCCATGGTGTTTTTCTCGAACGGGAAAGGTTGCGAAGCCGTAGGCATGAGGGAGATATGCACCGTCCACGCCTTCGCGCGACTAGAGCGCCCGGAGTGGGACGAGCGTTGAGAGGAGCGCGAGCGTTGAGAGGAGCGCGAGCGTTGAGAGGAGCGCGAGCGTTGAGAGGAGCGCGAGCGTTGAGAGGAGCGCGAGCGTTGAGAGGAGCGCGAGCGTTGAGAGGAGCGCGAGCGGCGAGAATGTGGTTGCCGCGAAGGGGTCATGGAGGGGCGCCGCGAGATGGCGTTCTCGATGCGGCGGGGCTGGGAGGTTAGGCCGTCTACACGGTCCTCGAGGGTCATGGATGCGTCGTCCAGATCGATGATGCGGCTTTGGACGGTGCGGATGTCGTCCTGGGTTGCGTGGCTGGTGTCCATGAGTGCGTCTATGTAGTCTTCGTGGTAGCGGGTTCGTCTATCCAGAGCGCTGAAGTGCTGCCATAACCCCTCGATCCCGCGGTAGACATTTCTGATTTCCGAGTCGGCGTCGAAGCGGCCCTTCTCGTTGTGTTCTTCCAAGGCGCTCACGCGGACGGTCAGGTGGTTTTTAGCTTCCCGCTCTCTCTCTAGGAGTTTCTCTAACAGCACGATGCGCGCCCGCATCGTCTCGACCTCCTCCTTATCCGCCAGGTTCTCCTCAGTTGGGGCGGTGAGGTGGTAGACGGCGAGGTGGCCGCAGTTACATGAGCTGCCGGGTGTGCATTTGTTCAGGGAGAAGCCGACGCAGGCACAGCGCTGGCCGCGGACCTCGGGGTGGAGAAGGAGGTAGCGGCACTGGCCTTGTGGGAGGGGCGTTTCATCGCCGTGGCTGGTGGTGGACTGGGGCCGGTGGACGGGGCTGGGCGGGTGGGACATTATGATTCGTGGAAGAGTTGCTTAAACAAACCGATTCTATGGCTCCAGAGCCCGAGTTGATGGTCCATATGGTATATAAACAGCGCCGGCGGTGGTGGTGATAGTAGAGCTTGGTAGTCCTCTGACGGCGAGAGTAGTAGTCCTTTGGTATGTCCTGGCAGCAGGCTGGGGAACGGGGCGTATGTATGTATGGCGTGCTGCTGAAAAATGGAAAGTCCGTCCGTATCTTTGAAGGCGGACGTGCCGAAAGATAAGGGAGATATCAGATACGGTGGGCGTACAATGATAACCAGGACCACCGGTGAAAGCCACGAGTTGCAGAGACGACGAAGATAGTCGGGGAAACAGGGCATACACAGCTACATATATAGATTCTCTGGTGGCGGGAGATGTGTATATATGTATGCGATGTGAGTTAGTGGTGGTGGGGTTTGTGGAGTTTGTGGAGTTTGTGTAAAGCGGGATATCAGGGCGGACCGTCTATTAAGGTATAAAACGCTCGGGAATAGACGGCGGGACGAATGGGTAGTGTACAGAGAAGTACGTCGCGGCCAGCCGGGGCGAAGTGGACCACAAGGAGTTGAAGGGGATGGATGGGATGGATGGGATGGGGTGGGTGAGAGGGAATGAATTGAGGGCAGGAGGCGGCGGGGGAGCGGGAGACGGTGATGAGGCCAACATGAGACGGGGGGGGAGGGGGACGAGGGAAGGGGGGGACGAGGGAAGGGGGGGACGAGGGAGGAGGGAGGAGGGAGGAGGGAGGAGGAGAGGGAGGAGGAGGAGGGGGGAGGAGGGACGAGGAGGAGGGAGGAGGGACGAGGAGGGACGAGGAGGAGGGAGGAGGGACGAGGAGGGACGAGGGACGAGGGAAGAAAGGACTGACAGTGAGGGCCGAGAGGGGGAAAAAAAGTGTGCAACGTTATACTGTACACAGTTCTATGTATGGTCTTTGTGGATTTTTAGTTGGGATTGGGAGGGGGAGGGGGGCGGGAGTGGGAGTGGGAGTGGGGAGTGGGAGTGGGAGTGGGAGTGGGAGTGGGAGTGGGAGTGGGAGTGGGAGTGGGAGTGGGAGTGGGAGTGGGAGGGGGGGGAGGTGGGAGGGGGGGGTGGGAGTAGTGAAGGAGGAGAAGGGAGGATGGGGAGGATGGGGGGGAGGATGGGAGAGGAGGATTGGGGGGGTGTAGAGGGGGAAAGCGGGGAAAACGGGGAAAACGTGGGAGGATCGAGTGGGATGTGGTGTGGGCGTGGGAATAGGGAAAGGGGGCGGGAGTGGAGTAGTGTAGTTACAACGGGGGTTACAACGGGGGTTACAACGGGGGAGTGATTGATTGAATGGTGATAGAATCACTCCCACTCTATTACGATGTGGCCAATCACAGCACAGGCTGTGGCAGATGTGTCTGGCTTTTTACTACGTTCGGCGGAGTAAAGTATGGCAATGTACAGAGTACATCAGGCGCGGGATGAGACACCTTTCTTTACTTCTTGTGTTCCACCCACCCCCACTACTGCACAGCTGTATACACCCCCCCCCCCCCCCCAAAAAAAAAAAAAGGGACAACAGCCACTTTCCCGTCCAACTAGCCCCACGGGACGACCCGGCCGGTTGTTCCTCCGTTTGAATCAACAGAAAAAAGCTGCGTCTCTTGCTTAGTCAGCCAGATGGCCATGTGTGGTCACATGGTGCATCACGTGGTGCATCACGTGTAAATCCAACCACCAACACACTCGGAGCCTCATTTCCATCCAGCTCTGACATCTACTTTGTTCATGTGCCAAATTAGGAACAACAGTTTTGTCGTACTAAAATGTCCATTGATTCTATTCAATCAATGCGCCTACTTCCTATTGATACCCAGCTTCGCCTATTAGCGGGCTTGCACAATATCAAGTTACGCCTGCTACCCAGCCGTCACAAGACCAACAAATCCTCACCCACCCGCTAAGCGCGACCTCCCTCCCATTGTCCAATTCTATTGTCCCCGCTTCCCAGCCGCGCGTGAGTGGCTAGCCGCCATTATCACAATGGGAATATCAAAAGCCTCAAGACCCTCACAATGTTGGAAACGGGGCACACAATACGCCATTGTAAGTCATGAGTGAAATCTATACTCGACCTCGAGTCTGTGAGGTAACTTTTCTCCTTCTTCTCCTTCTTCTCCTTCTTCTGCTTCCCCCCAGCTTCGTTTTTATATTGACCCCGGATTTCTCATATTCGACTCGATTTTTCCAAACTTGCAAACATTCGGACTGCGTCCATTGATAACCTACTTTCTGATTCCCATTCTCAAATTTCTCCTGCGTCGCCCAACCGTCACATACCTGTTCTTCCCAATTTTCCTCTCAGTTCCTGGAAACTCGCCTCGCCAAGATGTCCGAAGGACCAGCTGCTTCGGGTGTGGACAAGAAGAAAGTTGTGGTCATCGAGTATGACAAAGTGCAGGGGACGTACCTGGAGCTCGGCTTCTGGGACGATGATATCGGCGCCGAGAAATACGCCGAGCTGTGGGTCCACCCCTATCCGAAGCCATATGAGTGAGCCCTTCTAACAATCCCCAGCCTCAACAAGGGCCGAATCCGCGAGGAACCCTGCCTGGACTTCGACGGCAACCTCCTCCGCATCCATGGCCAACCCGACACCGCCATCCCCCTGAAGAACGAGACGTACGAAACCCCGTATCCGAGATCATCTGTCTCACCTACTGACCTGGACCCCCACAGCATCTTCCGGTGCTACTGCACCTCCGACCTCCAGAACTGCCGCGCCTGCTTCATGCGGAAGCGCACCGTCTTCGCCGAAGGCCGCGCCCAACTCGCCCGCTTCGAGGGCCACGCCGCCAAAGCTGCCGCCCGGCACTTCAAAGCCAAGGCCGGCGTTCTGGAGGCCGAGGTCACGACCCTCAATTCCTCTCTCCGAGAGCGCGACGCCGAGCTCGAAGCGTCCAAAGCCCAAGTCCTCGCCCTCAAGGACTTCATCGCCAACCGGTTCACGGGTGCGGTCCAGTCTCTCGGAGCTGCCCATCCCGTGGCCGAGTTCCAGCAGGCTGCGGACGCGTTCGAGAAGGATGGCGGCAACGTGGGTCGAAGCACGCAGCTGGGCGCCTTCGGGCTTCCAGCAGAGCGTGCTCCCACGGCCGGCGGCTGCAGTGTTGGTGGTGGAGTGCTGTCTGGGTCTCCAGGCAGCGATGGGGATATCACCGATTCGGACGATGAGGATGTCCAAGACGGCCTTGCTCGCAAGCGCCGTCGGATTTCCTCTGCCGGTCCGTCTCGGCCCCCCACCTCCACTGCCGGCAGCAGCAGCAGCCGTCGTCGCCCCTCCTATTCCCTCGGTGCTCGTCGCAAGCATCCCGTTCCTTCTTCTTCTCTCTCGGTGCTCGCGGTACCCGCTAGCTCGGGACCCGAGCAGCCTCTCATCCGTCGACGCAAGCTTCCGGCCTCCGCTGCTTCTGCTCTCGCGGTTCCCGCTAGCTCGGGGCCCGAGACGCAGAAGCCGGTCGGTCGCTCGTCGTGGAACTCACGGAGCGCGAAGCTCGATCTCGATGCGGTGCCGATGGTGCCGATGGCTTCGATTGCTGCGGCTGTGGCGGAGGAGACTGCCGTCCCTGCTGCTTCCAGTTCGCGGAAGCGCAAGGCGACTTCTCCTCCTGCCGACACCGAAGCTGGGCCCTCCGATTCCCAGGAGCCCAAGTCCGCCTCCGCCGACGCCGACACCGACGGCTCCGACTCCGATTCCGACTCCGATTCCGACTCCGACACCAACACCCCCTCACCCCCAACCAGGCGCATCACCACCTGGACCGAGCACGAGAAAACCTGCCTGATCGCGGTGATGTTCTCCCACGCCGCCGCGGTCAAGGAGGGCCGCCATCGCGCGGTCTACGACACTGTGCTCTGGGCTGTCATCCGGAGGCAGTTGATGGCCGAGCACGGGATTGATCGGGGTGGACAGGCGTGTCGGATGACATGGAATCGCGGGCTCCGGAAAAAGACGGGGCTGGATGAGAGGTTGAGAAGGGACCCGAACAGGATGGCAACGAGCTTGCAGAAGAAGACTGGGCAGTGAGGGTGGTGGGGTTGTGGGTTGCTGTTGCTGAGTCTGGATTGTTTTTGTTGTTTTGTGATTTTTGTGATTTTATGGTAGTGGTGTTTCGGTGCTTGGTGCTTGGTGCTTGGCGCTTGGCGCTTGGTTTTTGCTGTTTTTGTGGATGGTGACCGTTCTCACGTTTTGTCTTGTGGTTTTTCCTTTTGTTTTTTGCTTTTATGACAAGTGCTGTCTTTGCGTCTGCGAGTGATTTTTTTATGCAATAATTGTATCCAGACTCGGGTGTTTTGCAATTGCTTTTTTATATGCCTGGATTCAGATGAATTGAACTGATTTTAAATTTACAAATAAATATGCAATTGTGAAATATCATAATGAATAAAAAAATCACTGTGAGATTACCATAAAACCATTAAATCCCTCAGCATGGATGTTTTATATCAACTCCATTTTAGCAGAGTTAAATGGCTTAGTTCTCGCAGCGCACGCCATGGCTCGTTCGACAGATCCTGCTCCGCTCCGCATCGCAGGTATACAAGGATCCGGAACTGACAGAGAAGCTGCTGGGCACAGCAGGATTAGCTGCAAACCGTCTTCATCGAGCCTGGCGGACTGTCCGTCGACCTGCAGCGTGGCCACGCATTGAGTCTGGTCGAGGAGAAAAGCCCGTTGTCGTACTTCGATCTCGTGGCTAGCATGATCGAGGCAACTGATCACTCTAAAGGGGAATGGGACATGCAAAATGTACGAGTCTGTCATACTGCAGGCCCCGCGCAATGGCCCCGCGGTGCATTGCTTTGCATCAGCGTGGGATTAATCAGGCATTACCTTCCATTTCTGCATCCTTATCTGCCACTGTCTATTAGATCACATGAAAACTACAGTTAAACAGACCTTGACGTGCCTTTCGTGAGCTGGGCCTTTGGCACGGAGTGTAACGTCGTCGGCCAAGAAAATTAGTCTCGGAGGGTGGGATATTGGATCTGCAAAAGTATCGTTGCACTAGATTAGATATTGCGTCAACAAATCAAAAATTGCGACTACTATATCATTTTGTCCGAACAAAGAATGTTGGTGGAGGTCACCAGCCACATATCAATGCTTATCCCAACTTCAATCAAAGAAGCACAATTTGTCTACTAACTGCCACTGAACAACCATAAATTCACGGAAGCACACCACAAGTAGAAGACACTATAACCACCGAAATCAAGCCTATCAAGCTCTGGGGCCGCGGCCCCAATCCACCAAAGGTTGCCATCGTCCTCGCTGCTCAAATTCCCAAGTCAAAGAACCTGCATACCTCGCCATCAACCCCAACGGCCGCGTTCCCTCAATCCACGATCCAAACACCGATCTGACCCTCTGGGAATCCGGTGCCATCATCGAATACCTTATTGAGAAGTACGATTCGGGTAGAGACCAGATAATCTGCCCGCTTTGTGAGTGCATTCCTGAGAACATACCGGAGAAAATGAATCCCCATCCCAGGCTGATCTGACTGTTGATGTAGTTGACGCGCAGTACGCCCGTCAGTGCTTCGTATGTCGGGTGGATCCCAGCTATTTCAGCCTTGTCCCCAACGACCACTAGCTTCAAAATTACCACCCTTCATTCTTTACACCTCTCCTGACACTTCAATTATCACCCAAAGATATTGCTATTTATACTTTGGATATATCCACTTAGCCAGCTATCCACTTCCCTTGGGGACGAGAGGTGACATAGCAGCACATATCAGAGCGCCTGCGACTACTGCCTACCTGCCAGCTCAAGCAAGGCCAACGGCTCGATAAGACACAATGGCGACCGGCGACATGGACATCGACATGGATATCGGCCAGGACTACTCGAACCTCGACATAGAACAAGTATGAAAGCCATACTCATCCAACAACTGATGTCAAGCTATGGAATTACACGCTGACATGTGCCAGGACCCCCATGATTTCAACCAGATTGAACTTCACCCCGACCTCAGCGCTGCGCCCATATCAACCAACCCGACAGATTCAGATTTGGCGGTTGTTATCCCGCATAAAATACACCTGCGCGGCTTGGATGACCTCACCACGAAGGATATCAAATCATTCGCGACGGAGTACTCCACTGGCCAGCCTCTCGAGAGGGTTGAATGGATTGATGATACCTCCGCAAATATAATCTACCAATCATCCGAAGCCGCATCGGCCGCTCTCCAGGCTTTCGTTGTCACAGACCAGCTCCCGGCAGCTCATTCAACACTGGACATGCTCCCAGCCAAGCCATTCCCCAATTTCCCCAACGCGCGCTTGATGGTCCGACTGGCGGTTGAAGGTGACAAGAAGCAACCAGGCGCACGGGAGCGAAGCCGATTTTACCTCCTCAACCCAGAACATGAACCCCAAGAGCGCCATCCAAGAGATGACCGTGGCAGGAGGGGCGATGGAAGGAACCGGTCTCGTCGCGAACACTACAGACGCAGAGATTACGATGACAGGGAGCCACGGAGGCGCGGTGATGACTTTGATGCAAGCATGTACGATGATGAACCTTCGCCACCTCGAGGCTCAAGGGAACCCGAATCGGAGTCTGGAACTACTTCTTCTGGCTACAGGAACCAGCGGAGCCAAAGGGTGCGGTTTGCAGGTGCTGGAAAGGAGCTGTTCCCGGCGAAGATCAGTTCAAGAAGCAACGGAAGGCTGCGCAATCGCAGCGCGTCTCCGATGCGTGATAATGAGGGGGATCTGATACTCGACGCGAGACCTGCTGGCGGGCGTGATGGCCGTGCTCGAAGTGCCAACGATGGCGGTGCGAATCGTCGCAAGGCGCAGCTCATCAAGGAGAGACTCAGGGCATCTGCATCTGAGCCACTGGAGCTGTTTCCTCAGAAAGCTGGCGCGAGGGCTGGTGGAAATGATGCGGCGGATTCTACAGCTGATCTCTTTGCACACAGGCTTCGAATTCCCATGCTGGATGGCGCCAGCGACAGGTTACCAGCAAAACCAGACTTGATGTCCAGGATATCGAAGCCCGGTGCATCTGATGCTGATGGCCAGCCGAGCTTCAAAATCAAGGGCACGGCGAGGCAACCTGTGCAGGATGGGTTTTCGATCAAGGGAATGGCGGCATCGGGGCAGGAGCACAGGGAGCTCTTCCCGGGGAGGGCGGGTGGGAATGCGGGGAAGGAGTTGTTTGCGGATAGGCTGGAGGGGCGGGGTGGGAGGAGGCAGAGGGCGGAGGATACATTCCGTTGAAGCATTGAGAGGCAGTGCGTGCTAGGAGAGAGTATTTTTATGATAGCCACATGGCACTGCATGGGTGATGGATAGTTGATATATACCCAATAGCACAAACAACACTACTCTGACCACTAGTCTATTGAATTATGCTTGATTTCAAATTTGATCGTGTATGTGCTGCTCCTGGCATCTTGAAGGAGTTATGTTACTATAGAAATATACAAGTGTAGTTTAATAGGGTGCGATATATACCATGATATAGACCATGATATAGACCGTGATACTGACATTGTTCTGTGTTACATACAATAGCAACAACTTGGGACGATGATAAGCTTCAGGATAGAAGACTGTGTTGATTAAATCTCCATGAAATGTGCTTAACTGTAGTATCCAAAATCGGATGCTGTGTACACAGAAAGTAAATAGAGTGGGACACTGCCCTGGCCCTGGTATTCTACCTCGTGTACTGTGCTCTCGAGGGACTCTGAATTGAGTGAAAACTATATAGCTTCTTTCGGGCTCGGAGTTGTCTTTGAGCGTACTTCTGGGAATCCTCGGTGGGAAGGAGCAACCCATGGGAGTCTGGAAATCCTCGATGGGAAGGAGCAACCCCTATGAGAGTCTAGAAATCCTCAAGAGGAAGGAGCAAAGGAGCAACCCAGGGGAGCTTAAGATATAGCGCGGACCTTAAAATTGTTAAAATGTAATGGTGTAAAACTACGTTAAATATAAAAGTTGAGCTTCTTGAAAACCATCCCGGATTAGTCTGCTAAGTATGCGTGTAATTGCTCACTACAATATGGGGTGTCCAGCAACCCAGTTAACTGGGGGTGAATACTCACAACACCCACAACCTCATCCACAACAACCTCCAAAAGTTGCAAAACAACACACACCACCACTCTATGAACACTATAACACCACGAATAACATTCACATCAACATAAAATGGTCGGGCATTTCCAATTTCCCCCCTGGGGTTCACCATTCCTGGACGCAGGCCACACAAACACACCCTCCTCGTCCTGGCATTCTGAACGTGGACTAAGCCCCCACATGAGAGAGCTTGACCACACCGTGTACAACCCAACCGCAGACCAGCTCGCCGAAACACTTAAAGTGATCATGATGACGAATGGAACCCGTGAGCCTGTCCCAGCAGAGTACAATTCGTGTATCATGCAGGTGCTCGAGGGTTATAATATCAATCTACTTGAACTCCAGACAAAGATAAAGGAGCTTGGGGAGGCAAAGAAGGAGAAAGAGGAGACGGCCATGGAGCTTTGGCACAAGACGCTGGAGTGGAAGGAAGAGGAGAGTAGGTATAAAACCGAACTTAAGAAGTTGGAGGTTATACTGGCTAAAACGCCACGGGGTATGGAGCTGGTGGCTATGGCGAGATCGCAGAGTGTTCTACGCAGAAATAGAAAGAAGGCCGAGGTCAAGAAAGCGGAAGACAAGGGACAAGCGGACAAACCGGACGGCGAGTATGTTCCGAGACGTCTAAGACCAGGTGAGTGAACAAAGCCGGGGTTCTCATCAATAGAATTTTGGAACCTTGAAACTGACAATACTCTAACAGGCTTCAACATTCTGGTGCCCAACTTTGCAGAGAAGAAAGATGCTGCACTAACCAAGTCATTCATGCCACGCTACCGTGCAAACTCTCTATCCATGGGATTTGGTTCCGTGTCCCCACCAAGGCCACAACCCGAAGAAGTTGAAGAACCTGCAAAGGGAAAAGGGAAAAGGACGATGCTGGGAAAACTAACCCATGCCGGAAAGAAGAGCGCACTTCGCCTTTTCCACGGTGGTCAGTCACCCAAGAAAACCTCTGAGGAGTTCCCCGACAAGTCGCCGAAGAAGTCACCCGAGAAGTCTTCGCCGAAAAAGAAAAAGAACGAAGGCATCGTGCCACACAACTATGAGGATCAGATGTGTACGGGTGATTTCAACCTCCATCCAAATGCAATCCGCAGCACCCGGAGCCTCTGGGGACACTTTGGCCGTAGCTCGAACGTTAACCTGGCATTCATGGGTGGTGACGCTGCTCGAAGCGCCCCTTCTGGGCCACCAAAGCTGAAATCGCCAAAGAAACTGAAACACAAAGCCAGTGTGTTTGACTTCGAAAAATCACCAAGGAAACTAAAGCACAAAGCCAGTGCCATTGATATTGAGAAATCACCAAGAAAACTGAAGAACAAAGTCAGTGCGATTGACCTCGAGACGGCAGCTGCCGCAGCCAGGGCGGCCACGAGAAGAACGGCATGGCTATTGCCAGAGGACGATGAGAATGACCTGGAGTATGCTTGATCGGATGTGGAGAAGGAGAGATGTGGAAGTACCGTACAAAATATACCCGGGATGGAGGGAGGATGAGGATGGCGCGGTTGATATGAAATCCCAAGGAGCTTGATAGGGTGGGTGGAGAGGGTCTGAGGATGATGCAGGCAGAGACGATATCCAAGCAGCTTGACAAGAGGGAATGAACCAGATATGAGAGGCTACGAATGCCAAATTTCGCTGACGAATGTTGCTTTTAATATACGAATATGATGACTGACGTCTAACGTTGCACCTACTATGGCATCTTCCGATTTTTCCGCGATTATCCCACGTGACAACACACTATTTCGATGTTTTCGACTTCCTTATTCTCTTTCCACATCTTGGCTACTATCCTTACCCCACAAATGATGGCGTCGCGGGGTAATCCGTCTCATATTTAGAGTAGGTTATAGTAGGTCAAATCTGGGGATGCATTGCAACCGCCGATCATTCTATATTAATTCTCTTGGCTTAGAACGACGTTCTTCACCAAGGGGGCTCATCGCCAATTGCTGGCTGTGTTTTTTTTTCCAACGTTCGTTTGTAACGATCGCCTGAGGTCAACCCCATCAGTCTTTGGATCAGCTAGCAGCCTATATTGCAACATATTCCCTTAGTCTGCCAATTGCTACTCTGGGATTGCCCTTAATCTATTCTGATATTAAGTTTTAAAACTGCCGCCCCTTGCGTACGCGAGGCCTCACTTGATCGTCTATTCATTATAAGACGTGGACAATATCTCGAATCGAGGACGCATATATGCCCTCCGTTGACAACAAAGTTCATGACTCCATAGCCCGGATGCGAATAGGCTCCGGCATATTCGTTCAGTGATAATGATGGAGGTGTCGGATAAATGGGAACAGAAGGATAAAGTCGTTCTCTAGCCTGCGGGACCCCGCAACTGCATCGAATATTTCATCAAGTAGAGTTCGAGTATCATTGCGAACTGGACCATTTTCGGTGAAGCTAAAACACTGTTCCTGTATAATCTTGGCTCTTTGCTCTTGATCGATCTGATGCTCCAACTGGTCCGTGCATTCTCACCCCGCATTCCGCATCTACCCCTCCCCCCACGTCACGACCCCAATTACACCCTCACGTTATCTACAACATGACAAAGATGGACCATCCCATATTGTTTTTCTCGAGCAAAGCTGTTTCTTCCATGCTACCCTGCAAGGACACCAAAAAAAGTGGCTTCCATCTCCCCATCCTACATCCATATCACTAATGTAGGTAGTCAGTCCCCTTTTCTTGGCGAAAACTCGTGACACCAGGGCTAGTGAGCATACGCAAGCTTCGGGCAGTGGACTCCGGACTTCGCCTTTCGCCGTTGACAAGGTTATCACTCTTGTCTCCATCGTTCGGGGAGCGTACAGTCCCTACAATCTGTACACTCCCTGCCCTCCATCATCACTCAAAGAAAACCCAGAAGAAAAAAAAAACCACCACCACACGCAAAAACCAAACTTCAACCCTCAACATGCCTCACAACATCCCCCCCCCTTCCCCCCTCCTCCTCACCCTCACCCCCCTCACCCAATCCACCTTCACCCCCTACGGCTCCGTCCTCTCCAACCCCCACCCCAACATCATCCCCTCCTCCGCCCCCCCCCCCCCGACGCCATATCCGCAAACCAAGGCACCGCCCTCAAATACCCCGACATAACACCCCTCACCGACCTCTACGCCTCCGCCCCCAGCCGCCGCCCCTCCCGGGCCACAATCAGCATGTTCGTCTGCGCGCCCCGGGCCCTCGCCGCCCCAACCAGCGCCAGTGGCGGGCTACCGACTTTTCCAGTTGAGATCCTAGAACGCCATCCCTTCACCACCCAGACGTTCGTCCCACTAGGCCTCTCCGCCTCCTCAGCCGATGTCCGCTACCTCGTCATCGTCGCGCCTTCCCTCCCCCCCAGCTCCGGCGGTCTACTTGCCGCTGACCCCGCGGCCCGGCTACCGGGGAAGAACTTACCGGATCTGAGTAAGATGGAAGCGTTCAGCGCGAGGGGGGATCAGGGGGTTACGTATGCGCCGGGGACGTGGCATGCGCCGATGGTGGTGCTGGGGGAGATGGTGGGGTTTGTGGTTGCGCAGTTTGTGAATGCGGTGGGGGAGGAGGATTGTCAGGAGGTTGTTTGGAATGGGGAGGGGGGGGAGGGAGCGGTGATTGGGGTTGCGGTGCCGGGGGTGGGGGGGAGTAGGTTGTGAGGGGAGGGAGGTTGGTTGGAGGTTAGTTGATGAGGCGGGTGTTGGGCCGGTGAGGTGGTGAACGTGAATGTTCGCTCTAGGCTCATGTGTCTATCACAATTGGTGTGGGCGCGGCTGCATTGGATCCAACAGCCCGCGCCGGGTGAACTATCATCGCTGGCCAAATCATCATGTATATACAATACAATACAACACCTGATGTAACAACAACCACTCACCGCACCCCCCTTCCCACCAACCCGGACACAAAGCGTTAAAAGGTTATCCCCATCCCGTGTCAGCCTGTAGCCTACCGCCCTCCCTAGCGCGTGGGTTGCCTGTCCCATACCGGTCGTGTAACCCTGGAGGCACGAATGGGCGCCTTGTCACATGGTGGGAGGGAGCGGTTGGATTCCCCGATTTCGGGTTGTGCGTGTGGTGTGCGTGGGTGTGTGGGATTTGTCTGTTTTGGGAACGTTTGGAATGGATGGGCGGTGGGTGGTGGTGTTGGCCGTCACGGAGATGGAGATGGAGATGGATGGAGATGGAGATGGAGATGGAGATGGAGAATGTGATTTTCTGGGTGTCTCAGTACCCCTCATCTTCCGTAGGTAAAAGAAAGCATGGTGGTTTTAATTAGATTTTGTTTTGTCCCGTGTGTCGGAAATAGCCGCTCTCTGTGCAGGGAGCAATATTGTTGTCTTACTGAGATGGGGATATCCGTGATGTAGGAAACTGTTGGTTGAGTAGGTTCACATGTTTCGTTTCCCTGTTGTGCTGAAAGCGACAGGGGAGAAACATGTTAGGCACCTATCGTTCTCAAAACCAGGGTGATGGATAATCCACATCCATGTAGACGGACAGACAGACAGACAGAAGAGCTGGAGACAGAAGATTATTTTTCTTCAAACAGACATAAATTAATTCATTATATAATAGACGTTAACACGTTAATTCAACATCTCATCCCCTAATAATCCGCAAATCCAAAAAAGTAATCCCTGGGTATCTATCCATCCATCATAAAAAGTCCAACCACCAAAAAATAAACAACGCCGTCACGCCGCACTTAGTATCAAGGTTGGCGTGCGTCTTGGATCCCGAGATCCAGTAAATACGGCACAAAATATACCCATCCATCCCATCCATCCCATCCTAGATGCCCTTCTATACTCCCTTCCCACGTAAATGCAGATGATATCTCCCTTCTCCGCCAGGGATAAATGAATAGCGCCTAAAAGCAGCCTTCTGCAAACTCCCAATTCCCAACTGACTGATGACGTATATTTCCTAACCAAGTACTGAGGCAATATTCATACGGTTCGCAGGACTCTCAGGCGTCCTCACTGAGAGCCTCGATAGTGACTGTATTGGTGGCAGCTGCACCGACGCCACCGCCCGCTCCTGCAGCATACGCGGCTGCGCATCCGAGTAACTCGGCCTGTACTTAGACTGCTGTGGCGGCGCACTATCATACCACCTGCTCGTTGGCGGCGCATACGGCGGCGGGTGGTTTGGCCGCGGTGCGAATTTCATCCCCTGAGCGTAGCGTGACGAGAAAGAGTGATTCTGGGCGTCTGATTGCGAGTTGTAGCTGCTAGATGGGAAATGCAGAATAGGAAGACTCTGTCTCCTGTCGTCTGCGGAGTGGCCCGCTGGCGGGGGGAGAGAGATGATAGGAGATGGCTGGCCACGGGGAGAAGTAGAGTGGCGAGATCCGGAGTCCGAGACGAGGGAAGGCGGGTTGCTGACTGATTCCGCGCGCGAGGATTCAGAGACCACCGGAGAAGGGAGGGACTGATCGATGTGCCTCCGTCCCGGGGAGTAAGGCGAGGTGATAGTTAGTGGCTGGTGATGATGACCCGAGTGGCGCGAGTACGACTCCATCTCCTGCGACTCCTCATAGTCCTCCTGCGCACGCGACGACGTCCCCCTCCTCACCACCAAGCGGCGCCTGCGATTCATACTCCCATTCCACCAGTTCTTGACGGCGTTATCGCTGCGGCCGTGCAGCCGCCTCGCGATCTCGGCCCAGCGCTTCCCGATCTCGGAGACGAGGCGCTCGATGAGGAGGCCCTCGTCGGGGCTGATCGGCTCGTGGTTCAGGGTGGGCTTGAGGTTTTGGTGGTAGCGCTCGCGGCACTGTTTGGGGGATCGGGAGTTGATGAGGGAGGCGATGCGGACCCAGTTGAGGGGACCTTGGGTGTGCACGAGTTGGGTGAGGTAGCCGTCTTCGGCTTGAGACCAGGGCCCGCGTCGGTGGGACGTCATGCTGGGAGGAGTAGGCCAGGCCAGTCTGTTTTGGAGAGGATTCCTTTAATCGGATCGCGGTGGTAAGTGTAGGCACGTTCAGGTCCGTGGCGTATGGCGGTTACTATATATACTCCGAGAAGCCAGCAGGTAGACTAGTGAGTAGTAGTGACCAGGTGAGAGCCGGTAGTTGGAGTGAATCCCGCGTCTCTTCTGAATATCCGTGGAGTGGGATAATGAGCAAGGTGATATATATTAGAGTTAGGAAGGCGCAAATATGACAAAGCTGTTGGTGCGGGTAGATGGACAAACTGGTCGGGAGGGATTTGGGGGGGCGGGCGGTGGTCCTTATAAGTGGATTCGACGAGTGCGGAAGGGTTGGCTGATGGAGGAGGATGTCTTGACCGGCAGAGGTGGGTGTGCGGCTGAGTGGGGTGGGACAAATATTGTCAGGGAGGGCTGGTTCTTGTCACCTCTCAACTTTGTTCGACACTCTCTCGATGGAGACGAGGCAAGATAACGTGGAGATGGGAGATATTGGTAGTTTGATGGGGGTGGTGGTTTCTAGGAGCGGCAATAGGCAGAGGAGAGTTTTATAGAGCGAGGGAGTAGGGATGTCGGTGAGGGCGAGGGTGAGGGTGGTGAGGGTGGTGAAGGAGTTTGATGCAGGCGATGCAGGTAAGATAGAGCAAGGTGGGAACGATGGTGGAAGAAGAAGAAACGAGGGGGGGAGGTGGGGTCGGAGAGATGGTTGAGGATGTGAGGCGTGAGATGGGGTTGTTGTTGTTAAGGGCGGTAGTTTAGTTTGATGGGGATAGCCGATCGGTAGTTTAGTTCGATGGGGATAGTCGATCGAGTATGGTAGTGAAGGAGGAGGGGGGGAGGGGGGGAGGAGGGGGAGGAGGGGGAGGAGGGGTGGGAGGGGTGGGAGGGGGAGGAGAGAGGGGAGGGGGGGAGGAGGGGAGGAGGAGGGGGGAGGGGGGAGGAGGGGGAGGGGGGAGGGGGGAGGGGGGAGGGGAGGGAGTGGGGAGGGAGTGAGAAAAGGGAAGGTAAGGGTAGGTAGGAAAGTGCCATCCCATAATACCAAACAATACGCATACAAGATCATAAATACCCATACCCATACCCATACCCAACCCTATCCAACCCATATCCAACCCATATCCAACCCATATCCAACCCATATCCAACCCATATCCATACCCATAACGTGGTTGTGGATCCAGCCTAGCGGGCGACTAGCGGGCGAGGCGACGGCCAATGTACCGTAGCGGCAGAGTACTCCGGACCAGTAGAAGTGCGTACCGAGCGAGGCTACTAAACACTAAACACTACTACACTACTGAACACTACTAAACATTACTAAACACTAAGTTACTACACTACTCAACACTACTAAACATTACTAAACACTAAGTTACTACACTACTGAACACTACTGAGCACTACTCAACACTACCAACCACTAAACACTAAGTTACTACACTACTCAACACTACTAAACACTACTCAACACTAAGTTACTACACTACTCAACACTACTCAACACTACTCAACACTAAGTTACTACTAAACACTACTAAACACCCTACCCTACCACCTGCAACACTCGAGTACCACTACTGTACCCTACCTAAGACTGAAACTGAGACACCACCACCAACTTCCCCACGCGAGCTGCACAACAGTATCGTGTCGTACCTTGGGTCGAGAATTGTTAACAGGGGACCCATGTACGTAGTTCCACCTCGACGCTGTTTTCAAAAGTTGCGAGAAATAATAATCTATCCATGACATTACTCGGGGTTTTATTGGACTACTCCACTACAAACTCGTACATACAGATATTAATCCAAAGTACGAGTAGATCTCCGTTCCCTCGGTCATTACATCGACCATTACACCACCCATCCCGCGGGAGAGTACATTGACGTCCGCAAGGGGTTGTCGCACATCACCTACATAGAATAGATATCGACATGGACATATATAGACATAGACATGGACATATATAGACATATATAGACATGGACATAGATAGACATATATAGACATGGACATACATAGACATGGACATAGACATGGACATAGACATACATGGACATAGACATACATGGACATAGACATACATGGACAAGACATACATGGACATAGACATACATGGACATAGACATACTTCCCCTCCTTCCCCTCCTTTCCCTCCTTCCTTTCCCTCTCCTCCCACACAACCAGCTGACTTGCTTGCCTGCCCATGGCCATCACAATCCACTCCCCCTGCTAGCCTGACATCTCAACAATGGCCCTACCCCCGCTAGTCCCCCTCTAGCTAGCGTGCCTAGACCGAACGGTTTGTCCTCCGTAAGCCGCTGCAACGTCCAACTCGTGGCAGCCGGGTCCATCAGAGGGCCCCCGTCCTCGTCATGTGCCGTGCTTCCGTTCTATAAAAAAACGGTAAATGAAAAACTATACCCTGTAATTTGACCGTCATGAAAATTCTACCCCTGTTGTGATCAATAACCCACCACGTGATGCTTACCGCCAGCTCGTCCAAAGTGATAATTGTACAACACTCGCCTGACTGCTACCTCTTCGCCGTCCTGATATGTGGGAGGCATCAGAGAGGTTAATAGGGGGGTATAGGGAGGGGGGTAGGTATAGGGAGGGGGGTATAGGGAGGATAGGGAGGGGGCTTACGGGCAGCAAAGGCTGGAGGAAACGGTGGGCGTCACGTGGTGACTTATTAATCACGACAGGGTAGAATTTTCATTGCGGTGGAATTACAGGGTATAGTTTTCATTTACCGAAAAAATACACAAGTACGAGTACTCGTACCATGGAGATCCCCTCGCTTACACAGGAACGACAGGCATCGGGATGATCGAAGCGACTTAGTTAGAGCGGTCGCGGCACGCGGGTCTGAACATCCGTGGCTAAGCATTCACCGAAGACGGAGCATCCCCCGTGCCCTGTTCCCATGTCTTGCAAGCATGTGGCTCTAGTGTGTCTGTGCGCCTTCCGTTGTTGGCGGTGCCCGTGTGCGCAAAGGAGGGTCAATGGGAGATTGGGAGATTGGGAGATTGGGAGATTGGGAGCGGATCATGCTGGCTGTGTATGCCGGTTGTTGATCCAGTGGAATGAACGAACCGAGTTTGTCTTGCACAAGGCTCATCCCGGCTCTTTTGTGCTTGGATGGAGTTGCTGCTACTGTACGGAGTAGCAGCGTACTGTACCTTATGCTGGTCCGATCGTCGCGGGTGGCTTCTATAGGCTGTTGTTGCGCGCGCCATGTACTTGTAGGGATGCAAAGGGAAGGGATTCTGTTTTCTTTTTCTTTTTCTTTTTCTTTTCCTTTTCCTTTCTCCCTGTAGTGCGTAACTTGGTGGAGGACGGAAGGGGCACACGCAATGATCTTACAGTGTCTTGGAACTGTGTGGGCAGAGCGTGGTTTGTGTGGCACAGGGTACAGGGAAAGGTACATCGGTTAGAAGTTAGAAGGCTGCCGACTGACATAGTGTTGTTGTTGTTGTTGTTGTTGGCGCCATGTGAGCTGAACGAACCCGCTGAACCCGCTGAACCCGCTGAGAAACCTGGCCCTGCTGGCCCTCCTTCCCTTCCTCCCCTTCCCAGGATGGGGACGCATATCCCGCCCAGCCTCGCAACGAACGACGGCGTAAAAATCCGAATCAAAAATGATCCGTGTGTGATCCAGGCCCTGTTTCGTCGCGCGCAATGTCTCAGACACGCTGGCGCTCGATCCAATTGCGCATAGGATCGAGCGTCACTGGCTAGCTGGGCCCCTTTCCGAATACGTCTCGAATTAGCGAGTCCAGGTGATTTTGTATCCGTTGTCACCCCCTTCACAACGGTACTTTGGCTGTTGTATCCGAGCTCAGTTAGCTATACCCTTCACCCTTACGACCTTACGACCCTTACGACCTTACGACCCTTACGACCTTACCTTACGACCCTTACGACCTTACGACCCTTACGACCTTACAACCCTACCCTTACGACCTTACAACCCTTACAACCCTTACAACCCTTACAACCCTTACAACCCTTACAACCCTCACAACCACCCAACGAGCCCTGGCGCGACAGTGGATGGGACCTAGCGCATCGCCCGGACGGTAACTCAGTCCTTAACCCACCAAACGGTACTTTACGTCCAAGTACAGTACCTGTCTAGCGACTTTGAACTCCACGGCTCTGAAGCGGTCGAACCGAGAACTCACACGGTTCGTTGAACCGCACCCTTGGAGATCAACCCTAGTCGTTCGGGATCCCACCGATGTTGCTATTATTACGGTGCATCCCCCTCCTCTCTTCACTCGCCTCTTCACTCGCCGCCGCCCTCTCTTCACTAGCCGCCGCCCTCTCTTCACTCGCCGCCGCCCTCTCTTCACTCGCCGCCGCCCTCTTCCTCTTCCTCTTCCTCTTCCTATCCCGGATTTGGGAATATGGTACCAAGTACTAGAACCCAGGCGCCATGATCTTCCCTGCATCTCCGTGGGTCTCTCCTTCTTCCCTGTCTATCTTCTTCCTCGTCTATCTTCTTCCCTGTCTATGGCAGACGCCCTGTTTGCCATAGACAACTTGGCTACTGCACTGCACTGCACTGCACTGCACTGCACTGCACTGCACTGACTGCACTGCACTGCACTGCACTGCACTGCACTGCACCGCACTGTGCCTAGCTACTGTGCCTGGTGCCACATACTCCATACATGCAAGCCGGCACTGATTTGTGATTCCCGCGGATTCCATGTGTGGAGTCTGATCTGATACTCTGCTACTGCACCATGGCCGTGAGCGAACGATGAACGATGAGTGGTGATGTATGGAGTTCTACAGTACAGTACCGTGCAGTGCCGTATGCATGATGTACCCACCTCCCCCCCTCAACCCTCAACGATAAGATGACCGACATGAATGATGGCGGCGGACGGCCAAACAAGAAACAAAGCGGGAAAGCGGGGAGTTACAGAAACAGTAAACCTGTGTCTGGCCTTACTGTACTCTATCTAACCCCAAAACCAAAACCAAACCAGCACCGGCAAGCGACCACCATCACAACGGCAACCAGCCTTTCAACACCAGTCCCGGTCCTCCATTATTCGCTTACCCCTACTCAGACAGTCTCAGGAGTGCGTGGCAGACATGACACCCGTGCATGTCGCACACTCTGTCGCTTAACTCGCTTCCTCCTTCATCCCTTGTCCCTTGTCTGCTGTCGTTGCCATCTTCGTCATCCGTTCTCACCCTGCATACATTACAATCATTTATGCTGTACCCACCAGGTGGTACATCCAAATGCATCTTCCGTATGGAAAGTACCGTACATAGTCATTGATTGCGGTGCCAGGGAATGAAAAAGAGGGCTTTCTCAAGCCTCCCCCACACTTCCCACCCTTCCGCATATATTTGGTTCGTAATCGGTAAGCCAGAACGCATTGGGCTGGTACGCTACTACTCTCCGCACCCTGCTCTTCAGCTACCCTAATCCGTGCTTCCGACGATGGATGGATGGGCGTCATAGCCTTGAAAATGCAATAACTATCTGAAATATAGCCAAGGTCTGTTCAATATGCATGGTCAACCGTGCAAGAAAACGCCCCCTGATCGCCCCAGAACCCTGGTTGTAGATCACTCTCATCCGAGTCCAAGAGTGCGGTTACAGCAGCTGTGCCAGCCATTGCCCAAGGCCACCTCACTGCCGACATAACAATATGTGTAACCACCTCCACCTGTTCATGTAAACCTTCCAGGGGTCCCACGGCTCTAATCTTGGGGGGATATAAAACGACACTTAATAAAATCAGATAACTCCAACCGGGGTCGGTGGACTGATCCGCGAGCGGGACCCCTCGATCCAATATCCAACATCAACGCCACGTAAAGCAGCAGGCGCTTGCGACGCCCCATTAACACCTTCCAAGTCTATCCAGCCAGCTTTCGCTGTTAAATGCGCCCTCAAAAATACCCCTGAACATTAAATCCCTTAAATCTCGCCTCACAAATAAATGTCTCCCCCAGTGCCTTCGACCCATCTAAGCCACGCCTCATTATACGCCCTCTCAAGATCCGAGACCCACCTCTTCGTATCAAACAGCGCACTGTGGCAGCGGTTCTCGTAGAGTAGTCGCCGGAGATCACTGAGCCTTCCACTGCCCACCCCTTGCTCGTCATAACGCAGCCCGCTGGCCAACTTCACCGCAAATTCCTCGTACTGCTCCTCATCCGTAGCAATGAGTTCTGACGCAGCATCAAATCCCTCGTCGGACCGAGGTAATGCACCCTTCAGGATGGAGGCTGCCATGCGTGAACACATCTTGTACTCGTACCTGGGCAGAGTCAGGAGTGGAGTTGACGACCACAGGATGTCCGCGGCCGTAGTGTGAGCATTGCATTCCGGGGTATCGAGGAATAAATCACAAATCCGTGCCCGGGATATATGTAGATTCTTTGGAGCCACATCGGTGAACAGTATACGTGATGCTACCTCCTCGCCTGCCCACAGTCGAGCTGTCCGCCGGAGATTGCTTTCCCCAAGGTCAGGGAATCGGAGTAACCACAGAACGGCCTTGGGCACGTTTGCGAGTATCCGAAGCCATGTGCGGAACGTCGTGGGTTCAATCTGAAGATATTTGTTAGTATTGATCTCACAATAAATCGAAGAATACAAACCTTATATAACTGATTGAAATTCCCAAGAATGATTACATCGTCAGGAAGATCTGAGAAGAGCTCCTTTCTCATTTTCCACCTCCGCTCCTGCTCTCCTGCCCAAGGAAGCTGACGATCTTCACTGCTTTGCCGATGGTCACAGCAGAAAAATGTATCTCGACAGAAGATAATATTCTCTGAATAGACCCAGTCTTCCTCGTCAACCGACTCATCGCAACGGAGCTGATCGTCTAGGTCAATGTTGCGTCTCCAAGGTCGCAGGGTGCTTCGTGGTATAGCCGTTTCATCGGCCAAGATGTAATCGCACCACTCTGCGCCGAGCGTGCCCGCAAATCCCATAAAGGACATCTGGATAGGAGCAGGGCGCGCCGCAAAGACTTCGTTCTTTGCGCCTCGTGTATACCCATTCAAATTCACAAGAATGTGGATTTCATCTTTCACAATCTGTTGCGCCAACCTGTCCGAGGGCCAGCCGCTGGTATCGCGAAACACCGGGGCCTCCTTTTCTATTTGCTGCCTGTGGACCGAATTGTCGCTTGACGTTGTGGCGTAGCAGATTGCCTTTGCCTTTCGTGGGTCATGCATTCCAAATACGGACTGCATCAAGTGCGCAAGAGGATGGTTGTTGAAGTCTGAGGAGATATAGCCAATGTTGAGCGTTGGTGATGGCGGCGGTGGCGGTGGATACACGGTCTGCGGGAGCCATGGTGCACGCAGCGCAGCACACGAGATACGCATGGCATTTCTCTCCGAAATCATCCTGATGTCTTTGGCAGAGAGTGGGCAGGTAAAAGTGTGGAAAGGAAGCACAGTCGGTGCTCCCGGTACAGTTAGCGAACTCGGAAGATGAGGTCGGGCATAGCTTAACTTTGGGAAATCCAGTCGGCGGACGTATTTGTCTGTGTACCATCGGTGCATAGCTCTCTTGATAGCTCGTTCAATCAAGCGTACAATACGAGCCCCCTCCCATGGCTTTCCTGCCCAAGAGCTCAGTCTTGCAAGCATAGTTGAAGCCTTGTCGTTTGACCATCGACTACCTGTATCTGCAATTTCGAGTTCTTGCAGCATAGAACGGAGAACCTGGCTATTCAGAGTACCGCAGCCCCAGCTGGCGCCATCTTCGAGTTGCTTGTTTACGATAGCGACTACGCGCTTCACCCATCCAGTCCCGGCCACACTGGTTTTGGCATCACAGAGCATCCCATCTTCGCCAACATGCCATCGGTCGTACTTTGCCCCTTCAAAAATTACGCCCCCGCGCCCAGTCCAATCGCACACAGAGTTCAGCGCATTGGCAAGCCCACAAACGGCCTCCGTAAAGTTGGGGCTTGACGCCACGGCGCGCTTATAATACTCTATAGCATCGCTTATCCTGCCTTGGTCCTTGACCGCATTGGCTAGGTTGGCCAACGCTATGTCAAAATTCCCATCGCAAGCGACAGCTTGCTCGTACATCTTGATGGCCGCAGTGAGCTGACCGATATCCTTTAATAGACTGCCGAGATTGGTATATAGATGGGCATGGCGAGAGTCTAGATTTAAGCCATAGTTGTAATAGGCTAGAGCAAGCGCAACACCGCTGCCAGGCTTAACCCCTGGAATTGTCGGGGCTGAATCTGCCTCTGCCATTTGTACAGTACGGTCGGAGATTTGCTGAGGAATACCTGCTAGAAGTATTCCTATGTTGTTTGAGGTTGAAGGGCTAGGCTGCAATGAGAGTGATAAATAGTAGAGCGCAAGGATATCAGCTGTGCCGCAAGGCCGTGACGTTTCCATTGGTGACTTGCTAGCATTTGTCATGCCATCTTGAAAGATTTTTGCAAGTGATAGCAAAGAGTTGCTCGTCGTGGATATAGCAGAGGTCCTTGGAGCTCCTTGTGAGGTGTAGCGAAGTCCGGGTAGCTGACAATGCTTGGAAAATACCAGTGCAGCGGTTCGCAGTGCTTTCTCTGGGGGTAACAGCACTGGCATAAGCTCCCCTGTGGTAGGCATGCACAAGGCACTTTGGCGGGCGGTGGGGTTGAACACATCCATGGACGATACGACATTGAGGATGTTCCTAATGAGGCCATGAATACCATGAACTCTCCTGCCAACACTGACAAGAACGGCATCTTCAAATGCCCGGGAGGCACCACTAATATCTCCAGCAGCGTAGAGCATATTGCCTTTGGCATGGATCAGTGCTAACATTCGTCCATTATCAGAACCAGCGATTGCATATCCACTGGATCCATATCCGGGCTGCTTGAAACTATCGTCGCCTAGTGGTCTTGAAAATGTATGGTTGCTCGGCCTAGGATCGAAATCAAAGGCATGTTCAGAAGTATAGGCAGAGCTACTTGATGAGAGTCCTCCATCACTTGATGTATCGCTCTCTCGGTCTTGCTCATCAAAAGTTGAAAGGCGAAGTGATCGCTCTACAAAGTCAATTATAGAGATGGCCTCGTCTGCTCTGTGGTCTCCACATAAAAGCCCGATAAGATGCTCGACAGCCTCGAAGTAACTCGGACGTAATTTTACCGATTGTAGCCAATGCTGCTCGGCTTCTTCTCTCCTGTTCAGAGACAGAAGAGTGGCAGCCAGATTCGAAATAGCTTCCACATGGCTTGAATCAAGAGCAACAATCTTGCTATACCAATCAAGTGCTTTCTCATACTCTTCCAAGCCATATGCTAAACATCCTCCCAATAGCATTCCGTCGATCCAGCGCCACCCGCTTTCTTGACAGAGATTGCCTAGTATTTCGAGAGCATATTTTGCTGTTTCCTTGATTGAGCCACGTTGGGGAAGCCCCCGAGGAAAACTTTGGGGGTATAAAGGCAGTGGGTTGTTTCCCTGATCTCCGCTATGAGTATTGGAGCCGAAATAGCCCCCGCCAATGTTCTGTTTTGACACAGGTGCTCGGTTGTCAAACGACCTCTTATCCTCCATTATGCTAATGAGAGAGTTTGACCGTCGGCGATTGGGGCCAGGTTCATGTTTGGGATCGTGACTCTGCCCAAAGTCGTTCGAATAAGATGGTGTGGCATAGCTGTTATGGGCAGGATCCGATGGTCGCCGAAGCATAAAGGCTGTTTGACGGGGCGGCCTTGGATATATGTGTGTCTGAGAGTATGAACGCTGAAGGCCTTGCTTTTTGCGTTCTTGATGCGCTTCCTTCTTAGACTGATGTATAGAAGCCAAAAGGTCCACGTATATGTGGTGTGCCCATCCAAGAACCCTTTCTTTAAATTGAACATGATGATTTCCTGCCCCGAAAGGCACCTGGTAGTAGCTCGGGCCATTATGTAGATTTGTGTTAGCTGCTGTGTGTCCAGTAATCATGCGGTCGACCGTCTTGCCGTGTGGAGCAAATTCGTCCATTATGCCAGTATGATCTTTCGAGGGATCAACATGCAGCTGATGACCATTTGGCAGCTGGTTATGTCCGAGCGAAATGGGATATGGCTCCATGCCCTGGCAGACATGGTTACAAGGTGGCACTCCTTGAATTGTACAAGAACAGCGGTTAAATGAATGATAACCAGTATCCCGCACAGCAGCTGGCCTATAAGCCAGATATCTTCCATCCGCGTAGTATGGTCCGTATATTCCAGGGTCATTCGAGGCCGTTGGGCCAAGGCAGGACTGGAAGGGCGGCTGAATAACCGTTGGCACAAGCATGCCGTTATATGCAAACTTTGTGGTGTTATAGTCAACATTCGCGCCGTTGCCCATTGTTTGCCCGCGGAGAAAGAGGGGGGGCACGCGTGTCCAAACCCCGCTACCACCAAATGTATCCCACGCTCCACTCGTCGAACTCGAGGTTTGGGGTTGGTATGGCTGTTGTTGGTAGGAGCTGCTTCTGGCGTGGCCATTTTGGCCGTGTACAGCGCCATATGGGTGCTCTTGCCCCTTTCGATTTGTTTCTCGCGGAAGGCTAGACAAAGGAAGAACTACATGTTTGGTCGGCGGGGGTTCAGTCGACCAGTGGACCGGAGTACCATCGTAGCCAGCTGCCAGTGTGCCGTTCGGAGTCTTCCTGCGCAACATATGCTCGGAGGCACCGCGGGATTGTGATCCGTCACCGGGACGCGATTGGTAACCTGTATCCGGCAAGGCATGGTGAGGGCTCAGGCGGACAGCGAAGGCATACTGTGGAGGTCCCAGAGATCGAGGTATATAGGGTTGAGATGGAAATGCCTGTGGTCCAGCAGGCGTATTGAAAGCCATTAAATGGGCTGAAAAGCCATCTTGTGTCGTGTCATTGAAAGGCTGTACGATTTTGGGACCGATTTTGGGACCATGCTGGCCCTTAGGGAGCATAGTGCGAGAGGGACCTTCGAGATAGCGATAAGAAAGGCGCCTAACACGTCACGAAATCACGAAAAGTGCCAATACCTGCACGAAATCTGAGGGCTTTGCCAGTACGAAGCATCTTCGTCGATGCAAGAGGTTGAAGCTGGCGACAGTAAGGTTGGGAAACCGTGGTCAGTCAAAAGGTTGGGGGTCTGTAGGGATGCATGTTTGATGGCGGCGGTTGCGGCTGGGGATGCGTTAACGGTCGCTTGAGCGGGTTGGAAATCGATACTGGTACGAGGGTACCTACCACACTTTCCACAGTTTCTACAGGATGAGCAGTTTAGTCTACCAGTCACTGTCAGCCACTGCCAACCTAGAGTATTTGGAGCATTGTTATCTAAACCTTGGCTTACCTTGCTACACCTTACCTACTCTGGGGAGAAAAACAATGCGCCAACGACACATTACTGCGTGCTCTACGTACGAGTATTTTGTCTCAGAAGTCAGCGGCCAAGACAAGGGCAGGGACAAGGAACAAGTGGAGAATAGAGAATGCCGGACAGGCGTGTTTTATTTGACCCCTTGGCTCGACTAGAGGGGAATGAATACTGAGATATCAATAGTCTACGTTGGTGCAAGGGCATGCTTGAGGACACGTATACTGGCGATAGAAACTTGTGATAAGAGACTGATGGGAGTCCTCGACCTGCACGAGATACTGTTACTATCTACTCCATTTTTTGTGTCAAGTGCATACAGTTTAGGAGGATGATGACGCCAGGGAGGATCAATGGAGCACGCCGTGTTGGTTGAGGGGTGTTGGGTCTCATCAGCAAGGGTCCGTTGTCGTTGGTGAGCAGTTAGTGCTTTGCTAAGTGTGGCTGATCCAAAGTCCAAAGTCCCCATCCCAACCATCACCCATCAAACATCAGCACATCAGCAAGGAAGGGCCGTTTGTGTCTGTTGTCTGTTGTCCCGTTGTGTGTCCAACTTCCGACTCTTGCATAGTGTCTATCCATGTTCAAATGTTGCTTAGTCGTCGAAGTTATTGCTCAGCCTCGCTTCTCGCTGGCTGCTGTTTTCCCTGCCTAAATTGGCCTAATAGACACAATCTGCCTATCGCAGCAGCCACAATACCCCACCAATACTGTAGGTATATAGGGATTGCAATCATCACATGGTAAGCACTTCATCAAAACATATCAATCATTCCAGCAGGTCAAAGCAGCCATCACGATGGTGGTGGAGGCAAATATCCCTGGAAGGGATAAATGTGCACTCCCTATCCGGAGTATGCCCATGAGCCTCCACCACATTTCAAGGATCCGAGTAGTCGGTGGTTCATTGCACAGTTGTAGACATGCACATTGTATGGAAACGCACATCTGGAAGAATCAATGTCATTGCTCTCACAGCCTATTCGTGAAGCATGAAGCTTTGGTTACAGTGCAAAGAAAAGACAAAATTCCCATTTATTCCTCAGGAACTGTGAAGTAGTTAGTACTGGAAGCACTTTCATACTCGAAAGGGTGGTACTGACTCTCAATCTCTCCGCTCTCAATATCATCACTGACATCCTTTGGACTTCTTCCATCAACCTGGCAGCCAACGCTGAACGCGGTGCCGAGAATCTCCTTGACCGTACCCTGGAGAGACTTTGCCATCGACTTGAACCTCATCGTGCGTGCGATCTCAATGACCTCATCGAGAGTGATGGACTTGCTGTGCTTGATGTTCTTCTCCTTCTTCCTGTCGCGCGGGGGCTCCTTGAGGGCCTTGATGACGAGGGACGAGGCGGATGGGACAACGGAGACCGCTGCTTGACGATTCTGGATCGTAAGTCTGACGGTGACACGGAGTCCTTTCTATTGAGACAAACACAATTAGCTCCCACAGTCCTTCTATTCGTCGAATTTGTAGGGCGTGCATACCCAGTCGCCAGTTGCCTTTGCGATATCTTCTCCGACCTTCTTGGGGGAAAGACCAAGAGGGCCGATCTTAGGAGCGAGCGCAGAAGATGCGCCGACCTCACCACCGGTTGCCCGAAGGTGGCTATTCGTGTATTAGTAGTGTTCGTATTGTGGGATTGAATCGTTCGCCCATGCTTGCCAGATGCGCTGGAGCAAGACGGAAAGTTTGGATTCGTTCGAGGTTGGCATTTGGCGACTTACATGATCTTGATCTCAGTGGGGTCGACCTTTGGAGCTGGTGATTGTTAGACTGGGCAACTCGGGCAATGCTGAGATAACTTACGCATGTTGGCGACTGTTGGAAAATGCGATTACAATCGTCGTAATAATTTGTCGATGTCTGTCTCTCTACAGTTGTCAATTTTCGATAAATTCGGCTGGTGCGGTCGGCTAATCAACCCTAACCAATAAGCCTTGAGTGGTGCCTCAGGCATCGGCATGATCGAGAACCTATTCTGTTAGCTCGCTTTTCTAAAAGAAATTTTGGAGAGAAGCTCTGTGGAGAATTTCGTGCGTCGAGAAAGTTCATCTCCACACCCAGCACAGCGACTTCACTCTACGTCGCAAACTCATAATACCGCACCACAACCGCGTATTATTTGAGAAGCATATATACAATGGCATTCACTCCAAGGGGCCGCGGCGGCGGTGATCGTGGTGGACGTGGTGGCTTTGGTGGCCGCGGTGGTGGTGATCGCGGTGGACGTGGTGGATTCGGCGACAGAGGTGGATTTGGCGGCCGTGGAGGTGGCAGAGGTCAGTTTTTTCTCTAATTGGCTTCCTAATGCTGGCTCTCAGCTACAGGAGGCTATTCAATTCCAGATCTGGGGGACTTAATGAGCTGACCGGGGGTTAGGTGGTCGAGGCGATAGCAGAGGCGGTCGTGGCGGCCGAGGAGCACCAAGAGGTGGGCGTGGTGCCCCACGTGGAGGTGGACGCGGCGGTGCTGGTGCCAGAGGTGGCGCAAAGACCATTGTTGTATGTTGATCTCTCTGCCATTGCCTGTTGCTGCTGTTATACTTACAACATTTTAGGAGCCCCATCGCCATGGCGGCATCTTCGTCGCTCGCGGAAAGGAGGACATGTTGGTGACCAAGAACATGGCACCAGGAGAGTCGGTTTACGGCGAGAAGCGCATCTCTGTCGAGAACACCGCTGGCGTGAATGACGACGGAACCCCAAACACCACCAAGACCGAATACAGAGTGTGGAACCCTTTCAGATCTAAGTTGGCTGCTGGTGTCCTCGGTGGTCTTGATGAGATCTTCATCAAGCCCGGAGCTAAGGTTCTCTACCTTGGTGCCGCTTCCGGAACTTCGGTTTCCCACGTTGCTGATATTGTCGGCCCAACTGGTACCGTCTTCGCCGTCGAGTTCTCTCACAGATCCGGCCGTGACCTGATCAACATGGCTACCCACCGCACAAACGTCATCCCAATCATTGAGGATGCCCGTCACCCGCTCCGTTACCGCATGCTCGTATCGATGGTCGATGTCATCTTTGCCGATGTTGCCCAGCCTGATCAGGCCCGTATCGTCGGAATGAACGCCCACTTGTTCCTTAAGGTTGGAGGTGGTGTTGTCATCTCCATCAAGGCCAACTGTATTGATTCGACTGCCGCGCCCGAGGCTGTCTTCACCCGTGAGGTTCAAAAGATGAGAGAGGAGAAGATGAAGCCATTGGAACAGTTAACTCTTGGTAAGCCGCAATCCCCTCCATGTGATAAACCAACTTCTAACGTATCTTATAGAGCCCTTCGAGAGAGACCATTGTGTCGTGACTGCTATTTACAAGCATTCTGCCGAGTAGATTGGTGTTTTTTCTGTTCTTTTTTCATCCTCTTTTCACAGGAATCTGCAGGGCCACTTATCCATGGTCAGGAAAATGGATGGGTTGTCTCTTTATCTGGTGTACCTACTACTGCGTATGGGATGGCGTTCGGCATTATTCATATGACCAAATAAAACAATTACCTTTTTACAAAATTTCACATGATTTGTGATTGTCCGAGATTTCGCAAGTGCTCTCTACTAGCTGACTAAATGCATGGTGTTTTTTTACTGCCTAATAAACAACCACCTCCCCCTGTGGCCCTTTGGCACGTTTAAATCACTGTTGAACTCCCATCGGTAATATAATTTCAAATGTGTGTATTCTGTTATCTGCTTATCGAACGGATGATGTTTTTACATCGAAAATATGCAATACAGGCTCTAATAGCCAACGATGACCGCAGACCCTCCCAACCCACCAACCACCAGCCAACCATAAATACTCCAACAGATAAAAACCCGCCTATTCAGTGCTAGAAACAATTATGCAGACCCATCATACCTCTAAAATGGCATGCCTTCGTGGTGTCATCATAATAGAATATCAACCTCTTCCATATATACCTCACACACATAATAGCACCACTCTCGTTCCATTAGATCATACGCCACCTCCCAACAAAGCAAAAATCCAACCAGCCTGAGTAGAGTTCGAGCACTTGAACATCCACTTCCTCTGCCTCGTTCCTATTCCACCTACAGCTCCAGGCATTCCGATTTCACCATTTGGCCCCACTACCTCTTCCTCGACGTTCATAACAATGCCGATCCTGTTTACACGAGTGAAACGACGGGCGCCGCAGATGCCATCGAAGAAAACAACCTGTTCCTTGCTCTCTTTTGGAGGGTTCGTAATACCCAAATGCTTGTCGAGGAGCTTTGGTCTCTCCACGGTATGTTGGGTCAGGGTCACTTGCTTTAGAACTCCATAGTCCAATCGAGTGTCTGGGAACGCCCCTGGCTGAGGCACCCCGATTACTATGCGGCAGTATCCCAAGTCCATCCACCGAGGGGCAATACCGGAACGGTAAACTCGAATGATCAAGTTATTTGTGTCGAAAACCGAGGTGTTGCCGGTGCCTGATGCTGCCATGCTTGAATCCGTTCGGGTCCGACGAGATGAGGATGGCGCGGAATCCGTAGTCCCGAAGATACTTGAGCCTCTTGATTTGGGGCCACTACCCTCAAACCTGGACATATTTGGAGTCAGGCGGCCATTAGCCCCATTGCTCATGCGTCTCAGTGCCATAAACGCTGTTCGTCCGAGAGAGAAAGTGCTCCCATCGGAACCTGAGAAGGATGAAGCGCGTGCTGACGCTCTGTAGCTTTTCTTTCGCCCAAACCAACTGTAGCGAGCCTTGCGTTCGTCCCATTCATTGCCAGCTTGTCCGTCGTAGTCGTTCAATACGCGGTCACGTTGCAGGAGATTATATTTCTCGTTGTCTTGCCTAGCCTTGTGAGCAGCCGCATATGCGGCCATGCATTCGCTTCTGTTCCGAGACCTGAATCGGACAATGTGGGTGCTCTTCAGCAGGGAGGTTTCTAATGGCTGAGAGTGTATCTCAATATCCAAAGGATTACTTTGGCGGAGCATCACAATTGGAGTCAAGACAAGCGCAATGAGCGGTCGTCCGCTTGGCTTTGCATCATTCGATGAATCCGTGCTTGAGGCGTCAAAAGCATCCAAGGGGTAGGCTTCAATCAAGCCTGGCGTAATTACAATTGTGCAAAGGTTCAAATGGATATTGTCCCATCGTCCTGGAGGTACCCGCCAGCATGAAATGTGAGCCTTGAACTTCAAGCAGTATGATGTTTGTGGTGGCTCAAGACAGATATCTGGAAGGACAGCGTCGTTCACCTGTTGCAGTTGGCTTGCGATTTCTTCTGTTCCTGCCAAGCCATCACCTGAAGACTCAAGCGTTGAATCGTCGTCTTCCGAGTCCGTCACATAAGATGTCGACGAACTAGTTGTGTAGTCGGAGGGCTGGTACTCGTGCTTCAAGGGCGAGGATGACCGACGATGCTTTAGCTCATAGCTTGCGCTGTGTGATGACTCGAATTCCGTGGCAACATCATGGGTGGATTTTTGCTTATGAGGTGGTGGTGGAGGTGGCTCGGTAGCTGAAGCGTGGCCTGGAGCAATCAAAGTTGACTGCGAAACAGACTTCTCGTTTGAAGCTTGATTTGGATAAGCCTTTGTTGGTGTAGCAAGTGAAAGCTCTTTTGATCGAGGTCGGTATCTTGTTGGTGTTGTTTGTGGTGAAACATGCTCAATAGCTCTGTCTCTTTGTGTTGGTGTGAGAGAGAGACGATAGTCTGCTCGCTCCTTAGAGTTGCCATCGCCCGAAACAAAGGGGTCGACAGCCTTAGGGCTTGCTTGATGAGTTTGGTCTCGGAATCCTGCATGCTCGCCAATAGGCACATCTGGTGAGTCTGGGCACACCAGTGCTCCGCTCATCAAGGCTTTTCCAGGAGAATCGTACTCAAGGGGCTCAGGGTCAAAGCGTGATATAGCAGGTGGGACTGGCTTGTCGCTGAACATGACCATAAACTCCTCCACAACTTCTCCGTGTTCAGCCTTCAATAGAAAACATTCTTGCCAGTCAGTAGTGCCATCCTGGCCGCGGGCCATGACAATCAAATCGTCCTCCATGTCCCCTCTTCGGACTGAAATTTGTTCTGTAAGCAGTGGTTGAAATAGCAGGTAGTGGCAGCGTCGGGCGTTGACTTCACAGATCAAAATATCTCCAGCATCATGATCACTATCTCTGACTATGAGTTCAACTTCACATGCCATGCGCTGACCATTCGAGTGTCGGAGGTCGAGATGGAAATATTCTTTAGCCTTGACCTGGCGCGTCTGGTCTATTTGTGCAACCTTCAGGGGAGCTAGAGTTCGTAGATCCCGCGACCTTGTTGGATCCTTGTTATTAGCTAGCCTGTCTTGCCTTCTTGCGTTCTCTTCTTTTGCAAGACGGCGCTCCCTGTCCCTGTCGACCGGACTTTGTAGCTGGCTGTTGATATCGTCGCCTTGTTTTGTAGTGTCCTGGTCTTGCACATAATCGAACCTCTTAGCGTTTGGCCTGACTGTTCCATGAATAGCTCCCCTCCGTCCAATCTTCGATTTGCTTCTATTGCGCTTCGGGTTATTCTCACGTGCATTTCCCATTGCCTCTTCTTTGACTTGGTTTTGACTCATGGGCCTTATATCAATGGCACTATCGATATTGCTAGGCGCAGGTGGTTGACTCAGGGGGTTTTCTCTTGCAACCTCCTTTGCACCAGCAACACCACGAGGTTCAGCTTCTCCTGTGCTCTTTTGCACTTCAGAAGATTTTCCATCCTTAACATGTCTTGAAACCTTCCTTGGTGTTACTTTTGATCTCTCCTCATGCGGGGCTATATCTGAATCGTTTGTTCGTGCAACCCAATCCTGAATCTTGCGCTCAAAGGCCGGGTTGACCGAGTTGGCCTCCACATATCCTTTCCGAATTCCATTTGGACTTCTTGTACTCGTGACTGACTTGCTGTTTAGGTTGCTAGGATTTGTCGGTAAGTCGGGCACGAGTTCTGTCGCTTCTTCATCGTGCGGAACTGTGTCATGTCCGTTCACACGCGCCGCCCAGTCTTGCATCTTGCGCTCAAGAGGTGGATTTGCCCAGTTCGATTCAACAAAATCCTTCGGAAGGCCCTTTGGCTTGCTCTTCCTTCCTGCCGGGCCCCTCTTCAAAGTGGTGGACTTGGCAGGGCCACTTAGATCTCGGTATACTACAGTCTCGCTCTTCTCTCCACGCATGTTGTCGTTGAGTTTGTCTGTTAGCCCCATCCAGCCTTGGATCTTGCGCTCAAGAGGTGGCTTTGCCAAAAGATTTTCGACGAATTCCTTGGGAGAGCTTTTGGGCTTAATTGGTTTGCTTTTCTTTGCCGGAGTCTTCTTCAAATTGGTGGGCTTTGCAGGTAATATCGTGTCTGATATCGACTCAGTTTCCTCCTCAGGCTTCTCCCTGGGCTTCTCATCGAGCTTGTCTTCGGACTGCTCCTCAGGATTCTCTTCGTCTGGGATTTCGTTATGTTTGGCCGTTCGTTCTGCCCAGTCTTGTATCTTACGCTCGAGTGGTGGGTTGGTCCAATTGGATTTAACAAAATCCTTAGGGAGACGCTTCGATTTATCGAGCTTTTCCGGAGTCTTTGCCTTCGTAGGTGTCTCTGCTTTCATAGCACTAGAGCTTGTAAGGGAGATTGGCAAGGTGTCTGCCACGTCTTCGGTAGTACCGCTGTGTGAGGCAGCCTGAGGCCCATCGATCCGCGCCGCCCAGTCTTGTATTTTGCGTTCGAGCGGCGGATTGGCCCAGTTGGACTTCACAAAGTCTTTCGGGAGGCGTTTCCCGTTGTCTGCAGCCTTTGTTGTGGGACTTTTTTTGACGGCGACAGGGTCGACGATCAGATTTAGCAAGAGGTTCTGCTTTGTTTGTGGGCTTTTTTTTCGGTTCCTGACCCAGTGACTATCGCTAACCACTCTCTTCCTAGGCGTACCCCTCGCCCTCGGAGGGAGAGGGGAGGCGTTTTTTCTCTTCTCGGGTTTGACGGCAAGATGTGGTTCTGCGGGTGGTTGTTGCTCGTTCTCCACGTCGCTATTCAAGTATTCGCCGTCCGGCTTCTTTGTTGGGGCTGCAGGATCCTCGATCACCGCTGCCGCGCTTGATTGTTGCCATTGCTTCACCCTATATTTGACTCCACCCGGGGGCTGCAATTTGTTCACCGCACTAGCTTTAAACTCTGCAGGAGGAGCAACGGCCGAGCTCCTGCGCCGGACTCGATTAACAGATGGTCGTCCTAGGAGAAAGTCTGTCAACAGAGTCGGCTCTGGCTTCTTTCCGCCCGCCTTCCTTCGACCCGGCGCATTGCTTGGGCCGGCTGCTTTGTTTGCTGCCGCCTTCCCGTCACCACTGCCATTCCGGGGATGTCTGACGGCCGGGGATCGTTGTGGCGTAGTTGGAGTTTGCGGTTTGGCCGGATCGTCGTCCTCTGTTTCGCAGGTAGGCATGTCCTAATTTGCAGTTTGGAGTCAGCACTTTTGCTACTGTTATCCTGCAGGGAGAATGGTAGCGCGCCGCGTCACCGGTGCAACTTGGTGCGACTTACCTCTCAATTCGAGGACCCCGCCTGTAGCTGTCTCGATGAAAGTTGTAGCCCAGGCATCAACACGCGAAAGATTCCTGGCTCTAGACATGAGCCTGTAGAGCGCCAGACTCTTCTTTAGGATCTAGTCTTTGCGCTCGATTATGCGACGCCTAGTGATCATCGGTTTCTGTGGGCGGTTTGTTCCGGGCAGCCCTCACGGGGAAGGTCTCGATCTCGTTGGAGGGGCAACCAAAACGCTTGTACTTGGATTGTCTGGCTCACATGCAAGCACTTTATGGATAAAACTGCAAGGAGGCTTACGGTTATAGTTTCAAAAGGCAAAATTAATAGACGGGATACTAGGGCCATTGCCATTACAATGCGCTATAAAGCAGGAATTTACTCTGGAGTTTGTCTATTCCAGCCGCCTTCCTTGTTTACTTTGCCCAGTGGTGAGTGAGACGAATTGCGGGTCCGTCATACTCGAGTACTGTCGATTTAGTGCGATCTCTGGTGTCTAGGTAGACACCAGAGATCGCCCTATATGGACATCCTTGCACCGGCGAAAACGGTTGGTCAATGTACTGTCAATAGTCTGTGGCCTAGAATACGCCCGATAATTGCTAACATTTCAAGTGTTTTTCAAACTGGCTTTTTGCCGTGGTGTAATAGAGTAGAATTGACCTCAAATCTGGCTGGCAATACTATTTGATTATTTTTATTTTTATTAGTGAGACCAATTTTGGTCTCCACCGGCCAGCTCAACTGACGTGGCATCTCATTATCCTTTAGCCTACACTACAATTCATAATCTATATGCCGAGCGGCTCGCTGAAACAACATGACAAATACAAAGCAGAGAAGAAAACGCTGTAGTTGCTGCCATGTTTGCGCTCGAGTTGCCTTCAAGGCGCCTTCCGATATTTGCTTTATGACAACTCCTGGACCCATATCTGTACAACATTAGTATGTAATTAAGTTCGGTGAACCGGGATACTCACATCCATCTTGCCCATCTCAACCCGATCCCTCCTGGCATTTGCCTTAACAGACATTACTGCCATATCCAAGTCATCCTGGTCGCCCATAGTAATCATATCTCCATCTGGCATATCATCATCGCGGGTTTTAAGCTTGAATCGCTTCCGCAGAACAAACTTCTGCCGGATTTTATCCACGAGGTCTGGAAATTCGATTGTGGTTCCAATCATTATGTAGCGAGTATCCTCAGCTGCATGGACCTTGACACGAACTTTGCGGATATCGGGTCTCCGAGAGGAGCCTCGGCCAGATGAGAGTGCTGCAGGGCGGCCAGGGAGCATCTCGAAATCATTTTCATCAAACTGGTCATCCACGTAGTCGCTCCCATCCTCATCTTCCTCTTCGATATATCGTGGCTGGGGTCTGTTCCTCCCATTAGAACTTCGAGAGTTCCGATACATGTCATAAAGCTCCCCTGGGTATTCACCCTCCTCCTCTTCATCTGACATCTTTCTACGTGTTGATGGTGGTGGGTCTCTTCTCCGTGATTCCTCTCGTCTCACTGTTGGGCCTCGTGATTCTGATGCCGCGCGAGCAGGAGCGGGCCTTCTTGCACGCTCATCACGGACCTCGTAACGTTGCGGTGGCAAGGCCTTCTCGATGTTAAGCTTTGCAGGCACAGGTTTGACCCCATTGCGAACAGAGGCTCCTCTGCTGAGTTGGCCTGACCTTGATCCAGAGGCGCTCCTGTCCGACTCAGGAGGTGGTGTTGGCGGGAACACATTTCTGTTGAGAGGGGGCTCTGATTGTTGGCGCTTGCTTGACAAGCCAGGTTTGACGAGATTGGCAGCTGCAAATGAGAGATTCTCTGCAGGCCTATCATCCTTCGCATCTGGCATCTTTCCAGCCTATTTTGGGGTCAGCAGTGAGGATATTTGGCTACCGGTATCACCTACGTTTTTGATCTCGGAGCCTGCAAATCCAGTGAACGCGTTCGCTCTGTCAGAAGCCGCGACTAATCTCGCTTTCCCTAAGTAATCCTTCGTCTTGAGGTTCTTAACCTTTGCTGCGTTCGGCCTGTAGACGACGCCAACAGGAATGGAGAAGACCGTGTAACCCTAGAACTATGTCAGCAACCACGACGTAAGTACCATTGAAGTGCGTAAACTAACCTCGGCTTCTTCCCTAATTGCATCGTCGATTACGTTGTGATCCTCAACAACCTTCTCTTTCACAGCAAATGAGAAATCTTGCATACCAGCCTCCTTTTGTTGTAGGTAAATGTAGCATAATCCGCGGTTGAAGAGTACTTCGCAGGAATATAACTTAAACATGAGACCTAATTGCGCATAGTCGATCATATTGTTACCTCGCAGGTACAATAAGGTGTCGTTAAAATTAGCAAGGGCCTCTTCGAAGTCTCCCACGAGGAAATTCGATACGCCTTGTTGAAAGTAGGCAACTGCCAGATATTGATCGAGCCGAACGGCTCTTTGGTAGCATTCAACCTTGATAAATGTTAGTTTATATTATTGGTCGACACCTGCCAGCAGTGATCCGGATATACATACGGCTTTCCCATGTTCTCCAAGCGTCGCATGGATGACTCCGCAGTTGAAAAAAATCTTAGAAGTGTCCGGAATACTATCGAAAGTCTTTAATGCTTCATCGAACTCGTTGTTATCGTAATTCGCCAGCGCGGAAACCCACGTCTCGATTTCCTGGAGGGATCCGTTAGTTTCGTGCAACCCACTCTCAACATGATGACACTTCGTACCTGCTTTAACGACATCTTGTCCGCCGCTTAACGAAGCTTCGGCTTTGGGTTCGTATGTTGTCTCTGCGCAGCAACCAGCGTATGAGGCAACGCACAGCCGTAGCTCTCTATTATACTTCACGGCTCCCTCGCGTTGTCTGCACTTCGCAATCAGATAACTGAAGGGGTGGTCGGTACACTCTGTATGTATGCTATCTGTCAAAGCTGGATAGTTCGGATATGCATGCACTGTCTGTCGGCGTCTTCCCGTGATATTGATTCCGGTAAATTGGTGCTGACTATCGGTCAAGTAATGAACGTCGATTGGGCCACGGCTCTGAGTGCTCTACAAAGAGTGAAATGGCATGGCTGGGCAAGAACGAGAGTGGGCGTAGAACTCGGCGCGTAAACTCAGGGTCGGATTGGGAGCGTAGTTGAGATGGTTGGGACAAGGGGGCCAAGGGATATGTATGTTGGATTTTGGTGTCAATTGGTGGGATGAGCGCAAGGGAGGAATGCAGCTCTTCGAGGGGCAAGCAGAGACGAAGAATTCAAGAAGTCGTGGAGGGCCTGGGCTATGCAGTCGGGGTTTTCCTGCAGCTGTTCATGTAGAGTCGAGTTGGGATTTTGATTTTCGTAGACACGTTTTTCGATAGTTTGAAGGGAGGGAGGGGGAAGGAGATGTCGGAGAAGTTGGTGGCGTGGGAAGTGGTACAGACCAGACGGTTCAGAAGGATGTACGATTGCAAGCGTGGGGCCTGGGGCACTTCTGTATCGATAGCGTCGAGTGTATCGAGGGGCGGCTGTTTGAGGGTTTGGATTCGATGCAGTTGAGCCCACGTCACGCCACTTTGGGGGGGTTTTGCACATGACAACAGCCCTGTATTTTGCTCTGCCATACGTACAAGCCATAACAATCATCAGCACTGGGGAGTTTCCTCTACTCCGTATACTCGAGTAGTACCGCCGTCACCACAATCGCACAATGCATCCTATGGCATGTATCATCTCAAGGCGGCGACTGTTTCCAAGTGTTGGGGTGCGCCCTTGATTGGTTTGATAGGCAAGGGGTCACAGGGGATGGCAGGGAATCACAAACCAAGGGCCAAGGGCGCGTAACGGGGTCAGTTCCGTGCGAGGAAGACCTCCGTCTTGGCACCGTAGCACACGTGATCATAATCTGCACGTGATGCTGCTCGTGACACATAATACCCGTATGTGACATGAAAAAGATACCACGTGATCTCCGGTTTCTGACGGACTACAGAGCAAGGATGCTTACGTAACCCGCCTGGCAAAAATATACCACGTGACCTCGGAAATCCCGACAGAGTCGACTCGTGAGCCTTGGCATGGGAATCTCGACTTTCAATTACAGTCGGCATCGTTGCAGCTTCGCCTCCACCTCAGCGCCTACCACCTGTGTTCTTGCTCGTTGCCCCAATCATAAGCGGGGGATCTATTGGCCAACGGGCCGTTCACAGCTATGTCGCAAGTCAATGGCGTGGTGAGTAGCAGCCATCCTCCGCAGAATTGATTTCTGACCCCCGATCGTGTAGACCAAGCTGGCGTATTCCCGGACATGGCACCACATCTCAGCCTCGACTCCCCATTACGGCCTCACCACCATTAAACCTCTTCCTCCCGTCGATTCACCTCTCCTCGAGCCGCCGTCGCTTGGCCGCCTGGCGTCGCGGATAGCTACCATTCTCTGCGGCAAGCACAAGCCGATTTGGGACCCGTCTACCGACTGTGGTGACTATGTGGTGGTCACAAACTGCTCGCAGCTCCACGTTACTGGCAAGAAGATGTACCAAAAGCAATATTACAGACACAACACGCGCCCTGGAAGTCTCAAGCAGATCAATATGGAGGGACTGATGGAGAAGTTTGGAGGAGCGGAGGTGCTGAGGAAAGCGGTTTCGGGGATGCTGCCGAAGAACAGGCTGAGGGACGACAGACTGGCGAGACTAAAGGCGTTTGAGGGAGACTCTCACCCATACAAGAGGAATATTGTTAAGTTTAATGGGGTGAGCAACGTGGCGAAGTGGCCGCCTACAAGCAAAGTCGAGGCCTCCTCGTAGGAGACTATGAGGAGCGGAACTGTGGACACTGTATTTTGTATAGATATATTGTAAATTATGAAGGCACTGGGCGGCAGATGGTCACAAGAGGCCAAACTTCAAATGAAATAACACATTCAAAACATCAAGCAAGAACGAGCTCATAGGTCTACCCCAGCCCTTGCCAAGGTAGGCTTGCATGTTGACTCCCCACCAATTGGCCCCTGGCAAACGGTGAGAATCTCATTTTCAAGACTATCACCGCACCTAAAGATAAAACCATCATCGAAGACAAAGTTGTTCCCAACTCTTGTGCAGTCATCTATTTCCTCGGCCTCGAGGAAACCAGCAAGGCTCTGGTCGTCAAACTCCTTGCTGGTGCATGTCACAGTATCCCCCGGTGTGCCTTTGGCGGGCTCGAATTCCAAACTACCGCCGAGGGCGCTGTGGAAGAGGCTGAGCCCAACCGAAATCGAATATAGAGAGAGCTGCATTGTGTGTGGGAATGGAGATGAAAGGGAGGGGTGATCGATAGTTGTGAGCGGTGTCAAATGTAGATAGTTTTGGTGTAATGATTTTTTGATAGTGTGGCTCTAGTTTATGATGGTTAACTGTCGTTGAAGGACCTTGGTTTTGCACCTCATATTTATAGTGCCTTTACAATGTTTCTTCTGCAAGCTTTAATCAGCAGCTCTAAGACCTGTCCTAGATTTCCCGGAGCAAAGCACTTTTGATTTGTGGTTAGAGGCTTGTATCACTTCCAGCAGCGAGCTGATCCCACAAAGCTGAGTCTACTCTGGTGCATGATGCTTGATGGTATGCACATTATCACAAGTAGGCACTCACCATAGTAGTTACGCTGGCCAGCTACACCATCTGTGTTGGGCCATCACACACGTTTGTGAGACATGGCCATGGAGATGGTCGAATACACGTCACGCAGCGTCTCGGAATGGAAATCTTTTCTTGAACTTTGTCGAGGCTACGTACTAGGGGAGAAGAAACCAACGCTCAATATCTATCTCATGTGAAAACCCCAGTGCGTGCCCAATGATGTGTAAAGGGAGTGGGAATGACCTAATTTGTACAGGAAGCGTAGCTAAAAACAAGAACTTGTGCGACATGAACATGTCCCATATATACCAAAGAAGAAACCCAAAACATCCTCGCCAATATCATATGCAGCTACAACTCTTCTATAATTTGCCTTTCTCCAGCTTGTCCTTGCGCCCAACGGTGCATTTGATCAAGCCATTCGGACCCGACTGCGGAGCGTAGACAGTGGTATCAGCCCCCGTGTTCTTAATACCCTTGTGGAAGCTCAAATCTAGAGAAGGCGTCAGTGATTCAATACACTTACAAAGGGGCAATAGGGTTCTTACCAATCTCGAAATAATGCTTGTTGGGCAGCGAGTACTCGACAGTCTCAACACCCGGCACTGCCTTCAAGATGTGCTCGCACATCTTATACATGGTATTTTGCACAGACGGGCTGTTCTCCTCCGCAAACAGCTTCATCGTAATCTCACGTGCTGCAGCCCACGCCTTGTCGAACTTTGGAACAGAGGCCCGCACCGATCTCAAAGACTCGAAGTTGTTCCACTTCCACGTGCTATCGATCTCGGTGGACAGAATTCTGTCCCAGACTTCAGGGAGAGTGGTGTACTCATCACGGACGAAGCCGTGGAATTGGGAGCCAGTGCTCTTCAGGACCAGCAGTCCGGAGATGCTACTGCGAACTTCGATGCCCTTTCCTTCCCGGGCAGTAACTTCAACATTCCTCGTCTCGTTTCCGTCACGGAAGAACGAGTGGGGGTGGGGCTTCCCATCCAGGGTCATACGGGTCCAGCGGTGGACGATGACTTTCACGTGAGCAGCATGGATATGCTTATACGTGTCGACGAAGTGCGACGCGAGGATGCTGGCGTAGAGTTCAGGAGGAGTCACGGGGTTCTCTTTGGCCTTGATGTAGATGGTGTTCTTGATTGAGTCCGTTGCAACGACAACACTGTTGTCGGCGTCGGTATATCTGAAAGAGAGGGTTAAACTAATATACAGGCTAATTTTATGGGGGCACTTACGAGGGCTCGATCTCTCCTTCTAGCAGAGCACAAACGGTCATTTCGGTGACAGTTTGGACGGCAGATTTCTCATCGCGGTGGACTTTGTAAACGCGGACGTTATCCTTTCCATAACGAGCCTCAACGATAGCGGCCATTTTTGATATATGTGATTTATTAAGATAACGGATAGTTGGTTCTTGTAATGCTTGGTTTTCAAGCTATAGGTATGAGTAGATGAGATTGGAAATTCCTATCGAAGGACGAGTCCGACCCTCTTTATATAGATCCGGAAGCAGCCAGGGACTTCCGTGGATAAGTGGTATCTCGATATCACAAGTTGGAATCTAGGTATAGAAGCGGAGACGGACGACGGGTTAAGCGGCTTGGGGATTGAGATCAGACACGAATCGGGAGGCTAGACAAGGGTAAAGAGACGGGGATCAAGTAAATATTATGTATATCGATCATAAAGTAGCATAGAAGAACGTTTATGAGGCTATGTTGAGATCTCTTCCATGTCTCGGGGGTTAGCTAGCGTGGGATCGGAGTACGCCGATATGCTTGATACATCCTGTGTACAAGCTGATCGCCACACGGAGAGACCCAGTTGCCAGCGCAAAAAGCAAAAAGCTCCAGGTGAGTAAGTACCGTGCCTTGGTCGTGCCGCCGAAATGTGCTGTAGAGAAGGGTTCGCTGGAGTAGTTGAACTCAATTACTTATAAGTGTTTATAAAAACTGCCAATAAAATAACGATATAAATATTCCTGATCATCTGAAGCTGTAATTAGCATATTGTTGATCTTTTGATAAGCCAGTTCTCTGGATTTTAAACAAAAGAGAGAAATTATATCAGCTTCAATTCCTTCACATAATCCGTCCTTTCGCCTTTTGGGCGGCACGAGACCACCACAGTATGCGTAGCATGTACTCGGTATACAAAGTAATATATATGCTCTTAAGAATCCTACGGTCGGCATAGAGGGCTTCTAGAATAACATCTACATGCTTAATATGCAATGTAGATAAGTTCAAGTTGGCGTAGGTTTAGTTCGTTCCATTCGTCGAATATTATCTTATGGATTCGGTCTGTACTTGCTCCAGATTTCCACGGCTAAACGCGAGGGGGAGGCTTGACGTTAACAGTGCCTCGCGCAATTCGCATACCCGCACGCCTTGCATTTTAGGCAACCAGTTTGGCGACGCGGGCACGACTGGAAACAATGCCATTATCAGTTACCAATGTAAACGTTGACAATTAAGCTATCTTCGAGCCCACTAAGTGGCATCACTCTCATTATTCCTATAGAACTTACACATCTATACATCTTTTCTCCCAAGTTCTGGAATTCACCGTCTCTTATCCATCAATAGCAACAACCAGCGACTTTGACTGCGCCCATCCGAACCTCGAATTGCTTCCGGGACCGCCTCACAACGGCTAATCAACAGCCATCGAATAAGCCTCAAATGCGATATTCTCTCGCCTGGTAGAGAGACGGGCGGAGCAAGCCGATGGGGTAATGGTTGGCCCACCGAGCACCCTGGGCTCGTCCGCGACGCCGACTCAGAAGACACTCCAAAACCAGCAGTCGACACCTTACCTCGTGGCCCAGTCGCGGGCGAGTCTGGATCGGGATGGCTCACAACACCCACGGTCCCATAACGGGGCCCAGGTGCTATCCTCGTCAGCCATGTCTTATGGGCCTCGAGGTTCCTCCTTGGCACCCCTTGCCGCGCCCGGGAGCTTCAGTTCAGAACTGCGGAGCCAAGCTGTGTCATCGAGGGCGAGTTCGAGGGCGGAGATGGGCTCTACTATAGGCCTGGAAAGACTCGAAGAAGACGTGACTCATGTGTCCGAACAAATGATTTCCGTATTGAGGGAGAACCTCAACCGAGAGATGAAGATCAAGGAGGGCAGTGAGAATATGCTTGAAGCTCTCAACACGAAGAAGGCAAAACAAACCAAGGAACAACGGACACGTGTTGAGGCAGAGCTCAACTCCTCCAACAAGCGCATTAAGGACTTGTTATCTCAAATCTCGGAGCTTCAGAGGCCACAGGCGCAGGCACCATCTACGCCAACGCGAATTCGCATGGCTGGGCTGTTCCACAGTACTGGATTGAGGTCTCCCCCAAGTCTAGCAAAGAGCGGCGCCACCGATTCGAATGACGAGGAACCTTCTGAGTCTCCAACATATGTCCTTGCTGAAATTTTACAAGCTTTGGAAGTGGAGGGCCTGGCGCCAGACTACTATGTTGGCCATGCAAATAATCTAGTCGAACTTTTCAAGCGGCATCCAACGTTGAAATATGATCTGGTATGGTCGATATTCGGTCTCCGAATGCAGGTTATGCTTCTTAGTGAGAGTAGAGAAGTTGTTGCCGCTGGATATCGCATGACACGCCACGCAATCTCCGACCTAAACTCTTTGCAAAAGATTAGAAGCCTAAATACGGACTACCTTGTCGTACTCTCTCTTATCAAGGAAAGGAAAGCCGATGTCGAGCGTGAGCAGGCGCTCAAGTTTGTGCGTGCATTTCTTGAAGTGAAGGATGGTGTACACGAAATTTCGAGGGCTATCGTGCGGACAATTGCATCTGTTGCAGAGCATAATGAAGATCGGCTGAAAGCGATATGCATTGAGACATTGGCAGAAATCATGATCAAAGATCCAGCGCTCTTAGTTGCCGCTGGTGGGTTCCGACCCCTTACTGATGCTCTCGGTGAAGGCGGATATGAAGCCTGTGAGGGGCTTATTGCGGCATTTCTATACTTGCTTGATGCTCCACAGCGGCGAAAATATCTTCGCTCCGGTTTTGAACTCGAGGTTCTGTTCACTACTTTTACCGATTCATTATTCACCCGAGAAAGGTTACTGAAGCAGAATGCCAAAGCTATCTCATCTGCGATGAAGTCGTGGCCTGGCCTGTTAACGCTATCGATGTACGACTTCCGGGCTATCAAATCTTTAATATCTTCATTGATGTTACCCCACCAAGCCATTCGCGAGACAGTTATAGACCTGTTATTCAGTCTGCTTCGAATAAAATCGCCCTCGTGGTCTTCCTCATTTCTGGCTGGCCGGCGTTTGACAACATACGGGCGCGTGGCCAACTTGAAAACTCAGCCGACTAAAGCCACCTCATCCTTCGCAGTCGAAGATGAAAGTGCTGAAAAGAACCTCACTGACCACTACACTGCTCTACTTCTTGCCGTTTTGATATCATCGGATATGATACCTGGGTTGCTTCAAATCACCAGCGAGCCAAATAATCCGACATTGAAACGCAGAGCTACTTTGCTTCTCGGGGAAGTTTTGAAACTCGCAAACAAGCTGCTGCCTCCCGCCTGGAGTAACGATTTACAGTTGCTACCTGCTCTCTTCGCAGACGCATCTCGGTTCGGTACAGAAGAGAGATACATTGCAACAGGAACTGTTTATCAGATGGATAGCGTTAACCGTACTCTCGACAGGTCAACGCCAACGAACAACAACTCCATTGCAAATATTGTAAAAAATTCTAGCACCGACAGCCTCGACGAACCGCAGAAGAGCGTCCCTGGCCATACTTTTGATGAAACTTCTTTCCGACAAGTGCTCTTGGATACGCAGGTACTGAACAGCACCAACTATATAAAGTGGAAGTGGGATCTTATCCTCAAGGTAATTGAAGGGCCGTTAGTCAATGGCAAGCGTTTGGACGAAGCTATCAAGACATCTAAGTTCATCAAGCGAATTGTCAGCTTCTATCGACCGTTCAAGTACAGGTTTGCCGCTGTACGAAATACTGGACCAAACCAAAAATACATCAAGGTGGGATGTGCTCTGATAAAGACACTACTTCAGTCACCGGAGGGTGTAAAGTACCTTGCTGAAAATAAACTATTGCGGCAAATTGCCGAATGCCTGGCTCAATGTGATCCGGTAAGTTTCCTGGTACTTCCTGATTACGTCTATGGGATACTAATACATTCCAGGCAAGCGGTATAACAGCACAATCCCCGATGTTCTCCCAGTTTTGGCTTTCTGAGACGCTCCGGAGCGGCTATTTCGCAATGATAGGGGTGTTGAGCGCGGACCAGAAAGGTCTGCAAATGATGGACCGCTGGCGGATGATCAACATGATGTATCACATCCTGGACCTAAAGCAACGGCCGGATTTGATCATGCTTTTACTCTCAAACTTTGATTACTCTTTACATGGGCATCCAAGAGTTCTGCTGTCCAAAGCTCTGACGGGTGGGACCAAAGACATCCGCATTTTTGCAACTAACGTCCTTCGAAAGTATTCAACTCGATCACGGTCGAAAACTCAAGGTGCTTTGAGGGTGAGCGACTCCAAATGGGCCATCCAACTCCTTGTTACTCAACTTTACGACCCTGAAATAGAAGTTTGTGCCACAGCAATCAAGATACTTGAGGAGGCTTGCAACCGCAAAAGTTACTTGGAATATATTGTCGAGTGTCGCCCGGCCCTTGACCATCTCGGCGAGATCGGTGCCCCTCTTCTATTACGATTCCTATCATCATCGATAGGATACCATTACTTGGATGGCCTCGACTATATCAGCAATGAAATGGATGACTGGTTTCTGGGCCGTAACGATGCCTACGTTGCCGTAATAGAGGCGGTACTGACACGTGCTTTTGCGGAACCCCAAGAAGAGGCGACGGGAAGGGTTAGTCTCGATGAGGATCTATTCGAACCCGACCGCTTTGAAAATGATTCCCGTGTGCCTCCTCATTTCTATAAGGAGCTTGCGAGGACTAAAGAAGGGTGTAAGCTTCTCAGCGATAAAGGTCACTTTGATGAGTTTTCCGCAACTATTCGCGATTCCGGCATGCAAACAGAGGATCCGGAAGTCATGCTCAAAGTCAAAGGCTGCCTTTGGGCTGTTGGAAACGTTGGCTCCATGGAGCTTGGAGCACCATTCCTCGAAGAATCCGACGTTGTTGAGAATATCGTGAAGATGGCCGAAAATCATCAGATCATGAGCATGCGGGGGACAGCGTTCTTTGTGCTGGGACTCATATCACGCAGCGTCTATGGCCTCGAGATACTATCGGAATTAGGTTGGGACAGTAATACCACGAGCATGGGCGAGTCGCTCGGATTATGTATCCCTTCCAATCTTCGAAAGTTGTTTTTGTTTGCTCCATGGGAGCACATGAAACCATCCGATATAACCCTGGGCGATACGCAAATGGTTTTAGGGGAAGAATCAAGAAAGGAGACTGATCCCATCAATATGCGTATATTGCAGCTTATTGTCGATTTGGGGAACACAGTTCTCACAAAGAAGGCAACTAACGAACTGATGCACATCAAGCAACGAAAAGCCCCGGGGTTCAAACAGCAGGAGCTCTTCAGGAAAATCATGACAATCCTTGAGTGCCACCACTTCCGATTGCCAATCCGGAGGTTTGTAGTGGATTTATTTGATAGAAGCGTCATGAGACGGATAGTTCTTGACGAGGAGAGCAGTGACAACGATGAAGAAGACCTGGATAGCAGCGATGGAAGCGAAGCGGGCACAGAGCGCCAACGGAGTATTAGTGTTCCGACAGTACCGAGGAGACTTCAATGATCTCAAACGACCCCCAGTTACACACTATATGGCGTATTTGAAGTTTTTTTTTTTTTTTGCATTTCAACACTGGATGGATGATTTGCGGATGTTCATTGTATGATAGATCTACGGCGGCGTTTTGGTTCGCTCATCACAGGATAGTGCTACGTACTAAGGGCCAAATCTATGTATAGCAGATGTAATGAACAACGAGTTAAATACCAAGCTCAATTGTCAGTACAGTGCTTGACTCGAAAATTGTGGGCTTCTTTCTTATGGCCAAATCCGAAAGTGCTTGCTCCGTTGACGAGTCACATCCAGGAGAATTATCATTCAGATACGGTGAGTAATACTACTACACCGACATTTGGATGCAGGTCACGGTGGCTAGAAGTAATATAAGTATCTGAAGTCATTCTTGTAAAGCTTTTCTTGCAATAGCACTGATATTATGTAACGCCCATGAATTGCCACAGCCCCATAACCAGCCCAATGCACGCATACCCCTGATTTACGCTCGGACTGCCGCACCAAGGGCGCCACCGGTGAACCTTGTCCCACCCTCTTGTCTCTGGGTATTCGGTCCGCCACCACGTCCGCCACCACGGCCACCTCTCTGTCCTCCCCTGCCACCACCACGTCCGCCCCTGCCGCCTTGGCGCTCAAAGGCATTTGCGGTGCCTTGTGTTCTAGTCTCCAGGGTCCTCTCATTGCTCTCAATGAGACCGCTGGCCTTGTCACTCAGAGTCAGAGCCAAGCTCTGGAGTCTGCTCAGCTCAACACCCTTCCTGAAGATGATGGACGAGTTGACCTGGTCAAGAGCAGCAGCAAGCTCCTCGTGGCTGATCATCTTGCTGACAATGGCGGCAACCTTGCGGTTGGACAACTCGAACATGGATGATAGAGTGGCAACAGATAAGGTGTCGTAGAAAGGAGCGTAGGTGAAGAGATATGTGCGAAGACCCTCTTCTTGTATTTGCTCAGAAAGCATGGTCTTAATGGCATCCGGTTTCGACATCAACTCCCAAATCTTGATGGAGTGGATGAACTCAGTAGCCTTCTGCCACTCGCCTGCTGCAAGAGCCTTCGACGCCTGCATGACGTGGTCACGGGTGTTCTCCGGTGGCCCAGTGAAGATTTGGCGCTCATGGTATTCGAGCATACGGCGGTAGGTCTTGCTGATAACACGCTTCTTGATATCCGGGGATGACCCGGTTTGTGCCAGGAGAGGAATCTCGAGGAGCATGCTGCAAGTAAGGTACACACATTCGAGGAGCTCGAGGTTGATGTGCATGTGGAATGGCAGCTGGCGCTGGCGTTCAAGGCGCTCCTGCTCGGGCGAAACTTGGTTGTAACGTTGGATCATAACACCCTGAGCGAGCAACTCCTTTTGGCGTCCGCTACCGCAGATTTCCTGGAGCGTGTTCTGTGCCTCATACACGAGTCCAGCACGGAACGCGCAGAGACCAACTTGGACGAGGGTCCTGTTGAACAGGATTTGGCTGTTGACGTCGAAGTTGCTGATTGTCTCTTGTAAATGCGACATCAACATCATATCGCGAGCCTTATAGTAGTTATCGTGCAGTGCCAAGAAGTAAATCTGGCAAAGCATAGCGCGAGCGCGGATGATACCTTCGCTGTGAATGAAGAGGTAGTTGCAGAGAACATTGACGAGAGCGGTGGCATCGGGAGTTTGGGTTTGCGAAGTAATCGTCGACTGGAGAGATGCCGGGATTGACTTCCAGCAGTTCTCTTCCAAAATCTTGACTACGGTAGCGGGCTGGAAAAACACGTTAGCACGTTGAGCATTACATCGATGTCTGGGTATCACTAACCTTGAAGTATACATGCTCCAGTCTTCGCATGATAATCCTGTTTGTATTATCTTGCGGGATCTCTAAGCTAGTATCTTTTGTCATCATCTCAACATATAATTGAGTTCTGACGATGCTGTTATAGAGAGAGCCTTCGTCCGAGAGCCTGTCAATGTACTCTGCGGTATGAGGATCGATATGCTGTAAGGATCGGGTGAGCTCGTCGTCTAGCCTTTCAATATAAGATACCACGCTGCCTGGAATCTTCAGCTTCTCGCCAGCAACTGGGACCGGCGCCTTCTCGTCATCTTCCCAGTCCTCGGCGTTCTCCACGACCACAAGATCGAGATTTGACTCCAGTATTGTAAGAAGAGTTCCGAACTCCTGCTCAGCAGCCTTCCACTGCTCCTGGGACATAAAGGTCTGTGCACCAGTGGATAAATCGAAACGAGTCGAAATCAAGGTAAGAAGCACGCGGATTTTCTGGTACGGTGTGGTGGCGACTTCGTAAAGCTTCTCCATGATCTTGATCTGTTCTGTGCGGTCGGTGTTCTTCTTTCCTCTGGACTCCATGATGCTCCGCAGATGCTTCAAGATGCTCTCGGGTGTGAATTGTAAGGTGCGGCCGCCCTTTCCAACGGTATGGAACCCATCGTCTGCTCCTGGCTCCTCATCTAATGCGAAGCTGACAGCAGCCTTTCCGGGCTTCTTAACGACCACCACCTCTTCCTCTTCCTCCGACTCCATGAAGGCGTCCTTGTCGGCTCTGTAAGCATCGACATCCTTTTGGTAGTCCTTGTTGTTCTTCTTGATACGTTGCTTGACCGCGTTGAGACCACGGGCATTTGTGGCATTCATCTTCTTCGCAGTAACCTTCTGCTTCGCGATCGTCTCGTTCATGAAGTCCTCGAGGTCGGCGATGGCCTTAATGTACAGCTTGGGCATGCTTCCGGATTGAAGAAGCTTGACAACCTGACGGTTGATCTTATCGAACTCTAAAGTACAAATATGATTAGCAAACGCGAACTTTTATAGCCGTAATAATTGAACATACCTGCGGAGATAGAACCCCAGTCGTTGATCTTCTTTCCGTTCTCGATGGCCTTGGATGTTGCCTCCAGCTCCTCCAAACGCTTGTCTTTGGCGCTCTTCACAACGTGGACTTGCTCATCGTCGGTGCTCTCGTCCTCGTCAGATCCGGCACCACGGAAGAAGGCCATGGCACCGGTCTTCTTGCCGCCGGCCTTCTCATCCTCGGATTCACTCTCGCCCTCCTCATCTTCTTTCTCGGAGCCGGACTCGGACGCCTCTTGCTCCTCGTCTTCCGATTCAGAGTAAAGCTCCTCCTCCTCCTCGGAGCTGCTCTCGCTGGAGGTGTCGTCTCCGGTACGGAAGAATTTTGAACTCATCTTGTTGAGTACAAGGGCGCTTCCTTTGACGTTGTAGGTACGTAGATGCAGAGCGCGCACAGATGTCGTCGCGGTTTTGAGGGTAAGAAATTGAGGTTGGGTCCCCGCGCTAATTTTTATGGAAGCGAGAGATCTTTCCATGCCCTAAGGCATCCATTCATTGGCGGGGTGGGAAGATCGGATTTAGCGCGAGGCGAATGGGGAAGATATTGGCACCGCAAACTGAAAACCATAATTGGTTTTATATTTAGTTGGGAGATGACTGGCTCAAAAATGATTCATGATTTGCGCATGCTATAGTATTATTCATGCTAAGTAACGACTGGCAATCATACAGTGCATAAGCCATTAGGACAAGCGCTAAGTTAAGTGCCACCAATTCCTCATTCTGGTCCTGCCCCCCACCAGATGATAAACCCCATCCTACGATCATTCCCTCATAGTATTCATTAATATCGTCTTCATCATTTCGTTGCCGACTTTCGTAGCATCAGCAAACCTAGGTTCGAAGAATTTCCTAGTGCTCTCGAATCGATCCTTGTATGACTCAAAATCACCAAAGGTCACACAGTCAGACCACCCACGGGCAGCAAATGTGAACTCGAGGTCGTCGGATCGGAATGTGTTGTCCTCAATCGCAATTCGAATAACATCATCTAACAATGCGGGTTGGCGAAAAAGGTATTCGGTGACACCCAGCCACAGTCGGAATAGGGGGGTCGAACAGATCATATGATCGTATGGCACGATGCCCATCCTCGACCAGCAGTCAACCATAGCCAGAAGACTAAGGTGGTTATTTGGGGTCGGTTCGTCCGGTTTCTTCCCAAGTGAGAACCTATCAAGGACTTCGTCTTCAAGGAGGATCCCATGATGCGACTTCTGTGCATCAAAAACAGCAGCGCCAGCAGCTCTGATACGCCTTTCAAATTCTTCCCTGTTCCCTCCCAGCATCAGCTTGAACAAGTCAGTGACAGACTGAGAATATTGGCGTATTTGTTCTTTCGCATATGGGTTCAGTATTGCCAGTCCTGCGTACACGTGCCATTTTTGCGAATATATACGGAGGGTCAAGTTGATCTTGACATTTTCGATGCCTCCAACGTAACGCGCAATTTCCCATGGAAACTGGGCGTTGGCATGCCATGCTTTCCCCATGGACAAGAATGCAGCATGAGTTACTGCTTGCGTGTCTGCGGTGATACGGTCATGCTCTGTAGCACTGAGATATACATGCTGCGAGCCAAGACAAGAAAGGACTTTCTCGACTCGGTCAAAATTGGCCTGAGAGGCACGATGTTTTATCAAGACCTATATCATCGTCAGAATACGCAACGATGACTTCTGGCATTCTCCAACTAACCAACGGCTGGCCCTTGGGATCAACATTGGGTCCGTGCAAGGAATGGCAAGAGACGATGTCAACGTCTTTTGGCAGGTGGGCCTCGAACGCTGCAATCTCGGGGGATTTACAAGAAGTCTGTCCACCAACAATAGCGCCTTGTTTTGTTGCTGTACAATGTTAGCCGTCCCCAGTCGAATCGATCACGGCAAAGAGACACATACATGGCCCATACAGTGCCACAACTTTGTCAATGGAGGCGGCCTCAACATTGTAAATGATATAATCGCTCGCTCTCGAGACCAAGTGGCCGTTGGGTAGTATCCCAACTTGTTTCTATTGGGTACTCAGCACGATGTGCAAGAATTCTATGTACAAATATATATACTCTACTGGAGAATTCATCCACTAGATCCAGATATTTTTCTTCTCTATCACAAGCATTGACTCTGCAAGGACCTTGTTAGTACTGTTTACCCCATACTCACTAAGTATTCGGCAATATGTGCGAAGTTGTGCCTGATGCTGGTATGCTGTTAGCTTGAGTCCTCCCATGTGAAATAGAGAAACAAGTGCTCAATAAGTAGATTCAGACAAATAAAAAATAAGGTAGCTGAGATTATTCATCAGTGAAAGTCGACCCCCAATCCCGGTGCCAGAAAGGCAGTCGGGTTGAGTGAAGACGATGCGTCGAGCCAAATGCACTCAAGTCATCATTATGTGGGGGCAGTGTCGCGAGAGCAAAATTGAAGCTTACCATCTTGTTGGTTGCCCAACGGCAGGGATAAATTACCTCCATCCTGCATCGCTGAGCTGCCTTGCGTACATCTTCCCCATATCCCCCATGCCAATGATGCCAATGACAAAGTTCTCCATGGCTGCGGCTTCGACGTTGTCGCTATTCTCTGTAGTTCAATCTCACGGAATATACCCAATGAAAAGGTTAGTGAGCGGCTCACATCTGTGAGTGGTGATGTACTGTAGGGAGTGTGAAAATGTCGCAGTCAGAGAATTTAATTGATAGTTTGATAGTAAAGAAAGTTGGGGGAGGAAGCAGACAAAATCTGAAATAAATACGGACCGATATGGGTAACCTGTTCTGGCTTAGTGTAAATTTAGGTCGCTTAAAGTTCGCGGCACACACAACAACTTCAAGAATTTGATGGCCTAGTTTTGCTGAAACATTGTCAAAATCTCCCAACGCCAAAACAACCGCCAACATGCCTCCAAAGAAAGTCGCGCGCCCCGCGCAAGAGAACATCTCCCTCGGCCCTCAGGTCAGAGATGGTACGTTGGCATCAATGTCGTCAAGAAACCCCCACTAACCATGTCCGTAGGTGAGCTTGTCTTCGGCGTCGCTCGCATCTTCGCTTCTTTCAATGACACCTTCGTGCACGTCACCGATCTCAGGTTCGTAAACCCCTGGAGAACCCATACTGTTGAAATCTGGGCGAATCTGGTCGAAAGAATGGGGACTAACTTGGATGCAGTGGTCGTGAAACCATCACCCGTGTCACTGGTGGCATGAAGGTCAAGGCCGATCGTGATGAGTCTTCTCCTTACGCTGCCATGTTGGCTGCTCAGGATGTCGCCATCCGCTGCAAGGAGCTTGGCATCAACGCCCTCCACATCAAGATCCGTGCTACCGGAGGTAATTTTCACTGTGATATCTTTGTTACAGAACAGGCGCTAACAAAATTAATTTAGGTAACGGAACCAAGACCCCTGGCCCAGGTGCCCAGTCTGCCCTCCGTGCTCTTGCCCGCTCTGGCATGAAGATTGGCAGAATCGAGGATGTTACCCCAACTCCTTCTGATTCTACCCGCCGCAAGGGTGGTCGCCGTGGTCGCCGTCTTTAGACGGTGGCTTCTGTGGATATTTGGGTTTTTGTGCAGATTTGACAATCACGCGGAGAACGGCTCTAATTGCCTGGTCTTCAATACTGCTATGTTGCCACGCGACAGTAGAGCACATCAGTAGAAAGAATCGAACCCATGCTCAAGTATACGTTGTTCCAATATGCTATGACAAGTGATAATGAAGGTGCTGGTGCGATTGTAATTCTTGGCTGTCTCCGTTTCCGTAATACATTTACGGGACCATTGGTAGTATCCTCGAGACAGCTTTCCAGAATGATTGCATGCAGCTGGTAGTAGACACCCTTCCAGCTCACCTCTTAGGCACAACCCCGCCACGAAAGAACCCCGCTATGAAAATGTCTCTGAACTGGATAAAAACATCACGCAAGTCTGATATTCATATGTAGAGATTCCTTATGGTCCATACAAAATATGACAGGACCGGGTATTGCATTCCTCAAAGTAAGATATTATTTCTGATTTTATATGTGGATGCTGCACAGTATGTATATATAGCACAATGAGAAATACTTCTCGCCATCACTACCACCCAATCGTGCCCTTTTCTCGCCCGCCCTCGTCCAGTTCAACCAGCACCGGCGCATACTCACCCCTTTCATCTTCGGCCTCCAGATCTTCCATTTCTGCATCCACGTATTCACCATCCTCTAGCTGGATCTTACCAACTCTAAGATAGTTACCTCCCAGGTCCCAGCCCCATTTCGACAGCCAAGTCTCGAGTCTCCCAAAGGTTGCTTTTAATTTGTTTTCCTCCCTGCTCAAACCGTTAGGCTTTGAAGATAGCTGCTCAGAAAGCCGTGATTTGAAAATAGTTAATTCTACCTTCAGCTCATCCTGTAAGTGGTTGCTGTGGTCGAATATGCTTCCTTGGAGATACTCATCATCATAGACCAGCTGGGCTTGAAAGACCTCAATAACCTTGGTGAAGAAGTGAGCCTCTTCCACGGCGAATCTGAATGCCTTGAAGAGTATTTTGACCACATGGCCCCATTGTTCCATACAACAGATGTTGCTAAGCAGGACTCCAGTCATATAACAGAACTGCAACTCTCCAAGCACATCGTCCGGACCATCTGAAGTACAACCGTCTGCTATAACAGCCCTCACATGCGACGAGCTATCCATGGCTTGCTCGCTTCTAGCTCGACCTATCGCGGCCTCCGAGTAAGTTTTAGATCCAGCCGGGAAGATAAACCCGAGCTTCTTCTCCTCCGCAATGGTAGCATCGATATCGGCGGGTTTTGGAACGATGCCCATTGCTGTCTGGTGTTGGTTGTCGGCTGGTTTGGTATCTGTTGGCTTGCGTTCGTCCATGGATGTAACTTTCCAGTCATTCCAAGTGCCGCCGGTGACCCTGCTAAGCATCGGGCCCTTGATAGCGAATGTAAGGTCTTGCCAGGTTTTGGGATCATCACCATGTGATTCCGCTGGATTTCCCCTTGATTTTGAAAGTTCCGACGTTTGAACAGCTCGTACATCGTATGGCAGTAACGTGCCGTAGCTTGACTGTATATTATCTTTTTGCCGCCTGATTTCAACAGCACTGTCCTCGTCCTCCAGAGTCTCGGTGTTTCTATCCCACTTCTTAACGAAAATCTCCCCCGGTTCTCCGGGCCGTCTTTGATTTGAGATAATCCAGAACCCATTCCGAGTTGATATCTCAGACATGGAACCTCCATAGATAAAATGTGGCCCAGGAGGTAATTCGCGGATCCCTCCGAAGTGGTGATTCTTTTCAATGTTCAGGCCGACTGTGTCATAGCCAATGAAAGAGCCTGGTGGCACGCCTGCAATGATCACGACGTCTCCTTCCTGAAGGTACTGTTGCGACCAGTGCTTTCTTCGAGAGTTACCAGCATGTAGCTGGAGTGAGTTCATGGGAGAGCCACTTAACCCGGTTGAGGTATCCGCGCGAGACGCAGTTCCTGTTGCTTGACTCCTACCTGATCTCGGCAGCGGCCGCAGCGGCAGCGCTATTGATCGAGTCAAGTGCTGCTGGCGGTGATTCGGCTCATTCTGAGAGGACGAATCATTGTTATTTGAGGCCATAGCCTGTGGGTTGCGGATTGTATTAGGTTTGCAATCGAGGCCTATCGACGTGAAGGCTCGAGATTTATATATAAGGCAGTCCCGTGATCCAAGTCGCCCTTGTAGTATCTTGGGATATAAATTTATATTCTCATAGTATCGTCGTTGAAGATATGGGTGTCATTGTAGGTCGCTGGCATGTCAAAAGTAGAGTATTGAGAAATGGCAGGTACTGTATTTGCCTCGACACCGTTTAGCTCATAATGGCAAAAATATGGGTCATAGATTAAATCATGGCCAACTTTGCAATACCTACTGTGTCTAGATCAAACATAGAAGCCGGTAATTTCACTAAAATATAAATACGAACCCGAAATAAAGTCGCAGCACACTCAAAAGGTTCCAGCTATCCAACGTCGTCCATTTAGGCACTCATGTGGTATGAGCGGCTTCTTGCCTTGACCACCGAACCTGGACTAGCACTAGCCGAACAAATCTATCCCGTGACTATCACGTTAATCACAGCATGACAAGAGCATCTGCATGGTGCGCCTGTTTTGTGAAGGGTTAGGCGACTTCTTGCATCTTTATTAGTATTCTTGCTCTAGTTGTCATAATGGCGAATACTGGGGCTGATGGTATCAACGAGACCGGTATTGCGGCCAGCCAAGATCCAGCCGCGCAGCAGCCAGAATGGGATGGTGAACATCTCCAGGAGGCAGAGAAAACACTGAAGGAGATGTATATTCAGGTATGCAACGACCCCAGCTGTTACGTAAAACAACTCACATGATATAGCTCCGACAACTCCGTTCAACGATCCCAAACCTTGTTGCATCCCTAGCCACCAAGCAAGCGTCCCGTGAGCCCCCCCCACTCCAATAACTGTCAATCAGATGGACTAACACCATGAAACAGCTGAAATCCTCTTCCAACAGCTCAGTCAAGCTGCCTTGGCGGCCAACTCGAAAGTAAAGCAGTTCCGGGAAATCATGGAGAACCCCCAGAGCCGCAATCTTTTTGAACATGCGAGCCAGAGCAGGGCAAAGAATCCAGCTGGCATTACGCCGTGGAGAATTACGGATGATCCGGATTGGTTGAAGCGGGACTCATGAGGTGGAAATGATTATCTTGGTGGTTGAAGGGGGATTAATTGCGTGGGAATGACTACCGTGGAGTTGCATACGGCGCGCCTATGAGGATATTTACGGTATAGAAGTGGACAATGCCACATTCTTTGTATATATGACAATCGGTTTTTGGCAAGAAGGATGTTACTGGCGTTGGAATGGAAGATTACTGGATTGTTATTGTCTTGCCGGGGCCTGAGGGAGGGACTATATACTTGAGCAAGTGTTGGCAATCCTATCGATTTGAGAGCTTTTCAGGAGTTTGTTTTAGAATTCGAATGGGCAGCATAAGGAAATGAATGGGCAGCCAAAGGCATCAAATCTACACGCTATGCACTCTGCCATCATCGAAGGACGCGTACATTTGAACTTCGTACATTCCGCAAATCACTGTTGTAACACATACATCCATCTCCCCGGGCGAAGATTCACAGGGCGAATGACACAGGTGATTGACGAACGTGTGGTAGTTGTGATAATCCCGGCGAGCACTATCTTCAGCGGCACATAGTTTCAATCGTAGAATCTTTGCATTTCTTTTTGCATGGAATCCTACGCCCATCTCAGCCACAAGCCAACACCAGCGCAATCCATCCCAGCACCACCATCCCGTAATACCCCATCTCCACACGCAACAATACAGGTATTTTAACGGTAAGACTTTTGGTATCTGGCACGGGCTCCTGGACCACCGAATTTCTAGGAACACAAAAAGTCAGCATCTCTTCTGATATCAATCCCGGAACGCGATGGCGGCTGCATACCTTTGGCTCTGTGCGGCGCGGGTCGGCGACAAGTAGGGTACGGTCGTATGCGACGAAGGCGGCCTTCAGTTGGTTCTTTGCGTACTCATCGACGAACTTCTGGTAGTAGGCGACGAGGGACTTGGCGATGGCTTGACGGATGGCGTAGATTTGAGAAGTGTGTCCACCACCGGTGACGCGGACGCGGATGTCGACACCGGCGAACTTGTCGAGGCCGACAATCAGGAGAGGCTCGTACAGCTGTGGGCGAAGGATGTCAGAAAATCGTTTCTTCCAGAACCTCAAAATCCCCCATCTCTCCTTCTCCAGGGACCGGCGAGGGCGAATTTACCTTGAAGCGGAGGATCTCTGGCTGGATCAGGTTGAGCGGCTTTCCGTTAACCTTAACAAGACCCTTTCCGGCCTATACACACAAAACTCGTCAGTATTCCCATTCCACCTCGCAACAAATCCTCGCTTTCGGAGCACGGACCTTGCAGTGTGCGACCGCGGTGGCCGTCTTCTTCTTGCCGAAGCACTGAACGCTCTGAGATGTCGAGGCCATGGTTGCGATTGGCGTGAACTCGAGGATTCGTCGGTCGTGAAGGTTGTCGTCGAGGGCGGTAGTGTTGAATTTCTCCGAATTGTTCGATTGTGGGCTTCGCTTACCTTGCCCATTCTGCGCTAATGCAAAAAAGTAAATCCAGCGCGCCAAGCCGTGTACACGTGACCATTATCGCACCTTGCCCTTTATCGCTAGAGTAGCTCCCGCGTATCGGCGGTGACGACTCTCTCCCCCTCAAATCACTACAAACTCAAATCAAGCAACCATGGACGTCGGTACATAGATATTGCTACGCCAGCAATTTAGTACCCATGTCTCCCCATCGCCATCATGTCACGTAAAGCGGTAGGCCTCGCCGCATTCGACCGCTCCCGCCTCACCTCGGCGCAGTTCGCCTCGCACGGCTCCAACCTACGCACCACGCACGCCAGCTCCCTCTCAACCCAACTCTCCGTCTTCCGCTCCCTCCTCCAGCAATTCGCACAAACGCACGCCAAGGACATCCGGTCGAACCCTACCTTCCGCGCCGAGTTCGGGCGCATGTGCGCGGCGATCGGTGTTGATCCGTTAGCCAGCAGTTCGGGGGGAGGGAAGGAGGGGGGGAGTCTCTGGAGTCAGCTTTTGGGGGGCAGTGTGAATGATTTTTATTTCGAATTGGCGGTTAGGGTGGTGGAGGTTTGTGGGCTTACGAGGGAGGAGAATGGGGGGATGATACCGGTGAAGGAGTGTCGGCAGAGGATTATGAAGGGGGGGATGGAGGGGGCACCTGAGATCACAGAGTATGTTGCTTCTCCCCTCCTTCCATATTGTCGCCAGCCTACCAAAGCACACACTCTAACACTTCTCCACCAGTGACGACATCCTCCGCGCAGTCCTCTCCCTCTCCCCCCTCGGCTCCTCCTACTCAACCCCCAAAATCGGGTCGAAGCAATACATCCGCTCCGTCCCCAAAGAGCTCAACACCGACCAGAGCGACGTCCTCAAGACGGCCCAGATAATGGGATACGTGACCCTGTCCACGCTAGTGCTAAATCTGAAGTGGTCGAAGGCCAGGGCAAAGACCGCGATTGATGATTTGGTGGCGGAGAGTATGCTGTGGGTTGATACGCAGTGTGGGGAGTGGGAGTATTGGTCGCCTGGCTTTGTGCTGGAGGGGGTGGAGTGAGGGGATTGGGGTGGGTGAGATAGGTTGTACATACATCACTTTATGAAAACATATCACATTCACATTCACAGCCATGCATATAATTTCAGTGTAAAACTCCATTAAGGGTGCACGCGAATCGTTGCAAGTATTCTGTTGCCTAGCTTTACAAACAAACAAGTCGCCCAACGCCTGCCACACACACGACGACATACACGCACAGCAGCACGAACAAAGCACAACTTGATTCACCACAACAATCCACCCGGACTCTCTCAAAACCACGTTCTTTTGCAAGGCCCCAATCTAAAATATATACCATAAGAGGCTGAGTGCGTACGTGCGTGCGTGCGTGCGTGCGAGCGTCCGCGTAGCGATTCGCGTTATTATTAAGAACTCAAAACTGAACAGTAATAATTCCCAAAGGCCATCGTGCAAGACAAAAAAGTCCACCACCACCCTGGCGTGTGCAATTGTCGACAAAGGTTGTCAAGGATAAAAAAACAAAAGGTCGAACCACATCGCCGTCTGCCGCGGCCGCAGGAGGGATGTGAAAGCCTGTGCGGAGAGAATGAACGCGGAGACAGCGACGGTGACGCCTCAAAACGTTGGGGCAGTGCCTCAATTGCCTTTCTTTCTGTCTGTGTATAGTGACTATTCATTCATGCGCCAGTGAAATCAAAACAAGCAAAACAACAAAAAACTGGAAAACAGTAAAACTGGAATAATTGGTTGACCGCGTTTGTGTGCGAATAATTGCAACAGCAGCAGCAGCAGGTCTACAATGCCGCACCCCCAAGACAATAATGAAGGAGATGCGGCCCCATAATCATGACAAAAACGATCGATCAATGGTGTCGTAAAAAAACAGGGCGATCAGTGACCCATATGATACAGTAGCACTTCATAACTAAGTAAGCCGTTCCTCCTGCCGCTCTGGACGAGCGGCCATATGCCAGTTTGCTGCAGTCTTGTAGATCGTGAGAAATCGTTTAGTGTTGCTCGTATTTTGGAGCTGGGGCACCGTTATCTGTGAGGCAGCGGATCAGCCTGGGTTCCAAAGCGAAGAAGGGTAAGGGCTAATGACGTTGGCTATACATCTGGCTTGGGGCCCCGTAGGGAGAAGCTGGGTACCCGGAGTACATGTGGCTATTGCTGTACTCCTGGAGTTGCTGGACGCCGCCGGATGGGGCCTGGTATTGGCCAGGAACTTGCGCGCCAGGCTGGTAGCCGATCGGTGGAAGCTGGACCTGAGCGCGCCCAGGTTGTTGGTACCCAGGAGGAGGCTGGTTGCTGTCATTCGGGTTTTGTCCGTCAGCTGGGTTGGGGACTTGGGCGGCACGGGCACGGTCGTCCTCAGCCTTGCGCTGTGCGTCTTCCTCCTTCTTGCGTGCCTTCCATTCCTTTCTGATCTCCTTAAACTCTGTAGAGGAACAATGTTAGTCAGTGGTTTCCATGTGAAGTTGTGAAAGTAACGTGATCTGCCAAGTCCCAGACGTCTGGGTAACCGATGCTAGCTAGCGCAGGACCGGACGCTTGCATGCTATAGTTCGGCGCCAACGCATGGCACCCTGCCCACGAGGCTAAAATATACAGCCCTGACACCACCATACGAGACAAGCATCGGGTTAAGCTCTGACAAGGGGAAATAATAGGACTGCGCGCGCCATCTCGAATTCCGGCCCCCAACAGCGGGAGATGGTGTAACCAAACCGCGCATAACGCGGGGCAACGAAATAATGGAGTCAAACATACCTTCTGGAGTGCGCTTTTGGCCATGCGATTGCATAGTAACGTGAGCATTCAAATGATTAAGTGTGCCGTAGGCCTTCTCGCAGCCATTCCATCCGCACTTGTACATGCGCTCAATTTCTTCATAACGTCTCCTGGGACGCTTGTGCTGTTGCGCACCGGGAATCGGGACGAAAGAGTAGACCTGGGAGAGAGGGTGCTGTACATAAGTCAGTTGCGTTTCAATTATCGTATGTCTGTAATGAGAGTAGTCAAACGAGCCAACAGGTCATGAAATTAATCGCATGTCAAATGCCATTGCCTCGGATCATTTCATGCGCCGAACGCGAGTCAAGCCGCATGCAAGTGATACCCAGTTTGCTGGGCCGCAAGGAAACGGTCATGACAGGCGACCCTGCGAGCAGTTTGCGCGCGAGGACCGCGGCACAAATGGCGGCATGTAAGCATGAAAATACGAATACTTACTTGTCCTGGGCGGGGTCCTGACGGGGCAGCTGAGTTTGGGGCACTCACACCAGATGACGGGTATGGGGCAGGCATGCCATGTTGTGGGTGCTGGCCGTAACCTGCCCAGTCGGGGCGGGGTTGCTGGGCGTACATCGGGCCACCGGGGTGCTGGGGATAGCCGTGCGACATCTCTTGTTGCGGTGGGTATGCAGAGTAAGGGCTGCCGTGGGGAGGATATGTTGGGCTCGACGCAGCGATTGATGGATCTATAGGAACATCCTGGTCAGACTTTATTTGCTGGGCATGATGGTTTGAAGCGCCATCTTGCAGAGGCAGAGACGGACTTGTTGGTTGCGCCATACCTCCACTGCTACCGCTATGGCTGCTTGATGGATAGTATTGACGTTGGATATATTCTGGGAAAGAACTTGAACGCGCGGACGACGGGTTCACGCTGTACTCGGACGTGGGCGTCGCGGAGGCCGAGTAGTTGACGGGTCGGACTTCTTGAGCGGGATAGCTCGTGGTGGACTGGTGTTCGGCGGGGGAGTCGACGGACGCGTCGTTAAACGTTGGTGTATAGGGCGTATTCAAACCTGAGCGCGAGAATTCGGATGCGCCACGCTCCATAGAGCGGTGGACCTGTCTTCGCGAATGCGCCGAGTGTGCTCGATGCCGTCTTGACAACGGCGGTGCCTTTGTCTTCTTGGTCGCGCGTTTCAACGTATTTCGTCGAGTATGCGCCGAGGGTGGCGGGATATGAATTACTAGATGAGATGCTGTATAGACACCAAGGACGTGCTAAAACAGTTCGCGAGAGAAGCTCTCCACACCTTTCAGGTCGATCTTGGGGTGTGTATATGAAAGAGTTCTTCTGAGCAAAGCCCGCGTTTCGTAGTTTGGTGGCAGGCAGGTTAAGACAGGAAGAGGGAAGGTTCCAAGTCTAAGAGATGGATATAAGAAGCCGGCGGGCGGGACGTGGGTCGTATTTGCGCAAAGCCGTCGATTGCAGCCCTGACTAGGAAAGCCACCGGTAAAGATTGACCAGAGGCCAAGACGAAGATTAGCGGGTTTAGCAGCCGGGTTCGTGGGTTAGGCGCCTTTTTATTCGAGCAGCGGGGTGGGGAGATGGAAGTGGTGTGGTGTGTATGGTGGTGTGTGTAGGTGCGTGATGCTGTACGTAGTGTGGTGTGAGCAGTAGTGAGGTGTAGCGTGATGTAGTCTCCGTCGAGTAGTGTCGTTCAAGTAGTAGTCAAGTAGTAGTGTGGAGTTTTTTTGGACGAAGTGGAGAAAGTGATATACGTAGTGCATGTAAGTATGAGTACTGTACTTTGTAGTTCGTACGTAGGAGCTTCGCTGAGTGGTGTGATATTGGCTTTTTGGCGTGTACTGTACTAGTACTCGTTTCGTAGTTGGAGGTTTTTGGTGGAGGAAGGAGTGGGTTGTAGTTTGTTTCCTAAAGGTAAGGGGGGAAGGGGAAAAGGGAAAAGGGAAAAGGGAAAAGGGAAAAGAGAAAAGGGAAAAGGGAAAAGGGAAAAGGGAAAAGGGAAAGGGGAAAGGGGAAAGGGGAAGAAGGATTCGGACTTGGGGGTAAAGTTTCTGTTTGTTGTTTTTGTGTATGGAATTGCACCGGGGGGGGGTGGGGGGAAGGTGCGAGAGAGAAGAGGAGAAGAGAGAGAACGGAGAATCCGATGTTCGCCTTCTGCTTTCAGGGGGGGTGTTTCGCCCTCTTTGGGTGGAGAGTTTATTGGGGGTTTTATTGTACAGTCAATGTCAAGATCGAGTAACTTCGCTCTAGTACGCAGCGGCGAGTTTGTAAGTACCAGGCGTGGTACCGTACGAGTATTCTTTTTTTTCTGTGGTTCTGTGGTGTGTGGTTATGTGGTTCTGTGGTTCTGTGGTGTGTGGTTCTGTGGTTCTGTAATAGTGGTAGTGTTGTAGCGGTGCAGATGCGAATGCAGAGTAGTAGTAGGTATGTAGTAGAGAGATGGAGAGGCTCCCAGCACGATCCTGTACAGCAGAGACGCAGCGCCGATGCTTGCAGGTCTGACGGCTTCCTCTGCTTCCTTTCCAAGGATCGTTTGCAGAACAGGGCAAGACACCCACCAGTACAGCAGTACAGGGAAGCTGGGCAGGGTCAAGATGCACGGTAGATGATTTGATGGGTGCACCGCCACACGCTAGACACTAAAATTATGTCTCTCGAGAAAAGAGTCGACTACCCGTTCTGCCCTTATGAGAGACCGGCGCAACACCCCTTCCCGGCAGTAGTTTGTTCCGTAGTCCGGGCGTGGGTTTTGGCGTAGCGTCCGTGTATGGTGTATGTCGTTGTGCTTCGTTGTGGGGTGGGAAATCTAGGTGAGGATTGCGTGTAGCCCAGAGTACTACTAGTTCGGTACTGGGTAGAGTGGGAGAGTGGCAGCCGAGTTTCCATTAGCATACGGACGGAGATAATGTACGTTATGTACGTAGACTCTACCATCACCCATGCCTGGTGATTTCATACTTCTGGGGTCTTTGGGTTTGGGTCTTTGGGTCTTTGGGTCTTTGGGTCTTTGGGTCTTTGGGTCTTTGGGTCTTTGGGTCTTTGGGTCTTTGGGTCTTTGGGTCTTTGGGTCTTTGGGTCTTTGGGTCTTTGGGTCTTTGGGTCTTTGGGTCTTTGTGTCTTGGGCTTTTAGCCTCTCGGCCGTCGGAAGTACAGCGAGGTCCCCATGCAGCTATACGTAGCGAGTTCAGTCCATCTACGTAGCGAGTGGGAGGTGTCGACATACCTGTGCGTTTCCTGACGGATGAATAATTGACCGGAGCAGATTAGGCCATTCTCTACTACAGTACTGTATGGTCTGTTATCTGTTAGTGACCAAGATACTAGCGCTGGTTCCGTCCTAGCGTCCGCCTTTCTCGCTGTAACTTGGCCCCGTGCGTCGTAGCCTCAGGTCATGTCTCGACTAAATTAGTGTGTGTGCGCACAATAAATGTATGTAGAGTAGTCCAATAAAAACCCGAGTAATGTTATGCTGCTTTACCACTCGTACGTACGTGACGCGTTATATAGATTAAAACAGCGTCGAGGTGGAACTACGTGCATGGGTCCCCTGTTAACAATTCTTGACCCAAAGCACGTTATATAGATTATTATGGAGTATTTCTCGCAACTTTTTAAAACAGCGTCGAGGTGGAACTACGTACATGGGTCCCCTGGTAAACAATTCTTGACCCAAAGCACGAGTAAGTTACACTACTGTACTATACTATAGTAGTAAAGACACCGTCGACGGACGACCTTAGTGCGCGGCTCCCTGACGACTGATGGAACTCTAAACGATGATGCGCACCGGGATCACCCTGTTCTGGAAGATCCGAGGGAGACCTGCCCATGCGATGGCATCATGATTCACCATCATGATTCACCATCATCCATCGCCAACGCCGCCAGTACATACAGCCAAACCACGGAAAATATGTATATATGATTGTATGCATGTCGTATGTAATATATTCCATGTACGTAGAGTATACGTACACTAACTGTACATATAAATATCCCCCCACTCTCCCCCTCACATGCCCTCACATGCCCTCACACGCCCTCACACGCCCTCACACGCCCTCACACGCCCACACGCCCTCCTCCCCCACTCGGCTCCGTAATTAGTGGGTCGATTCAAACGCGGAAATCCACAACAAAATGACGGAAATAACCCAAAACTCACCATGATATCCCATAGCATGCCTACCCCTCACAAAATCCCATTTTTCTCATTGGCCAACAACCCCCCCCCCTTTTCTCATTAGAGATCATTAGAGATCATTAGAGACAGACAAGGAGGCAAGAAAGCCTCGGCCTCGGCAGTGATGGGTCGTGAAGTATCAGTCGTCGCGCCCTAAGTACTACCAGCGTACGTAACTCCCCTTCCCAGTCTTGCGCCAAGAGCCATACGTCTCGTCTCCATCGTCTCCATACCAAAGTACTGCGGTGTTGCTGCATTACACACCCTTACAATATCCTTCCTGCCAACCCTTCCTGCATTAGTAATGTACAGAAGAGTACTTTGCGTGTCTCATCGGTGGGGTTGCGAGGGATGCGGGATGGGATGGATGGATGGATATCGCCCATGGACCACTTTCGGGGGCGTGTTTTTGTCATGCAAAATTTATGGGACACACATGCTTCCTTCCCCATCCCCTTAGGCAGCTCTACCTCAGCATTTCCCAGTACTCCCAGCTGCTAAAACACGTACAGCGCGCTACTGTCGGATTCTGCTTCGTGGGGGTCTTCCACGCTACCGGATAATCTCCGAGCCGGGTTTAAAAGCTGTGGCTATCTTCAATTACACTGTGCTGCCCGTCTGGGTAACAGCTATCTGATCTAACCCTGGTTTCGATAATTTACTGTGCCGTTCTGAGCCTGTACTGTAACTTTGCGCCCTTCCTTTCGCCCGCTCTCTCTCCACCCCCCTGATCGGTCCGTTCGAGGAAAAGTGTGTGCCGTCTAGTGCATACAAAATGTCGGGGACAGAGCACACTTACAGCCAGTTCTCCCACGTACTTTCATTGGGTACCCAACTTCGCTCCATACGTATCAACACCCTCTTCGGGGTCAAGCGTCGCTTCACTGCCCGCCTCTAGTGCGCTTTCGATGGGGGCTAGGGGCGTGGTGGTGGCTGGGGGACTGTGCTGAAAATGGCGGAATTAGGACATCTTTGCGCCCCCGTGTCAATCGTGTGTCAATCGTGGAGAGGTAATGCAAAGAGGTAATGCAAAGAGGTAATGCAAAGTATAATTAATGTGCGGTGGCTCTCCGTACAGAGTTCACGACCTCTAGTGTAACGATGTACGGTTACGCTCGCGCTACATCCCACCGAGCCAAAAAGACTACAGTATTCCAGCTCGGTGGAATACGCGTAACACGCTATATATACAACGCACTGTAACGGTTGGCACCCGTTACAACAACAGTAATAATGGCGAGGTGGCTAGGGGTATTGGCGTACTCGTAAGCACAAGGCAGATGAGCTGGGGGGTTGAGGTACACAAGATACATGGTCTCTCCCATGTATCTTGTGTAAATCCAAGGAAGGGTAGTCCAAGGACAATCCAAGGGCGAGCTGCCGCGAACATTTGCCGTTGACCATTGGAGCAAGAGGAAGCCGCTCTAGCACATGCGCTGGCAGGCAGATCGTGGCCATAGCACCTTAGCTCTTTGTGGCGGCGGTCAAACTTGTATTGGTGGCCGTGCTGGGCTCCAGCGGCGCAGATCAGGACATTAGCCAGAACGTCACTACCCGGACCTGGCACCACACTCGTGCTGCCGCTGGTGCTCGTGCTGCCGCTGCCGCTGGTGCTGGTGCTGGTGCTGGTGCTGGTGCTGGTGCTGGTGCTGGTGCTCGTGCTGCCGCTGCCGCTGGTGCTGGTGCTGCCGCTGCCGCTGGTGCTGGTGCTGGTGCTGGTGCTGGTGCTGGTGCTGGTGCTGGTGCTGGTGCTGGTGCTGGTGCTGGTGCTGGTGCTCGTGCTGGTGCTGGTGCTGGTGCTGGTGCTGGTGCTGGTGCTGGTGCTGGTGCTGGTGCTGCCGCGCACTGGTGCTGCCACTACGCAGTACCACCCAGCACTCCAGTGGTCGCATTTTGCGGAGTGCTAAGCACTGTACCGCCTCCAGTCTGACGCTGACACACCAACAATAAATAAGATGCACGCTAATGGGTTCGGCGGATGCAACTAGGCACCGCGTGGCTTCGTTTTGGTGTGGGATGACGAAGGGGATGCAATGCAGACGGGCCTTGCTAATCGCATGTGGCGTCGCCAGGCGGGATTGGGCAAGCCTGAGCATGACGCTCGCAGGCAGGGCCGCCAAAGACGACGCATGGAAATAAATGCCTGTGGCGGGGAGCTCTCTCTCTGCCTTATCCCTTGCCCGCGCTCGACGCGGTCTGCTGGGCGAGAGTAAGGGACGGCCCAGCAATTAATTCAGATATTGATTGCGCCTAGCAGACCGCGTCGTCATCAGCGCGGGCAAGGGATAAGGCAGAGAGAGGGCTGTCCCAAGAAATTCGTCGCATGCATCGTTGAGTGCGGCAAGGATCTTCGACGCGTTGGAGAATCTGCGGATTCATTAATGTCCACTAGTCATGACTCGGTGGCTCCACCCAATACAGGGCTTCTGTATTCGGCAGGGAGGAGCCTCGGTTGTATAGATTTGATTTTGAAGAACGGATCTCGAATCGAAATGTAAACAGAGAAGGGAGGAGAGGGTACTCTGCCAAGCCAAGTACATGTACCGTGGTGGTACAGTACTATGGTATCGTATGTACTGTACGGGGTATGATCTTGTACTGTCAGTGTTCCTGTCTGTTGGCATGTGGATGGGGGATAATAATATGGGAACGGCTTACATACTGACAATTGAAGTCATCTTAAAGTGGCGGTGAAGCCGAATTCGCATCCGCCACAGCCGTTCATAAAATGAAAATCGCTTCTGACTCGCGAGACGAGCGAGGCGAGCGAGACGAGCCCAAAGACGATCCTAGATGTGCGTCTGGACTTGCTCGAGTCGCTCTCCTCCGCCGCTGTTGCCCCTCAGTCCTCAGTCCTCAGTCCTCAGTCCTCAGTCCTCAGTCCTCGCCCCTCAGTCCTCGCCCCTCAGTCCTCAGTCCTCACTCCTCACTCCTCACTCCTCACTCCTCATCCCTCAGTCTCGCCCGTCTTGGTCGGAGGATGAACCAAGGGAGATAATAATGCACCGTTCACGTAACTTAACTCGTGCCGTGAGGTTCATTCAATCCCATGGCGTCGTTGTTATTGCTCCTCCTATTGTGGTAGTCATATTCCTTGCCCATGTCAACTGCGTGTTCCGTATGGAGTACCCCCACTCAAAACCCCCACCCTGACGAGAAGAAGCGGCTTGAAGAAATGAGCAGGAGATTTGAACGGCAAACCCGGCAAAGACGGCAGACCACGTATCTCTTACGTTTGTCGATCTGTCCTTCCTGTCGTGGCAATTCCGAGCTCAAGTGAAGGCAGGTGCCCTCGTCGATTTTCGCATTGCGTTGGCTCAAAAAATCAAAGGAGCGAAGGAGCGAACGCTCTTTATATATATATGCTGCTAAAAAAGAAGGCTGCGACCTGCGACTAGCTAGGGAGAAAGGGGAGATAGCCTCTCCCACCGGCTTGGTAGCGGCCACGGAATACTAGATAGTAGCATAGTGCCTCTAAAATGATGCCCGCCAGACACACTGGGAAGAGAAGATCTTGGTATTTTCACTATGATCGGTGCTAGTCTACCGTGTGTCACCGTACCGGGTACATACGTTCATACCGTACACCACCAACACCACCTGTCAACATACAGAGCAACACCAATTTAGTGCAGACAACCAGGTAGAAATCGCGGCAAGGTAGTGACACTGGGCTGGGCTGGTGCATCGACGACGAACGATTACTGTAGTATAAGAATGATGGTCTCCATACCTTAGCACCAGGGGACCACGCGCCACCGCAGCAAGGGACCTGACTGGGTCGGGGGAAACCTGGACAGGAGGGGAAAAAATGATGCTGCACTAGAGTAGTAGAGTTGATTATTTTGGTTGATTATTTATTTGGGCCACTCGTATTTATTTTAATTTGAAATCATATTTTTATTTGATTATTCTACAGCGAAGCTCATGCAATCTAGGTCTTCTTGCGGCTATGAAAATGATCCACAACCTGACGAACGAGCAATAGGCATCCGAATCGGATCGAAGACAAGTCTCCAGACGCAATCTACGGATGTAATGCCTCGTACACATCCCCTTTCTATAGTACTGTCAAATAAGGAAATCCCCATGTTTTTATTCCCAGATATACGAAGACAGCAACCCCCCCAAAGCAATCTATCTCGCCCAAGCAATGTGCAAAAACGCCAGAACAACCCATATCAAATGCGCAAAATTATTCGTCGAGTGTCGATAGCCGGTCTCGCGAGTTTAGTTGCTGGGATGCAACATCGACATCTACCAACGCCGGTTCCCACCTAGAGGGGCAGCGTTAGAAGAGGAGCCACCACCTACCAACGACCACCTTCGTTAGTCCCATCAGTGATGGAACGAAATGGAGCAAAGGAACTTGACTTACCACCACGTCCGCCACCGCCGCGGCCTCCACGGTATCCACCTCCACCGTAGCGGCCACCACCACCACCACCGCCGTAGCGGGTCATCTCAATGAGACGGGGGTCAATTTGTTGCTTAGCCTCAGTGAGAACATTTACGAGATCACGAGCCTGCTTTTGGTCTATATATATGTCAGTGAAGGCTCCATAGATACTCTTAGATTTGGAGACTCACTGTCAGTGGTGAAGAGGGTGATTGCGGTTCCCATTTGGCCAGCACGTCCAGTTCGGCCGATACGATGGATGTAATCCTCGGAGTTGTTTGGGTAATCATAGTTAAACACATGAGTAATGTTGCGGACATCTTTGTACATTGGTTAGCAAGTGCAAACAGATGGTATAGCAATGTTCCAGTTGTCGACAAGTGAAGCTGCACGTTGGCATGCATTCAATACTCTCTCTGCGTCAGATTTGAGCTGACAATTGCGATTCTGTACCGGGGCGGTTGATTCACACATCCTGGTCCTCTGGACTGGGACTCTTGGAGACAGGGCTTGAACGAAGTCAAGAAATGCCAATTCCGCCTATGTATCCTCACGATACATAGTAAACGAAACCACTAGTGTAGCAGAAGAAATGCTGCACCTCAGATCCAAGCTTCCCCTTGATAGAGAACCGTGAGACGAAAAATGCCCTGGTAAGGTTACGCAATATGAAAAGCACCGAAGCGTTGAGAGTATAGCACCATTGAGATGGACTGGGCATTGCATAGGGGGTGGGGGAGGATGGTCGGTTGGGGAGGGGTTCTAATCATACCAATACCACGCGAAGCTACATCAGTAGCAACCATGATGGGGCTCTTGCCGGTCTTGAACTCGTTCAGGACCCAATCTCTCTCGTTTTGCTGCTTGTCTCCGTGGATGGCTAGGTAACCGTTAGTACGAGGTGAGCCAATACATATTAAAGTAAACTTACAGAGTGCGGGCCAGCCGTCCTGGCGAAGGAATCGGGTAATATCGTCAGCAACACGCTTAGTACCAGTGAAAATCAGGATCTTGTTCTCCTTGTTCTCCATAATCTTCTCGAGATGCTTGGTCATCTTATCACGCTTCTCGAACTCGGAAACAACCTCGACAATTTGAGTAATGCGGTGGTTGGCAGAGAGTTCAAGAGAACCAATGTTGACCTGGATGAAGTCGTTCAGGTAGTCGGACGCAAGAGCGCGGACCTCCTTTGGCCATGTTGCGGACCACATGCAAGTCTGCTTATCGGGTCTGATTTGACCGAGGATCTTGCGAATTTGTGGCTCGAAACCCATGTCCAACATGCGGTCAGCCTCATCGAGAACAAGGTAGGTGACACGGCGGAGGTTGGTCTTGCCAGACTCGAGCATATCGATAAGACGACCTGGAGTAGCAATGCAAACCTCGACACCCTTGGCGAGATCGCGGATTTGTCCACCCTTGGGGACACCACCGTACACGCAGGTGTTGCGAATGCGAGAAGACTTTCCAAACTTGGTGATTTCTTGCTGAATCTGGACAGCAAGCTCACGGGTTGGCGCAAGGACGAGGACGATAGGGCCATCCCCGGGTGCCAACAGGGGCTGGGCGTTGATGTGAACAATTGCGGGTAAGCAGTATGTGAGCGTCTTTCCTGAACCAGTCTCGGCAATACCAACGACATCACGTCCAGAAAGGGCCATAGGCCAGCCCTGTGATTGAATAGCGGTAGGAGCAGGGAATCCCTGGGCCTTAACCTCGTTGATAACGTAGGCGGGGAAGCCAGCCTCGTCGAATGTCTCGACTGGCTTCGGGACATTGGTTCCGGTGATAGCAATGTTGTGGAGAGCTCTGAACTTGGCCACGTCGGCATCCGAGCGGTTGGTGACTTGAGGATCCTCCTTGTAGAAAGACTTCTCGAATTTCGGCATGGTGTCGATGTCTAGAGAGTTCTGTTAGCACCGAATCGAATGGATGTAGACATTTAACGTACCCCAGCTTTGCTTCTGGAGGCCATCACCAAGGTTGGACATGCGGTCTCCGCCGCCACCACCGAAACCACCGCCGCGGCCGCCGCCGTATCCACCACCACCACCTCCAGAGTATCCGCCACCTCCGGAGTAACCGTTCACACCGCCACCACCACCTCCGTAGCCACCACCACCACCGCCGCCGTAGCCACCGCCTCCACTATAGAAAGTTAGCAGTTGTCCGATTATATTTTATGAAATGTGACAGGAAAGCATTCGTGTTTTGCATCCTGCATGGGCCCTTTGTGGGTGTCCAGACAAGGCTGGCAAAGAAGCCATGGAACAGGGCGAACACCAGGTGCGTTCAACTTCACAACAATTTCTAGACCATAGGTTTTCCATACCCGTAGGAGTAGCCATTGGAGTAGTTATCGCGGCTTGCATATTTATCGTACCCTGAGTAACCTCCACCTCCACCTCCTCCGCCTCCGCGACCGCCACCGTAAGATCCGCCTCCGTACGACATCTTTAAGATTGTTGACGATGAAATGCGAGTGAATCAATGTTTCGAAATGGTATGAATGAGGCTGCTCTGTTGTGATGTTGGGAGCTGCAGGTCGTGTCGATAAGGTGAGAGGGAGTTGTTGATTGTGTTTGATGGAAAGAATGATGGGGGGGATCGAACTGAAGTACTCAGTTGGGGAGAAAGGAAACAAAATTTATTTTTCGGAAGGGACTACCCTATTTTAGGCCTAGGGTCGAAGTTTCTACTTTTGGTATATGCATGGTCACGTGATGTGGCGATACAACAATGGCCGAAGGAACAGCCTGCAAGTTATGTTGTTGGTCGAGTTGTTACAGTTATAGTAGCCGTAGATATATTATAGACTTTTAATAACTTGGGAACTATTGGACATTTTTTTTAAAAAAGCTAGATACTTGAAATTCATATAAAATAATAAAGTTTCGTCAACTTTAATTACAGCAGTCAATTCTCACCTGTGGACGCTGGAGGCCCTTGGCCAGCACGAGTACATATTTATCCATCCTCAGCCTAGTCTTATGGGAAGTACAACAGATTCATCTATTCTACATATATATAATTTATTTCTGTCCTTCTCCCATATTCCAGAAACCGGTTTCCATCTTCAGACTATCAGTGACATCACTTATAGGTTCTGGAAAGAGGAAAGCTTACATTAGTTGCATGGATGAATATCTTGACCAACTCCTCCAGCCGGCTGGGAGATAGTAGAAGTGCATGCTTCTCAATAGTATCTACCACGAATGAGTGTGGTTTTACTTGGTACGAAATCAATTACTTACCTGACCCAACTTTAACGGCCTCAGTGAAATCATCGGCCACGTAATTCTCTATCCATTTCCAGTAAATGTTGCCCTCACGCTTCGTCAATGGGTCATCGTGTAGCCTCCGAGCAATAACACCATAGCCGACCAAGCATGGTGCCATTGCAATCTGAAGTGCGAACCAGTCTTCCGAATGGCCTACGTCGAGAACATATCTGCCAACTATTAGTGCCAAAACATTGCGCTACCGAGGGTTCATTACCTTGTATATGCAGTACAAGCTTCCATATATGATTAGTGATGCGTAAAATATAGTGCTGAAGGGTTGATACTCACCTTCATCTTCTTCAGTGGCAAGAATTTGCTCCTTGGAGACACCAAAGGACTCGCAGTACTCGACATGCAGCTTCATTTCATGGACAATATGCGTAACCACTTTGGCCGACTTTTGTCTAGGTCAGAAAGATGATAGTCATACTTGTCACAAAATCAAACGTACCGCGGCGATTTCATCCAATGTTTTAGCTTTATAACCACCCAGGGCGGTGGCTCTGGCATATTGAACCTGGGGTTGATGAGTAAAGCGTACAAAAAACCTCTGATCTGCTTACTAAGTATAGATAGTCTTGAATCAAATAGTTCTTAAATGATTCGATAGGGAGTGTGCCGTCGGCAAGACGCTCCAAAAAGCGATGCTTCGTATGCCTTTGCCATGCCCCCTTAACATCGGGCCTGTCAAGTAGGTACTCGATAAACCGACCCCTATAAATAGTGAGAAGCTGTACAACGTCTGGAGAGGGGGGGGGTTATATACGGCGCAAATGGCAAGGTGTAAACCGAATGAAAATGGTTTATAGGGCCATTTCCAGTCCCAATATCCGTCGCAGTCCTGATACCTGCCTCAACATATCTGCAAGCAGCTTTCACAGCCCTGTTCATATCGAAACCGTTTGCAATATTCGAGGCAATTGCCGCTAACAGAGTTAAAATGTACCCAGGATGTACAGATAATGGGGTGCTTAGACTCACAGGCCAAAGAGCAGCCAGTACCGTGGGTATTTTTTGACTCCTGATAAACACCGTCGATGCGAATATATGCCCCGGCCCCATACAACACATCAACTACCATTTCCTTCTCTGATTCGATTGAAGCCATGACACCATTGCTTTGAAGCGGTAAATGGCCACCTTTAAGGAGAACAAACTCTGGACCAAGTGATTGAACAGTCTTGGCTATATTCACCAGGTCATCCACAGACGTAGGGGCCTCAGCATGTATGCCGGCATCACTGAGTAAGAGCATTGCTTCTGGTACATTTGGTGTAAGAATTGTAGCCAGGGGTAGCAGCTGCTCTCTCATTATTTTAATGGCGTCCTCAGGCAGGAGGCAAGAGCCACTGGTCGACACCATTACCTCATTATAGTCAGAATAATGATATTGTTACAACGGGGGAGACTCATACAGGATCAATAACGGTTTTCTTAACTTTGTGTCGACGAAGAGCATCAGCTACAACCAGAACCGCTTCGGCAGAAGCTAGCATTCCTGGAATTATTAGTTATTGCCATACCCACCGAAGTGTCAGATAGCTGAGAGAGCACGGGATATCTCCCAGGTAAATTACCTATTTTCACGACATCAACTGGAATATCATCGAGACAAGCATCGATTTGCTTGCGTACAAAATCCGAAGGCGTTACTTGGATACCGAAGACGCCTGTGGTATTCTGAGCAGTGAGAGCGGCCGTAGCAGTCATAGCATAACATCCATGGGCTGCAATGACTTTCTGGTCGGCCTCTAGTCCACTAAATTGATTGTGAGCATTTGTGATCCATTTCTAACGCAGATCTGCCGCGAGACTTACGCCCCGCCGGAGCTATCCGACCCAGCAATTACCAGAATTCGTCCTTGGGCCATTTTGGGTGGAAGATTTACAAGTCCTGTCAATCACGTAGTGGCATGAGCGACGACTTAAACAGTTTGGGGTGAGTTTACTTGGGTCAATAATTAATCTGATGGCGGGGTCCACATTATCCAGACAGATGTATAGTGGGGTCGAGTCCCCATTAGTCACACAAACCAACCATAACATAAGAGCACAGTAAACCTCAACCAACAACATTGGAAAGATCCAGATCGCTCTGTCTTTCGTGTATCGAGACTCCAAACAAGAAATAGAGTACACTAGGCCGGCTTAATTATACTTTAAAACCTAATAACCTTTCCCCCACCTGTACATAACGCATACTCTGGTTGCCCTTGCAATGAATTGCACTTCAACATCCCCCCAGATGTAGGGCACACACGACATCGAGGGCTATCGATAATAAAGTACGGCACGAGTCGACAGACCGGGCAACGTACACTAACCCCAGACCCTTATTGTGGCCTGTTAACTGTACACTGGCGGCAAGGTTCATGTTATCAGTCTGATTCGGAATCGAAATCGGATTCCACCTCCCTGTATTGGACGAAGGAGAATCGCCCATTGACTCTTTTTTCGAGTGTCTGCTTAATGATTGTCTGCTCGTGAGGGCTCAGCCGGCTCTCAGCAGTGGCGTTCATGATATACAAGTGAATACCATAATTACTTTGCCGTAGATTAGACAGGTACTTCATTATCCCATCAAATGTGAAAGCCGTCATGGAGTGAAATGACAGGCTTCGAAGTTGGTATAGCTGTGAGATAGCTCCCCAAACCTCATCACCCATAGTATGGCCGCTGGTTGATAAATCTTCAAGCTATCAGAAATATATTAGCTAGAGAAAAGGAAGGTAATTATATAACTAAACGAAACCTTGGCATGATCAGGGGTCTATGCAACGAACATACATTCGGTAGCGAAACTGCGAGGAGTTCGACTTGAAGGCCTTGGAAGTTATTGGAAGTGTCGAGTATGTTAAGGTATCGAAGCTCCTTTAGTGAACTGAGTGAAGAGACTAGGATGTCAATATCTTCAATGTCATCGTCGTCGTCATCTGTTTCTGCCCTGAGCTCCAAAGACTTCAATTCGGTTTGGTTGGCTAGAGATCGATGCAGCTCCTGATTATAGGCAAAGGGATAACCTCTGAGGGTGACGCTATTCAATCGTATCTTGTCGTCCAAACATAGGGCTCTCATAATGGCGGGGCCGTCCACAAACCTATTAAGTCGAATGGTTTTTAGTTGCATGCATCCAGTAACCCAGCCGATTAACTCCAGGAAACTGTCATTTGCCGTCGATTCTAAATTAATGCGTCCCTCAGAGTCATCTAAGTCGAGGTTTAGGAGTGCGGTGAGGCCTTTGAGCACCGATAGGGACCTGATTGCCGGGGCTTTCAGATTGCCAAGGGTAAGGTCGACGAGGGACTCCCTGTGCTGGTTTAGTGCCTGGAATGTTTTCCCGGCGATATCATTATAACTGAATACGCGAAGAGATTTCAGCGTGTTCTTAGGTAAAGCATCAAGGAAACTAGCCAAATTAAAATCGACCTTGTCTCCATGACAAGTGTAGATACTCAGACTCTTGAAATTTTGGCAGTGTTTGTGTATAATCTCGCCGGCCTGTCTGTTAAGAACAGTGCCATCCCACAAGGCCATGGATTCGAGCCTCGAAAGCCTTCCAAGCCATGTAGGAAATGCAACCGGGTCTATATTCCCAGAGAGGTCAATGGCGTTCAGCGCCGCCGTAGTTCCAAGCAGATTGGCCGAGTCCCCAACGGATTTGGATATGGAATCTCCCACCGAATTTATGAAAAGGCGGATATTAATCGGCGTGCGCCCCTTTCCTTTGCTCCTCAGGATTCTGGTATTAATTTGCGTCTCGCCGAACGACGGGAGCGACGAGAAGAACATATCTTGAAAGTTCCCCTGAAAAATATTATCCTCAAGAAGGTCAACCAAGTTCCGAAGGTCAAGAGATTGTATGTAGAGGCAGTATGGGTAAACAGTCCTTCCAAGACTTGACAAAATAATTGATCTCCACTGCAAGGCCCATTGGGATACTGTCAACCTCTGCTGGGCTTCACGTGCGGCAATGCTCGTCTCTTTAAATTCACCTGTTCTCGACATTTCATCTTCATTGCTTTCCCCGCCTCTAATGGACGTATGCGTATGAATTCTGCTATGAGTCAGCAACAGACCATGCAGAGATAATAGTAGTGATGTGCATGGCACCGTTCATAATGTAAACAGGTCACACTGTTGCTTTCAAAGCAACATTTGGTGACTTAAATGTACTATGTTATAGATGGTGTTGACACTGTGAGGCCGTCTTACCTATACAACCACCACAATGCACCTCCTGCCATCTGTTTCCCTGACAGACAAAGATGAAAGAGGGTCCCGAAATCGCGACGGTTTGCCAGCTCTTCACATATCATGTTCATAACATCAGGCGGAAGAGAGGCCATTGCCAACAACGGACGGACCTCGAAAGGTCTCAGAAACAGCACTACCCCACGTGGATGAGCTGTATTCCAAACAACTTAACGTACAATTCCAGTGGATTGGATTTCCTTCCAAAATCTATATTCTTGATGAATTTTCAATGGTTAAAAATCATACCACAAGGCAGACGTGTATTGTGCTGAGGGTGGTCGCGTTATCTTATCATGGCCCCAAGACCCACCTGGGAATTCATGCGTCAACCGAAGTATATTCGACCCACGACCTTCGTCAACCTCAAAACAGGAGGATTACGTCCTGTTACTGACACCTATCCCATGGCTGTTTTAACCTTTACTTTGAGCCCCGAGGCTGTGGGGAAGATCCATGATGCTCTCATATGCCTGGGAAAGTTCAACGAATCGGTTTCCTTGGAAGCAACAAGAGATCACGTGTGTTCACTGAAAGCAGAAAGGGTGTATCGTATGATTGCTGATTCTATGAAGCTTGTGTTGACAGCTTTGAACACTACAAGAACGGGATATGCATCCTTCACATTCACCACCAACAAGTTTTTCTCTAAATTTATATATAACCCCCCTCGAACCTCGGGTTCCACGAAGGGAAAGTTCACCTGTAGGCTATACAACAAGGTAGACGGCATCTGCGTTACATATATAGGACCATTACTAAAACCCTTAGGCTTTGGCATCCATATTCAAGGGCCGATCAATAGATCCTCTGCGTGAAAAGGATACCGGCATCGAGAGATGCGAGGTGAGCGTAGAGGATGGTGCTGGAGGGGTCAAGAGCCGCTTCGTCGCTCAAATGATTTGTAGGCATGGTAAGAAAGTAGGCCTCAACACTTGTAGGATTTGAAAGTAACTGTAGATCAGGTGTCATCAAAACATACCAATTGACCTTTGAGTCATCCTCGTCGATGCATGCTCTCTTTAAGCCAGAAATGTCCAAGAGCCATTGGTCAATACCATCCTGCGTGTTGAGAGAGTTCATTGATCATTTCGGGCCAAAGACTGAACAGCTAGATATCTATGCAAAGGATGGGCGAGCAATATTCACGAGCTACACCGAGAAAATAGTTGCGGGGAAGGGTACGAAGCTCTTATAATCACCATGGCTTCGTTGCTAACACAATTCCAGAAGTACTCAAACAACCATTACATACGTCGATCGCCATTGATACCACGGAATTTAGCCAGTTCAATGTCGAAGATATGTTGCACATTATCATTAGCGTTAAAGATTTCAAGGCCATCGTCCAGCATGCTGGCAGTTTAGATACTGAGGTCTCAGCAGCCTACTCGTATCCGTCAAAGCCAATGCAGTTGAAATATGACGATGAGGGCGTGACGAGCGAGTTTATCCTAATGACTATAGGTGACTATAAAGCTACATCGGCTGTTCCTTTGCCAAATGCAATTATGGGGAATTCAACCTCAGCACCTTCAAGGCAACATACGGAAGACCCACCTGTCGCGAATGTTGTGCAACAAGCCGAAGCATCTATGCAACCTCCATCTCGCTCAGGGGCGCCGCCAGCCACACTGCTGGGCCATCGAGCGTGGGCTCTACGCCATTCACCTCCTCTACCACAGCCAAGCATTGATTCGGATTCCTTGTTTGTCCCAGATGACGAAGAGGATCGAAGGTGGAATCCTTCAGGATACGGAGGCGAAGACGAGGAATTACTTGGATGGGATGCTGGCACCGGCACTGTGAGATGACTGCTTCAAATTTTTACGTGTCGTGTGCTTATGCTGACTTGAATTTAGGATGGACAACTCAAGGCATCGTCTCGTGGCCCCCAAGAGAGCTACCCTGCAGTTAACAGTATACATGGGTCAATGGCCCGGAAACGAAGCGCAAGCCCTTCAAATGTAGCACCTACCCAACGAGTATCCGAGGTCAGAGAGTCCTTCCTGAGAATGGTGCCCTTTGCGTTGCTGACATATTTAGATTCGTGGTATCTTCGACGACTGATAACTGGACCAGGAATGAAAGGCGTCCGTTATATATACCCCTAATTATTTACTCGTCGTCAATAGCATATTGGAATCCTTAGTCAAGATATAACAGGTTGTATTCTACGAAGTTATTGCAAGTCACTTAGCTAGATACAATACATCCTTGGCTCTTCCAGTAAATTGTGACCTTCGCAGTGACTTGGAGATGCGATTGTGTTTGGAAGAACTGAGATGTCACTCACTCCGAAGTAGAAACCGAGGCGAGCGAACCCCTAACTGAAGCAGGCTGCGCGAGCTGGCGATCGTTCCCGTGGCGTAGATCGCGTGGAGTCCCGGCGCGGAGACCTGTCTCGTGGAAAGGGTGAACGCATAGTCTGAAGGTCATCCACAGGTGGCGCTGGGCGGTAGCTAGGTCTTGGTGATGGGCGCCGTGTGCTGTGTTCAGAGTTTCTCCTTGAAGATCTGTCTCCCGAAGGTGATGGCGATCGCGGTCGTCTCCAAGTGAGCGACATCTGGCCAACTGCGACGCGGTCGTCACGGCGCGGTGGGCTACGAGACCTTGGTCGCCATCCACCTCCCCTTGGTCCTGCTGGTGGAGATCTTCTTGAGATAGGTGATCGAGCTCGTAATGGGCCACGGTTGTCAAATGGAGACCGCGACATATGCCTTCTGGGCCCCATTCGAATACCATACTTCCTGCCGACCCTTGAGCCAGACCCAGTATGTGGCGTTTACTGTTACCTCCAAGCATCCATGGCGACATTGAGCTTTCACAGCCGGCGAGGGAAATTCGTCAGTTGTTAAACTCGATTTGAAACGTAAGATGTTCTCAGGAATGAAGCCTAGGAAAGCTGTATACACAAGGGTTTCCACAGTACATAGCAATTGAAATGTCACCATGCATGATCATTGAAGCGTTATTTGGATCGTGTTCAATTCTGTGCCCCAGAGCTATTTCGCCGATTCGCGCATTATAACAGTCCGGATACAACTGGCAGACCGCAGCCCACAAGCCCTCATCAAAATCTACCACGTCCTGTTCCCCGAGAGTCCTAACACCACTTTATGCTGATTCCTCTCTGGCCGCCTTCTATTGGAAAGAGTCAGTATTTATCCGATACACATCGAGTAGTGGCGAGACGAACCAGTGCCTTCATTGTTCCGTGCAGGGCATGCTTGTGGTTTCTTCTGAACTTGGGGTCGGTGCCCTTGAGGGAAGGGTATCTGGAGGTCTTTGGCTTCTTGATACTATCGGCACACAAACATTAGCAACTGTCCGGCGGAATATCTCTTCAATTTTCGTAGGCGATCGATCCCGATCTTGGATTGTAAAATTGTGGTGTCATGGTGGTGCATACCCGTTACGGTGAGCCTTCTTCGACTGGTTGTGCTGGGACGAGTTCTTGGATTCTAGAGAGGTTCGCCATTAGTGTATACCTGGGAGAAGAAGCATCCTCAAACTTACTCGCCATTTTGACCGATGTTGATTATCGAGTCGGAGCTGAAATGGATTTGCTGGTCACAAAATCACGAAGTTCGCGAAGCGATTATCGAACTGTGGGATCGAGAAGCCCTGACTAGGCTCGTTTAAGACAACCTTATATTGTGCACGTGACCATACATCATTGCCATGAAGCGAAGCCTCATATGGTAACTTACTTCCTAAATTTGGCCTTTACCATCGCGTCGCGTCGTTATTACAACTGCCAGTTGCCCTCCTCCTCGCCATGGACGACGAAGACGAACTCCTAATCTTACTAGCCATCGGAGCTGCATTATATATCCGAAGTTTACAGCGTCGGCGTCAGCGAGAGCGCTATCGAAGCACTCACCAAGGCGTTCCTCTGGATAGAATCCAAAAAGCCTACCCATCTACCAAAAGCACCGATACACGAAGACAGGTTTATCAATGGGTGGAATCGGTAGAAGGCAGCCGGGGGCCTGTGGACGGCGATAGGGTCTATCCACTACAACATCGTCTGGATTTCTTGAAACAAAGAGAACACTTGAGCACCACATATCAAAATTCACAGGAGACGGTCCACCATGAAAGTAAATAATCAATTGTGTTTTAATTTGCTACCATGCTCCATCCAAAAGTTCTTACAAGCTTTATGGCCCCAATGCTCAACCCACCACTCCCCAAAGCTGTCCTCCACTTGAACGTCGACTTTGGAAATCCGTTCATCCCGCTTTAGGCCACAAATGAAACAGGGTTTTGGAGCAGTAACAGCACCTTCTGCCGCAGTGGCTGTGCGCACTGGCATCGTGCCACTGATCTCAGGGACTATTATATGCCCCGAGGTATCTCGGATGCTAGAATTGGCAATGGCAACAGCTGAACGGAGACGGCCCACCTGATCTTGCCATGTTCGAATAAACTCGTTTGCCTCTCGGTCCTCGCGGCTTATCTCAGCTTTGTCGACTCCTACAAGCTTCATGCCACCCTTCCCTCCAGCCGCAGCGGGCCCAATCTTCATAGCCTGTGATAAATGTGTATCGCGTTTCCAGCGGTACTTACGGCCAGCTATAATCCGTCCTGCAACGGTTGCCAGGAGAACATCAGCTTTTATGAAGTTGATCGTTGATGGGTCGGACAGGATCCTGTTCTTGAGCGAAAATGGCTGGCTTGACACAGGTCGAAAGAGGCTTGACTGCGAGAGATCGAGGAGCTGGGGGAATATAGTCAGTAGCACGGAAGGCGGAGGGATGTTGGTAGGCGGTGGGGCGCTTGGTGAAGAAGGTTGATCTTCCTTTGGTTGGGTATCTGCCACGTCCCAGGCCCACGGGTCTTCCTTTGATGGCTGCACTGTTTCGTGGGTAGGCGCAACCTCGACTGCATCCCAGTCCCAGGAATTATCGCCGGTATGCTTCGAGGTGTTCTCTTTTACAATTGGAGGAGGCGACTGTACGCCCTTGTTGGCCCTGCTTTCTCGTTGCATATCTGGTTTCCCAAACGAACCATGGAAGGATTCAGCACCTGTGCGAGGACGTGCCAGGTCCGAAGGCGAAGTTGTGTCTCGCTGCTTCTTGGCACCAGTACTGCCCCCGTTGAGGTCCAACCCTGCGAATGGGATATCTTCCTGCAATGAGGCTGATTGTGGTATCTCCGTGGCAAGAGAGGGGTTCAATGGACGCGACTTGGAGGATAAAGGTAGCGGGTCTTTAGCATCATTAAATATAGCTAATGTAGAACTGTCGTTTGTATATCCACCTTGCCATTGTTTCTGTGGTGGTGTAACCACAGTCTCAAAGTCTCCAAAGTCACCATCGTCCGAGACGTTATCGGCATCAAATAACACATTTGGATCTTTAGGCAATACAGATGCTGGCACAGAACTTGTGGAACTCGGCTTTGGATTTGGCGGATACTTGGTATGGAATCCTGCAGCGGACGACTGGGCTACGTTGGATGTATTGGGTAAGAATCTGCCCTGTGGACTTGTCGTAACCCTCGCGGCGCCGTATCTTGACTCGTCTGTCACTTGTCCATGCCCCGACCCAATGCTATGCATGCCACTGCCAAATAGGTCTGTAGGTCCCTGTGTATTGGTGCTTTTGACCGCCTCCGACTCAGCGATTGGGCTCTCAAAATCTCCCCAGGTATCACCGTCATCCTGTGCCTCTTGCCTGTTCGCCTCCCTAGAACCCCCCGCATCGAAGCCGCTTAGCGTATTGAAATTCGAGATGTCGGCCCTTTGGGAGCTGTATTGGGCATTGTGGGCGGGTTGCGCCGAAGAGGCAGGGTTCGAGCTAAAAAACGATAAATCATTCAGGCCAGAGGATGGCTTACTGCTGCCATCACCTGAATTTTTCGAACTACCCTTCTGTGGGGCTACATAGTATGAGTCGAACTCTGCAAGAAGATCAGCAGACATCGCTGGCTCCTTGCGATGAAAGGATGTGGATGGTGTGGCGCCTCCAGTATAGATCTTCAAGGTCCGGAACGTTGCGGCTTCTCTTTTCGGGGTGGTGGGGTAAATAGAGGCTGGAAACCTCAGTAGAAGGAACCTTCCATTAAATCGGGACTGTAAAGCCTTCCGCGGAGAAGTGGGGTAGTTTTTGGTCAAATCTTGAGATGTAAATTGTCCAAGATGTTGTTGATATTGGACCCTGGCAACGCCTATCGCGGAAAGATACCGTGCGCCAAAGTCATCACGTCACGAAGCTCATCAACGACCTCGGAAGCCTGAGCAACCTTGGGAGTTACCAGCCTCCCAGAGTTGCAGTAATGAGGTCTTTGGAGGAATCGAGGTCAGTTAATACCATCAAAACTTGAGTGTCACTTTTTGACCCTTAACAGGCAGAGGTGGCAAAAGACCACAGAGGGAGCCTCTAAAGTTGGTGGCCTCAAGAGCCTAGTTAAGGCCGACGCTGATAGCATATGCGTATCTGGCTTGCGCTCTGTTTGTTGGAAAGTATGAATGATAGCTGTGTGCCCTTTAGATGTACACTGGTAACGATGCGGTTAGGCTTTCTTATTGTTTCAGAGTGTTGATCGTAACACATGGGCGGCGACCAGTGAGGACTCGAGGGCTGCGTACAGTGCGCTGAAATCCCATTTTCTGAGATTAATTGAGCGACCAGGCGATCTTGATTCTACTATCGACCCTCTTAATGATGATGATAATGTACGACAATACCGTGAACCCTCAATCTCAACACTATACTCTCCACTCTCTCGTTCGTGGCTAACTTACAGAAGTCTCCCTGGAACACTCTCCGTAGAGACGAGCAACTTTGCGTCGAAATCGCTCAGGATGTCGAAAGATGCATGCCCGACGAGCCATATTTTCGACTGCCCGAGACCCAGAAAACACTTCTGCAAATCCTGTTTATATACTGCAAAATCAATCAGGATATAGGATATCGGCAAGGTATGCACGAACTTGCAGCACCAATTTTATTGGCTATACAAAGAGATGCACTGGCACCAATGACCCCGGAGGAGTCAGTATTGTCAGATGATGGTGACCGTTTAATGTTCAATACGCTGGATGCAAGCTTCATTGAGCATGATTCCTTTACGCTGTTTAACTTAATTATGAGGACAGCAAAGCCGTTTTACGAACTCGGTGAGCCTGATAAGAGGCTCAACGCAGGGTCTACATCCAGCTCTCAATATGGGTCGTCGCCAATAGTTCAAAGGAGCAAGCAAATACATGAAGTACTGCTTGCCCAAGTCGATCCTGAACTAGCTTCGCACTTGACTCGGATAGAAATATTGCCTCAAATCTTTATCATGTAAGTGTTTGACAAGGTATTGCTGGTCGAGCAACTTACTAATGCCCATAATTAGACGGTGGATCAGGCTGATTTTTGGCAGAGAGTTTCCGTTCGAGGACTTACTGGCGTTGTGGGATAAGCTATTTGCAGAAGACCCCGACCTAGAGCTTATAGACATGATTTGTGTTTCGAAGCTACTAAGGATTAGATGGCAGTGTAAGATGACATTTGGAAGAATGAAGCGTAACGAAGCTAATGAAACACAGTGCTCGATGCCGATTATTCTGTGGCGCTTACATTACTGTTGAAATACCCGCATCCAACACCTCCTTGCGGTCCCCAAACCTTCGTCGAGGATGCTATTTACCTGAGAGAGAACCTCAATGAACCTGCTGGGGCGAAACTTATAAACAAATATACTGGACGAGCTCCACTTTCGCCATCATCACGCCCTGTGCCTGCTACTCCCGCTGGACGGGCAAAGCCGCATCGTGCCGAGAGCCGATTTTCGGCGCGTAAATCGCCTCTGCCTTCACCTGCAAGGTTCTTGCAAGACCAAGGCGGCGTGGAGGCCCTTCTACAGGGGGCTGCCAAAGGTGTTTTCGACCGTGGAGAAAGGCTTGGGATTAACCAGGTTGTGCGGGATGCCGTTGATGAGGTCAAGAGGAACATGCAAGGGCTCTCACCGGGACCCGGGTCTCCCCGCAGGACCCCTCGTAACAATGCACTGTCGGTGGATGAGGTGGTAACAGAGACTGGGAAATCACTGGCTGATTTGGAGGTACGAAACAAGACGTTGGCATTATTACTAAATGGGACAATAGACGAGATCCAGAAAGCATCTGACTCGACTGAGGATGCGTCAACCAAGTCGACATCTGTCAATAACGCGATTGAAAAGCTTCGGTTCATAATGCTTCGCTTAGAGGACTCCAGCCTACCGCTAAAACCGGACACACCGCGTACTACAGCAGATGCAGAAGATACCAGAGCGATTGAGCCTGAAGCAAAACCTCAATCTCAAGCAAGCCATATAGCTAGTCCAATTAGTCCACAGAAGGGTATCGAAACAGCAAATTCGCAGGTAGAAGCCCCTCCGCCAACTGCGGGGTCCTTCCCTACACTTGGCAGGACTATTCCCAGGAGGCCAAGGATTTCAGTCAGCCAGCCTTCGGAAGGTCTCGAGGCAGGACCAGGGAAGCCAGGGCAACCAGCAACTGGGATTCCTACTCGGTCGACACTGGCTCAGTCGTCGTTCGCGTGGATGCTGGGGCCAGACGAGCACTCGGCTACTTCAGACCAGTCCCCACCCATGAAGAGCCCGTCGCCCTTTTTATCATCTGGTCGCAAGCCTGGTTCAAGCGCCGCCAGAGAGAGAAGCGCATTTCTCTTCGGCGATGATGCTGACGAGGACGATGTCAATTCACCGGCGTCTCCTAAACGGGGTGGGAGCAAGGGTGACTTTGGCCTCGAGGCCATGAAAAAGACCGACACGTGATAAAATGATACACGATTGATATTCACGGCGGGTGGAATTTAGCTACTGAGCTTGGAACTATGAAATAGAATATACCGACTACAGCCCTTGTACATGATGTTGCACTGTACAAGTAGTCATATTCACATGAGAGGCCAGACCTATCTACACTGCATAAAAACGTGATTACGGCATCCAATAATGGGGGCTTCATGATTAGGCGATAGTGGCAGACAGCACTGTCAACACCGACTGGAGCAGCACAGAGTTACCCTTATAGAATTATGTGATGTGAAGTGAGCTGACGGGGGCCCTCTGACTCTTCATAGTGGCTCACAACGCTTGGCCGTGGACATTACCTGCAGGCTCCGGGGGCAAGCTCATGCAGGGTGATTCTTTTGGCAAGCGTGCAACGGCTAGTCTATAGCTCATACGGCATTTCGAGCGGGAACAAGGGAAGCAAGCACCACCCAATACAGCAAGAGCTCTTCCGCGTCGTTGCATTGTGTGAATATCATAGGGTAGAAGTGAAGCCAAACACCGGCCAGCAGCAACTAACAGCAGCCAACAGAATCAACAGAGACAGAGCCTAGGATCAACAAGAGTGTGGGAGAATGAATCACAGCCACATAAAGGCACGAATATAGTAGTTACAGTAGTAATTCCAGTAGTGTAGTGGTGATCTGAGTAGTGTATTCATACTGTGAAGTTGTGAAAGTGGTCCCAGTTCAGTTGGTGCCAGCTCCTGGTACGTACTCCAATATCTGACCCCGCCTTTCTCTTGCTAGTAAAATTTTATTTCAACCACCACAAAAAGACAAGGTCCTTCGCGCTAAGCGAGACGCTCAAAGCCCAAAAACTACCGCCTTCTTTCTCCACTCGATTTCTGCTTGCGATACCCTTCCTCTTCCTTCCCTCTCAACAAAGAAACTCATCCTCACGGGCAGATTCACTCTCTGTCGCTCCTCCTCCCTCCTCACCTCTCCACCTCTTCATACTTCCTCCTCTCACCACCCACCTTCTCCGCCTCCCGATCCCCCCAACAACTTTATCGCATCGTACCCCCCTCGCCACCTTTCTCCAACAGATTTCCTACGACCTAAGATCTACCTCTTAAGTGAGTTTCACTCCTACGCGATATGCAGTGGATGATGCCCACATCCACCTGCTACTTGCAAATCATTGCGCTGTGTTATTGCTTTATTAAGCTTTAGCTTAACGTAAGGTGGGCACTAGATGGCTGACTTCAATTGTGTAGATCCTCCCTCCACCACCAACTCGACAACACACTCATCCCACCTCGAGCAAACCCAAATCACCAACTCAAGATGTCTCAACAGGATACCCGCGACCAGTCTGGCGCTGAAGATGTCGTTGACGCGATGGATCGCCTCAACGTTGATGGCGAGCGCCTCGGACCAGATGGCGAGCCAGCCCCAAAGACCGAGGAGGATTACGCCATTGCTCAATTGACCCTCCGCGCGATTGTCTCCTCGAAGGAGGCCGGTGTTATTATCGGAAAGGCCGGAAAGAACGTCGCAGACCTTCGTGACGAGACCGGTGTAAAAGCTGGTGTCAGCAAGGTCGTCCAGGGTGTGCACGACCGTATCCTGACCATCACTGGTGGCTGCGATGCCATCTCAAAGGCCTACGCGATTGTCGCCAAGGCCCTTCTGGAGGGCGCCCCAATGATGGGCATGGGTGGACTTGTCTCAACCACCGGCACTCATCGTACGTCTCAACCCCGCGTTTGTTATCTTCTCAATAGCACCTACTGACGTTGCAATCGCTTTAGCCATCAAACTTCTCATCTCTCACAATCAGATGGGCACGATCATTGGCCGCCAGGGTCTTAAGATCAAGCACATCCAGGACGCCTCCGGCGTCAGGATGGTTGCCCAAAAGGAGATGCTTCCCCAGTCCACCGAGCGAATTGTCGAGGTCCAGGGAACCCCAGAGGGTATCCAGAAGGCGATTTGGGAGATGTGCAAGTGCCTGATCGATGATTGGGAGCGCGGAACCGGCACTGTTCTCTACAACCCAGTTGTCCGCACACAGACCGGTGGCGGACAAGGCGGCATCCGCAACGAGGGCCGCGAGTACAGCAGCCCGCGTGTGATGCGCACCGGCAATGGAGCCGATTTCAGCCAGGAGGCCCCAAGAACCTTCAACCGCCGCTCTGATGGCGAGACTGCCGGCCGTGGCGTCCCAACACACGACGAGAACGGAGAGGAGATCCAGACACAGAACATCAGCATTCCTTCCGACATGGTTGGCTGCATTATTGGCCGTGGTGGAAGCAAGATCAGCGAGATCCGCAAGACCTCTGGCGCCAGGATCTCTATTGCCAAGGCTCCTCACGATGACACTGGCGAGAGAATGTTCACCATCATGGGCAGCGCCAAGGCCAACGAGACCGCACTTTACCTCCTGTACGAGAACCTCGAGGGCGAGAAGATGCGCCGCAGCCAGGGAAACGCCCAGGAGTAGGCTTATCACCGAGTACCCCCAAGTCGTGATCCCTGGTGTTCTGCATGGGTTTGAGAGAGATCTGGCTTGCCGCAAGGCTAACTTGGTTGGGCGGCTCTTGATCCCAGCGACTTTTATTTGAACTCACTTTCCTTCCAACAAAGCATTTTACGACTGGAATTATTTTCTTATCTGATATAGCTCAGAGATGAACGATCCTTTGCGGTCGTCGCGAGCGATGGCTTTCGGCGCCCGATCATCCAACGATTCAAACAACTCGACATTGACATTCGACAACTCGAGGCAGCCGACCTACTGGCTCGACTTCTTATGGAAACGACGTCCTTTTCGAACCCTACGAGAATCGTCCTAATCTCGTCATCACGCGGCTATGATCAGAATAATCTCATAAGTTTACGAATCACGACGGCTTCTGCATTCTTGCTTGTCCACACACTTGATCGCTTTCGTTCGACCTCTTTGACTCTTTTCAAACACCAAACCTCTGACGAATAATTGGGGGATGTGTTTGAATATTAACTTTGGTTTTCCGTTGGGCAGCCAGCGGGGTCTTTGTCAGGAACTGGAAATCAGATTTCCTGGCGGGTTATGGAGAGGCAGTAGCTAGCAGTACAAGATCCAATACAAGCACGAACGTGTTCTTCGCAACTTTCAAATTCTGATGAAGACCTATGTGAATTGCCTAAGCTTATGTAGACGTCACTTCTGCCCTAAAGGTATTGATAGTGCTTTGCCTTTACTATTTGTCCACATATTCCTCTTGAGCCACATGTTGGAGGGGTAAATGCTAGCTTCATCGTAATCGATAGGGGAGACTCGGAGTCAACCCCGCATCCTATCTCTAGGTCCAAGCTTGGAGTCAAGTCACCGATAAGAATATCGTGAGTTCATAGACGTACTAGAATAAACCCTTTTATTTATTCCGGCGTATCCTCCTGTTCTAATGGACACGCAACCCCCTCACCGGCCTCTTCCCCTTTCTCTCCCTTCCCCTTTCCCCTCCCCCTCCCCTTCCCCGTACCCTTCTCCCTTCCCCTTTCCCCTCCCCCTCCCCTTCCCCGTACCCTTCCCACCATCCCCCTGCCCCCTATTAGGCCCCTTCCCACCCGGCCCCTTCCTATCCCTAAACTCCCTCGGCAACTCCGCCACCTCCCTCCCCTCCTCCCACAACACCCCCACCTCCTCCCTCTTCCTCCCCTCAACCCTCGTCCAAACCCCCCTCCCCACCACCCCCTCCCCATCCCCCTCACTCAACACAACCCCATTATCACTAACCCACCAACTTGTCCCCCCTTCCTCAAGACTCTTCCTCACATCCACATAAATCAGCACCTCGGCATCATTCCGCATCCCGCTCACCACCTTCCCCTCCCTATCCTCGGGAAGGCCAGTGGAAAAGTGTATGTGGTTGCGGCTCATCTTTTTCAGACCGCCGCTGGCCACGATGGAGGGGTAGAACGCGTAGTACGTCCCGTGCACGACTACCGGGGGGATATTATCCGCTTCCAGCGTGATGGGGGTGAGGAGGGCAGAGGAGTCGATGGTGATGCTGTGGCCTTGGTTGGCGCGGATGAGCCAGTCGGAGGGGGTGGTTGAGTCAGGGGAAGGAGAGGGGGCGAGGCGGGGGTTGAGCTTGAGGGCGAAGCGCTGCTTACTGTTGTCGGTGACGGCGGTGAGGATGTCGGCAAAGGTTACTTTGAGGGATTTGAGGCGTGGCCATTGGAGCTGGGAGGGGGGTCAGCTGATTGTTTAGAGAACAATTTGTGAAGCAGTGAAAACACCACCAGGAGTACAGCAAGCAGTTCAAAACTGCTTTGCCCATCGACAGGCCCCCGAGAGCAAGTCTACCCATCAACAGCATCAAAATACCCATCACATGACCACCCTTCTTTTCTATCTCCCCTCCTCCCCCCGCGACGAAGAAAAGAAAATCACAAACTCACAGCCTCCCCCACCCCAGCAAACCCCTCCTCATCAAGCTCCAACCCCGCCTTCACAGCATCGTGTCTCAGGAGCTTACTCAGCGCCTTCGATACCTGTACATCCCTGCTCTGCCCGCCGCCGCCGCTGCGACCTTTTCCGCTCCGCGATCCCCCACCTCCACCTCCACCACCACCGGCGCCTGATTTGCGGCTCTGTGGGGGGGGCGCATCTTGTAGTTGGTCGGCGAGGGCCTGCTCGCCTGTTGGGGACATGGCGGGTTTGATAGTTTTTTTTTGGAGAAGGAAGGTGTGTTTGGGGATTTGATATAAGTTTTGTGGTGGTGGGAGGTTTATGGGAATGGCGGGCTCGCTTACAACGGCGGGAGTCGTCGTCACCGAAGTTGCGTAAATAGTAAATAATAGGCAGACACTATCGAACGAAAGAAGCTCCAGGGTATACTGAAGAGACTATTCCGTTAAGTTTAGTTTATAGGCTCTATTAATCTTCGAGAGTTACACAGTCGCTACACAGACATCGGATCACCGCACATCGGACCACCGCATTAGAAGCAAAAGGACTTCACAATCACAGCCACAATCACATATCAACACAGCGGAAGCTCAACAAAATGTATCTGCAATAATCTCCGACCCTCATCTCAGGCCACAGGCTAGAAATACATCTCAGAAAAAAATCCACCTCATCGGTGATCTAGCTAGTAGTAGCTCGTGTATCCCTCCCCTAGTAAAGCAACTAGCTCTATCTATACATCGTCCAGGGTATAAGCCTCCAATAATCGTAGTTCATGCCTGGCATATCTCGTCCATCTCGTCCCTTTCCCAGCCATGCGTGAAAGCAATGATATCTTGGAAAACAGCTCATCCATCTCGAAGCCAAAGTGCTCATGATGATGGCCAGGCATGATGCGGCGTCGAGCTCTTCGCCCAAAAAAAGCAAACCCTCCCTTAGCCCTGTCCGTCCCTCCCCTCCCAGATAACTCCATCACTCCTATCGTACACCCACCCCGTCCCTTTGCGTATGCCTATGCTATGTAACAACAATGGTTTATACATCCCCCCCTTCGCTCATCCGCAACTAAAACAAAACAAAAAATATCAAGGTGTCTGCGCCACCGCGCCGCCAACAACACTACTCCTCGCCCTCACCCTCCCCCCCGGATTAGCCAGGCTCCTCATCCTATTAATCCCCGCATCCATACTCTGCGTAACGCTCACAGGCAATCTCTGTCCCCTCTCCTCGGCAAGCATACCAGAAACACTACTCGTATCCCTCTCCGGCGTCGGGCGATCAAGATACCTCCTCGCCGACGACAGCGTCGGAATCGTACTCGACGGCGACAGATTACTGAAATACTGTCTCCTCGCCGGCAAATTCGACACCGTCGAAGGCGCCCGTTCCGGCAGCGGCTGCTGACTCGTGTATTCCATAGGCGAGTTCCTCGTAAACCCAATCTCCGTCGCTGCCCGTGACGGCGCCCTGAACTGGACGTCGCCGCCGTCGTCGGTCTCGCGCTCCTCGGTCCCGGCGCGCTGGCGGCGGATCATGATGGAGGTGCGGCGGCCGGCTAGGGAGGATTGGGTGGGTGTTGTGGTCTCGGGGGGGTTGAAGCGAGGGCTGGGAATGGCGTTGTCTGGCACAGTAAAGCGCGGGCTTGGGAGAGCGCTGGTCGCGAGTAAACTGCTTCGTCTTGCCTCCATTCTGCTGAGTGCACGACTGGGGCTTTGCTTTGCTCTAATCAATGCATCGTTTGATGCAATGATCTGGCGGGGAGACGGCTCTGATTCTGCCACCTGAGCCTGGAGCTCCTTGCCTCTACTCATTGGCCTGGCTGGAGCAGCCACTCCAAGTTGGGACGTGGTATCAGACAACGCAATACACAGCTCCGTCAAGCTTCTACACATGCTCTCCGCTTTCCTTCGAAGCTGTCGATCCGCGATGCTTCCCCCATTAGGCCCAATCACAGAGTGGCCGCTGGAAATCGGCTGGCCGACACTGCCGACCATCGAGGCCACACCAAGGGCATCTGATGCGGCGTTCTCCAGTGCCTTGTATAAGTCCGGGGTCAAAACTGTCTTCGACTTTGCGAGAGCTGCATGTAATAAAGGATGAGCCTCTCCAGCGTGAACGGCATCGCCGCTATTATCCACTATGGATGTGCTAGCTCCCCGCCCTCTCTTGGGAGACGTCGATATCGTAGTAGCTGTGGTAGTGGCAGTCGGGGGTCTCTCGCCAGTTGCGCGCGAGACAGCAGCACCTGAAGTCGCTGGCGGCTTACCAGTCAATTCCAGTTTCCGTATCCTCGACTTCAGGTCGTCGAGTTCGTCCCAGACAGTGGATGGAGCTGTAGTGGATACCGTGCCATCATCAGTACTCCCTGCAACCGCGGCCGGCTCCGGAGTGATTTCCGGCTCCGCCATTCTTCCTACAAGCGGGGAAGAGTTGTAGATTCGTGGGGTAGAGAAGGATGACAGGTTTGATTGGCGATAGGTGTGCCCTCGTACCTGCGAGCCTCCGATGGACTCGGGTATAGACGGCCTCCTTCCAGAAGCAGAAGACTGCGTGTCATATGTGGGCTCTCGAGTGTTGAAAACCCTGGGAGTTACAGGCGTTGTTCTTGTCGCCGACGGCGGGTATCGCGACTTATTAAGGTCTAACGGACTCGCTGGACTCGAAGCAGCGCGGCCGTGTGAGTAAGCATTATAACCTTGGCGATCGGTTCGTTGACTCGGCGGCGTGCCCTCGTTTCCTCTTGAGGAGTAGGAAGTCGACACGCTCTGCAATTCGGAGCCGCGACGAGGCATCGGATTCGGATATGAATTCGTGAGTGGTGGTAGCGACGAGCGATTATTGGGGAGCGCGATACGGGACTACATGTTTATTAGTGGGGAAGTCATTGAAGAAAGTGAGGGTTTTGAGGCTCGTGCGGATATTCAAGGAGATAGCTAGACAGGGGACTTGAAACGGATCATTTACGCAACATGCTAGCAACGTGTGAAACGCCGCGCGATATCAGGACAGGGGTGAATGGAGGCATCGGGCCAACTTACAGTGTGCCTATTTGTTGTGGTGGTGGGCTTGTCTTGCGGGTAGCCATGGGATAAGTCGTCCAACGCAAGGTCGAGAAACAGATCCTCTGTCCCGTCATTGTTGCGAGTCTGATCGCGATACTCTTGCTCCCTCGAATATGTATCTCTCCTGCTATTGTCCTCGTAGCCCTCTAAAGCCCTTAAATTCTGGTCGCGGTCCTCGCGGTCCTCCGCACCGTCATACTGGTAGCAACGCCTGCTATCCATCCCGAACGATGTGCAAGTCGCAGACGATCTGAGCGATCGAATAGGCGGTATCCGCGGTCGGGTTTGTGTCGTCGGCAAGCTCACAGTCTTCTTCCTTTGTGGCGTTCTATTATCCTTTGTGAGCTCTGGGCCCGCAGCCGGCAGGGCGGACTGCAGGTTTCCTAGCGTGAGTTTCTGCTGGGCCAACGCCCACTGTGTCGTTGATGTGTTCGGAGGCCGGACAGGCGCTTCGGGAGAGAACGAGTGTTGTGTACTCAGAGCAGGTGGTGGGCCGGTGTGCGTCTCGATACCATTGCTGCTATGCGACGCGGGCGCCCTTCGGCCTCTTCTCGGTTCCTGGACCTTGGAGGAGCTGTTGGGCCGGTAGCTGGTGGTGCGAGGTTCGGTAGAATTAGCTAGTTCGCGTTCTTCTTCGCGCGGCGATGTGGTCTGCGACTTTGTTGTGATGCGCTGTACAGCTGTGTCGCAGACGGATCGGTTGTTGTGGGAGTGCGGAGTAGCAGCAGCAGCAGCAGTCAGGGAGGAGTCGGGTAACGTGTGTGAGCGTTGTAAATCGGCAAACCTGAAGGTGGGAAGCTTGCTGGGAGTGTGGTCGAGTCGGTGGGCGTGAAGGTTGCTCGTTTTGTCGGGATAGTGTGGTCCGTCGCAATCCATAGTCTCTCGAGAAGAAGCAATACAGGGAAGCCGATATTATTCATGGAGATGTGCGTCGTTATGCATCAGCTGGGGGAGGGCGCATACCAGCAGGAGCTGCGAGTGAGCTGTCAGGCCTACAGTCACTGGCGACGAGCAGCAGATTGGAGTATATTATCATTAACAACGACGACGATGACAGATGACAGCGACAGTAGCAATGGAGAAGATGACGGCAATTGGTGATGGGTCGAGGAGGCCTAACTAACACAACTGTGCGGAGGGGAAGTTTGACTAGTTTAAGGGCACCCGAGCCATCCACAAACAGAGCTACGAGTACGAGACAAGAGTGAGTCGAGTTGATTGAAAGGCACAGTTTATGTTACAAGAGTGCCAGGATGGCATGCACAAACAGTATAAGGCATGGGATACTGTCGTACCAATCATACCAGGACTCAACACCGGCTCCCAGCACCAGCATGGAAAATGGCTCGACGACGACGACGCCCACAGCGTGGCAGAGGGAATGGCGCACAGAAGTTAGCAGAGTGGTAGTGGAGTTGACGTAGGGATCAGGGCAACAAATATGCCGGTGCCACAGTCTCAATCACTATTGTCAGGTGTGTCCAGAGGGTCCAGTAGAACCCTGAGAATTGTGCATCATTTCACAAATGATGGAGGGGAAGAGAGACATGAGCGAGACACGACAGGACAAGGCGAGTTGATCGGAGACGTCCAAACAGCTGCAAGACGACAAATACGCCCACAACCACAGACACAAACACAGACACAAACACAGACACAAACACAGACACAAACACAGACACAGACACAGACACAGACACAGACACAGACACAGACACAGACACAGACACAGACACAGAGGGCAATTCAGATCTGCATACCCACCACCACCACCATAACAACAACACAAACGCGCACACAAACGAAGCCATGTCCCCATAGCGCATCTCGCGATAACCGGGCACCCACGCCGATCCCAGCTCCCAAAGCGCCGATCGCCTGCTCTCGGATAATGTGGATGTTCCTGAAAGGGATGGAAGAAATACACGCCAGCCGCTACTATTGCACTGGTGGCGGGGTATACACTTAGACCAGGGGATATATCGCATGGGCGAGGAGGAAGAGATTAAAGGAGCCGCCCCATCCATTCATATCGACGCCGACATCCACGTCAAGTCGACGTGTCAGCTTTCTCGGCCGGGGAAAACACTCTCTCTATTCAACCATACGGCAGTAGAGATGGTTGTTATGTGCGCTACTGAATGTGCGTCGGCTTCTTCGGCATAGGAGTGGAAGTCGAGTCGATAGTTCACAGAACGACGTGTGGACTCTCTACTCGAGGGATGGTGATATACCAGGCATCTGCTTAGCTACCAGTATCTCCCCAACCCCCTCTAAGCATCCCGATCCAGCCCAATCCATCCATCCCCAAGAGTAGAGTATAGTTCTGCAGAAGAAGCGGTGTGCCCTGCTTCTTCCGTGTTTCACTCCCGACTCCCTGCCTGCCGCAACTGTCTCGCGTCCTTCCCTCGTCGCAGCTCGTTTATCGTAATGTCTCACATCGCGCCGCCACACAGCGCTATCACATTTGTGCTCTGTGGTGTAACCGAGTAGCCAGAGAATTCGCGGTGCTGGGGCGGGGTGCGGGGTGCGTGCATACTGCTGTGTAGAGAGTAGGAGAGATGGAGAGAGTCGTACAGATACACGACCGCTGAGACCTCGTCTGATAATGAGTGACCTGTGTGACCCCCAACGGTCTGGGAATCCGCGAGGTTGGGAGTTCTGGATTCCGAAGTGTTGGGAGAGACATCGAGGGTGTGGTGGGGGAAGGGGAGGGGCGTGAATTTCGTCACGGGGAATCACAATATATAACATATCATATATATAAACACATATAGAGCACATATACGATATACCAGAGTTAGACAATTATGATAATAATAGTAATATATTAAGACAGATGTATACCCTGGGCGGCACGAAACCAAACTACCAGTGGTAACAATCATTTTTGTCTACCGACCGACCTCCGACCTCAATGGCCATCCTGATCCCTATCCACCCTCATACGGGGCATTTTTCCCTTTCCCTTTTGCCAGACGCCAAAATCCCTTTTTTGTTGTGTGTGAATGGCCCAAAAACATCAGTTAATTAATTGGGGATGTCCCAGCGGGAGGTGTTTAGTATGCCTCCAATTTCGCCAAGCGCTTCGACATGCTATTGTATGCGTTAGTACTATGATCTAGAAGAGGAGATAGAGGAGGGGGTAAAGCTTACAAATCAAAGAAAGCAAACTGGCTAGTCGAAGTCCCAAACTCATACACAAACCTCGAAGCCAAATAACTGCCAAAGATAGATCTCAAGTAGCTATCCGGCACGCGCTCAATAATCGCATCCAGCCCAATCTTATCCAGCAACAACTTCGGCAGGGCATCCTTCAGCACCGAGCGCCGCAGTGGCTCATTGTGCCAGAGCTCCGTGTTCTGCAGCTCCTCATCCAGCTTCGTGATTGCGATACTGAGAGTATCACTCAACACCGAGCGGGCCACACCCGTATCCGCGTTCTCGCGCCAGATAGCCTCGAACTCGAGACGCGCATTGCGCTTGATGACCTCCTGCACCTCGGCTACGTAGGCCTTGTAGAAAGGTGGTGCCTCGCCGTCAGCGCCGACGCACATGTGCTTGAGGAAGCCGGCGTCGTCGAAGGAGAGGGATGCGAGGACCTCGAGGGAGGAGGAGGTCACGCCGCCCTTGTTGGCGGAGGCGTCCTTGAAGAGGATGCAGCCTGCGGCTTCGAGGCGGAGCTTGGCGTCCTGGGCGATGAAGAGGTTGGCGCCCTCGACGATGTAGGGGATGAGGGACTTGCCGTCCTGGATCAGCTTGTTGCAGCTGACGAGGTCGATGGACTCGGGGCGGCCGCCGCAAGGGACGAAGATGTCGGTCAGGCCGGTGTGGCGGAGGTGGAAGGTGTTGCGGAAGGTCATGCCGTTGGGGATCACTTCGCCGCTGGGGAGGGTGACGTCGGTCTCGTCGAGGAGGATGCGGTAGCCGTCCTTGGAGAGCTTGGTGATGTCGAACTCGGAGATCATGACGCGCTTCTTGGCCAGGCGGAGGAGCTCACCGTGGTTGATTCCGTTGGGGTCCACGAGGACGCCGGCGCCGTCGACGATGGAGGTGTACTTCTCGTTGCTGAGGAGGATCTCGTTGGAGCCGAGATCTCCATCAGGGCCACCGGTCTGCATCTTGCGGACCGTGGAGGGCTCGAGGTTCAACTTGCGGTAGATACCTGTGACGTACTCGCGGACCGAGAGGGTGGTCATGCCGTAGTGGTCGTGGGGGATTCCACCAAGCTTGGGGCTCTTGCCGGTGAAAAAAGACTTCCACCATGGTGCACCACGCTTGCGAGCGTGCTCGGTGGCCCAGTCGACTAGCTCGGCAGTGTTCTCATCAGGGCCCATGAACAGGATCTCTTGCTTGCCGTAGAGGTCAACAATGGGGTCCTTGATACCTGGGCTGACAGGTGGCAGGAGAAGATCCATGATCGAATCAATATACTTCTCGAAAGCCACGCTTCCCTTGTCCTGATGTTGGGGGTCGAGGAGGATGACACCCTTGGATCCGCCCTCGGGGATATCCTTGTTCTTCCTCTGCTGGGTGTTGGCCAGGCCGTAGTTCTCATCGAACATTCTCCTCGCGTTGATGGAGAATGCCTCACGATTCCTCGACTTGACAATACGGATACCGCCACGGGAGATGTCGCGGAAGCGGAGATGGAAGCCACGGGCCTCAGAGCTGATGATGAGGAACATGCCGAACAATGGCTGTGGGTACTCAATCGCTGGCAAGAACGATGGGTCCATGCGGAAGCTGAGGGCGACCTTGGTGGGGGTGAAGAAGTTGGTCTTCAGGACCGACTTGTTGAAGGTGCGGAAAGCATCCATGACAAGCTGCTCGTGCTCGTTGTTGACAGTCCTGGAAATGAGGTCCTTGAGGGCCTTATCGCCGAGAACATCGACTGGGGTGGTGGGGATGGACTCCTCAGACGCGAGGCCGGCGTGGAAGTGGGTGTCAGCGAAGCTCGAGTAGAGGGATCGGACGAGATCTGGGTATTGCCCAATGATCTCCAGGATATAAGCAGCGGTGAAAGTCTCGGTACGAAGACGACGCTTGATGTTGGAGAGGACCTCAGCGTGGGCCCCATTCGTGGAGTCCAAAGCCGATACCAACGAGGCGTACTCGGATCCCAGTCTGTTGAGGAAGTGCTGCACGAACACCCACACGCAGTGACTGTAGATGGTCTCCTGCAGGCTCAAACGGCCAACAGCGAACATGTTCTGGAACTTGTTCTGTGGGATACAGTACAGCAGAGAGATCTCGCGAACGATGTGGCGGATGGAAGTGTCAATGGGGGGGTACTTGGAGCCGGGCTCGAGGGCGCTGACAGTGGGCTTCAAGTAGATCGAGATGACGGTGATGCCGTTGGAGAACTGCTCGACGTACTTCCTGGAGCTGGTGACACCGTAGTAATGGTACAGATCACTCAGGGCGCAGAAAAGGCCCATGGCTCTGCGCTGGCGGAATGCAACAACCAGACGCTTCTCTTGGGAAGCCTCGATGTCGAAAGCCTCAATAACGGGACCTGTGCGTGCAACAGCCATCTCGATGATGTTCTGGTAGATTTGCATGGTGTTCTTCGTGGCCTTGGCCAGGAAGCCGCGGTCACCAATGACGTGGAGCCTAGTGTCCAGGGGGTCTGGATTCGAGTCGACGAACTGGCACTGGTAGACGAAGTAGCAGCGCATCGTCGCGGCGGACGTTGGGTGGATCTTGGCGGGCGAGCGGAAAGTCTCGACTCTGAATCTCCTGTTCTGGTCGCCGCCATCGAGGTACTTGGCCTCGAGTCTCTGCTCATACCTTGGGCCGCCTGTGTTGCTGATACCGGGCTCGCTGGTGTCGATGTAGATGGCATGATCTGTTGCCTCCATGTCGAGTCTGATCTCCTGGCGCTTATCTTCGCGGGCAGAAGCAGCGACCTTGGCGGCATAGAGAGAGGTGATGTGGCTCTTGATGGCCTCGGGGGTTTCGGTCTGGAAGTAGACATCGTCGATACCTAGGTCCTTGTAGAACCACTCGACTTGAGCGTCGACGTGGTCCTTGGGGATCCAGGAACCTTCAATGATCAATCTCTTGACTAAAGCAGTTTGTCAGTTATTGTATCTTTTTTGTAGTGTGGGAAGTATTCACCTTCATTAATCTGAGCCTCCTTGCCCTCAAACGGAGGTGCAATGTATCCAACGGTTGCTGAGCGAAGGACCCTGTGGCCATTTGAGTTGTTGAGGCTCAAGTGAGCTGGTTGCGGAGAAGGTATCCGACCTGGTGTCCTGATGACATGTTCGAGCAACTTATTCGTGATCCCAGACTCGCTGGAAGGTGTCGACGCAGCAGTCATGATGAGTTATGCTGATCTATGGCGAGGAATCTGAAGGTTCCAAACATCAGCGTTGGCACTGATAAGGTGGGAAGGTGGCGTATGGCGGGGTATTATTTGTTGGTGGCGTGTGGGAGCTACCCGCCTTGAAATTGGGAGGCGACACAAGGAAAGTGAAAAGAGTGAAAATAGAAAAACCCAAACATACCTTGCTTGAAGAGGTGATTACCTCGCTGTCCAATTGCACACCACCGTTGTTGTTTTGTTGTTTGGGGATGTAGGAGGGGAAGAGTTTCTTATCGGAGAAGTAGAGCTAAATAGCAACAATCGTTATCGTCAGCAAGGCGCAAGCAAGGCAAGGGACAAACAGACAGCAGGGACAACAGACAACAGGGACACAAAGCCATGCGCGGATATGTGTTGTCGAAGGATTGGATAATACTCACAACAAAGTAATGTCTGTAACAAATCTCGATTGATCTGAATTGATTGATGCGAGGTGAGTTGTAGGTGAAGAGTTGTAGGAATTGTAGAAGTGGTGGTAATTTTTCCCCACGTAAATTGGAGAAGTTGGAAGTACTCGGTAGTGGTCGTGTCGATTTGGAGATGTGCGGAGATAAGTGGGGGGGGAGAGAGGAAGCTTATCGATTCATGTGCTGATGGGGTAGGTAGTGTGATGTGAGAGTGAAAGTGAAAGTTCACTTATTCCAGTGAAAGTGAAATGGTATATGATGGGATGGAATGTATGCTAAAAAGCGGGAAGAAGCTGGGGGTCTGGAGAAGTTATTATATACGAAAAGGGGATTAGAGGGAGAAAGGAGAAGGAGGAGGAGGAGGAGGAGGAGCAGGAGCAGAAGGAGCAGAAGGAGAGGAGCAGAGGAGTAGAGAAGGAGAGAAGTAGAGAAGGAGAGAAGGAGAGAAGTAGAGAAGTAGAGAAGTAGAGAAGTAGAGAAGTAGAGAAGTAGAGAAGTAGAGAAGTGGAGAGGAGGGAGGAGGAGCAGAAGTAGAGAAGTAGAGAAGTAGATTGAAGAAAAGATGATAGGGGGGTAGTTTGAGTGTAGTTAGTTCTAGTTAGGAAGTAGTAGTAGGTAGTACAGTAATGTGGTGGTTTGGGTGGTGGTTTGGGTGGTGGTTTGGGTAGTAAGTAGTAAGGGTAGTGGTTTGGGTAGTAAGTAGTAAAGGGTAGTGGTTTGGGTAGTGGTTTGGTAGTGGTTTGGTAGTGGTTTGGTAGTGGTTTGGTAGTGGTTTGGTAGTGGTTTGGGTAGTGGTGGTAGTGGTGGGTAGTGGTTTGGGTAGTAAGGCTATTATGGGTAGGAATGGATAGGAATGGATAGGAATGGATAGGAATGGATAGTGGTGCGTAATCGTGAGACCATAAAAGAAGGTCACGATGTCACGAAGGGTTAGGAATACGTGGGAAAACTTAGGAAAGTCACAAGTCACAAGTCACAAGTCACAAGCCAGTCACAATCACGTCAGAAGAGAAAGAGTGGGGACGAAACGGCGGCGTAGACGCAAGGAGGGAGAAGGAGCTACTTACTCAGGTCAGATGAGGAATTCTCTCTTGCTGGAGTAGTTTGTGGGACATGACATGACAGACCATAACATAACAAAAAACAGACCGCCGTGCTGCCCCTACTTACCGCCACGCTCTAACAATAGAAACTTCCCCCAACTGCCCACATGCATGCTCGCCCACCACCGTACCTGGTCGGGTGGCTGGCGGGATTCATCGAGCATCGACTATGTGGAGGTAGACGTGACATCTCTCCACTGGCGAATATCACGCACGAAACCAAGTAGAACACCACCCACTACCCACTACCCCACTATCCACTACCACTGCCTCCCCCCATCGCTGTGTCAACGCCTGGCCCGCAAGCAAAGCGCGTTAGGTAAGGAGGGGTTAGGTAAGGAGGGATTAGGTAAGGAGGGGTGCTGTGAGCCCCATACGCGATTTGTCCGGGGCCGGAATAATGGAGGCTGGACCCATACGCTATTTGTCTGGCGTGACTTGGGCGTTGCCGTACTGGAAATGGATGGCCGAGCGTAGGGTGAGAGGGTGAGAGGGTGAGAGGGTGAGAGGGTGAGAGGGTGAGAGGGTGAGAGGGTGAGAGGGTGAGAGACCAGACGAGACAACGAGCTCATGACCTGCCCGATCGGTGGGTCGAGATCCAACCGTCTGGTTCATCTGGTTCACTTGTTCTGGGGTGGGGCATGGTGCTCCGTGGGGTGTGGGGATAGCATCCCACGATGGAATGATGTCGCCATTGTCTGGTGCTCTGTCTGGTGCTCTGTCTGGTGCTCTGTCTGGCGGTATATTACGTATCTATATATTTCCTCTCTTGTGGACTGGACTGGACTGGACTGGACTGGACTGGACTGGCTGTCTGGTGCTCTGTCTGGTGCTCTGTCTGGCGGTATATTACGTATATATATATATGTTCCATATATATGTTCCGACTGACCTTCCTCTCTTGTGGACTGGACTGGACTGGACTGGACTGATCGATCGTCCGTCCGCCCTGCAGCCCCCCGTACCTGTGCCGGTCGTACCCCGTAAATTAATTTCGCCATCGATCGAGGACAATCACCCCCGTGGTTACCTAACCACGGGGGTGATTGTGGTAACGTAGGTACGTTACCACACCCCGTGACCTGCCTCGCCTCGCTTACCAAAACCGTCCATACCAGCCTGACATCACCTGCTACGAAAAGGAGGCCGCTTTCCGCTTCCGCGCTCCGCGCATATTCGCGGTATATATCGCGAATATGTTCGCGTTCGCGTTCGCGCGTGCTGACTAGCGCGTTGCTCGCTGGATTTGGGTGCGGTGAGTGAGGGTGGAATTGCGGGGCGAATCTTGTAGCGAGAGGAGGGGTAGTTAGATAGTCCTGGCAGGAGCATAAAGTGTGTTTTGAAGAGAGCCACTCTGTCAATCTGTAGCAACTCAGCTTCATAACTTTCCATATCCAAACCCCCCCCCCCCCCAAGGCAAAACCCATCACCTATCTACTATCTCCAACTATTCACTCCCCCCATAAGCGACGCGGCTCATACCAAAATCCTCCTGTCCAAACCACCAGTCGTGCAACCTCACACCAGACTCTGTGCAACGACACACCCATCCGCCATCCGCCATCCACCATCCACCATCCACCATCCACCATCCACCATCCGCGTATAACATAATACCAATTATGACCGAATCCACGCCCACCAGCACCACCACCAACGGCCAAGCCACAGCAGCAGACGCACTTCCCCACCACAGCAGGGAGTACGCCGAGTACCTGACCGCCCAGGATCCACTCAAGCACCTCCGCGCCGAGTTCTTCATCCCCTCCAAGGCGGACCTGGCGCGTGAGACGCTGCCGCGGAATGGTGAGTAGGGGATTTTTATCATGTCATGTCATGTTCGCTTTCCCCTTGCCTCCATCGGCCTCCCTGCACGTAATACGTCTTACTCACACACGCATCTAGACCACACCATCCCGCCCTCATCACATGATGAAAGCGTCTACCTCTGCGGCAACTCCCTCGGTCTGCAACCGCGTCGCGTCTCGCAGCGGCTCCAGCAATATCTCTCTGCCTGGGCCACTCAAGGCGTACAAGGCCACTTCAAAGCCCTTAAGGATTCCCCCCTCCCAGCATGGCTGTACGCCGACGACGCGGCGGCAAAGGCGATGGCGCCCATTGTCGGTGCGGCGCCGGCGGAGATCGCGGTGATGGAGACGTTGACGGCGAATTTGCATTTTATTCTTTCGGCGTTTTATAGGCCGGATGTTAATGGACGGCATAAGATTATTATTGAGAGCAAGGCTTTCCCCAGCGACCACGTGAGTCCCCCCCCCCCTATCCCCTATCCCCAATTCACCCCTATCTCCCCCATCTCACTGGATCGAAATACTTAACCCCCCCCTAGTTCGCAGTAGAATCCCAAGTCCGCCACCACAACCTCCCTCCCTCCACCTCGATGATAACCATCGACCCCCCCACCGACACCTCCTTGCTACCCACCTCCCACATCCTCGCCACGATCGACGCACACGCCTCCACCACCGCTGTCCTGCTGCTGCCGGGGGTCCAGTTTTACACCGGGCAGTTGCTGGATATCAAGACTATCACTGCTTACGCCCAGGCGAGGGGTATTTTCGTGGTCTGGGATCTTGCCCACGCCGTCGGCAACGTGCCACTTCAACTGCATGATTGGAATGTGGATGCCGCGGCATGGTGTACGTATAAGTACTTGAACTCTGGCCCCGGGGCAATCGGTGGGATGTTCGTACACGAAAGAAACAGTCGTGTCACCACCACCACCACCACCACCACCTCGAACGGCGCGACCAATGGCGACAAGAAGAGCGAGGATAAGGAATTCCACCCCCGCCTCGCAGGCTGGTGGGGCAGCGACAAAAAAACCCGCTTCGCAATGTCCAACGACTTCTCCCCCATCCCCGGCGCCGGGGGCTTCCAAGTCTCGAACCCCAGCACCAACGACCTGACGACCGTCTGCGCGTCTCTCGAAGTCTTCAACCTCACCACTATCGCTGAGCTACGCGAGAAGAGTTTGGGACTTACTGCGTACCTTGAGGAGCGGCTGCTGGCGCTGCAGAAGAGATCGGGGGGGTTTAAGATTATTACGCCCAGTAGCCCGGAGGAGAGGGGTGCGCAGTTGAGTGTGCAGCTTGAAGAAGGGTTCTTGGAAGGGGTGATGGAGGAGTTGATCAAGGGAGGAGTGATTGTGGATGAGAGGATGCCGGATGTGATTCGGGTTGCGCCGGCGCCGATTTATAATAATGCGGTGGATGTGTGGATATTTATGGATGTTTTTGAGAAGGCGTTGGGGACGGTGAGGGAGGGGAAAACTGAGAGGAAGGGGAATGGGGAGGGGGGGGAGGTTGAGAAGGTTGTGACGAATTGATGGAATGGGGGGGTTATGAGATTAAGACGTTGCTGTGAGAGCTTGTGTGCGTAGCTAACATACTTGAAAACTGAGCGTAGATTTTAGGGAGGTGAGAATATATATCTTAAACCGTTCTCGTGCCGCTCAAGACATTGATAAAGGCATTTTTCATGACAATCATCCACACGCACGTCGTAGCTCACAGAGCCTATTATCACTTTGGGTATTCACAGCGCCTATAACCAAAACAACCACTCACAGCGCCTATTACCACTTTAGGTAGTCTCGCCTATGAACCCAACAACCCCTCCCAATCACTCATCAACAACACAAACCCAACTCGTCGCGCACCCCCCTCCAATAGAAACGATACTGCTTCCCTCCGGCAAATTCTTCGAAGAAGCTATCACATTATTCGCAACCCTCACATCCTCCTTTCCCGGCCCACAATTCCCATGCTCCCCCCATCCCCAGGCCAGAACGTCTCCGTCGCGGGTAAGCGCGAGGGTGTGTTCGCTGCCTACTGCTATTTTCTCTATCGATGGTAGATCGGGGGGTGCGCATTGGCCGTGGTCGTTGCGGCCCCACGATAGGAGTGTTCCGTCATCTTTAAGGAGGACGATGTTGCCCCATCCGGCGCTGACGTCGCTCCAGTTCTTGATATTAGCGTCGGCAGGGGGCTTGACGTCCCATTTATCCTTCCCGAGGAACAAACTCTCTCCTTCCCCAGGAGAGCCTAGGAGATACGTAAACTCCCTCCCACAAACCGCTCTCACAACCTTAAACCCCACCCCCTCCACCTTCCGCGGCTCATGCACCACCTCTGCCGGTTCCCCGAGCTGGCCTTTTCGTCCGTTACCCCAGCCATATACGTCCCCGTTATCCAGGACGACGATCACGTGGCCCATGCACGCTGCGAGGTCCACAACCTCCCTATCCGGCGAGGGAAAATCAGGAAGGAGTTCAGGGCGTGGGGAGCGGATGATTAGAGTTCCTTGTCCGAGTTCCCCCTTCTGGCCCATGCCGAAGGTATACACATCCCTCGCCCGCCCCGTCCCATCAGCAGCAACAACAACAGAAGCTTCCCACATCGCAGCGCAATGCGTGACCTTGGGATTAGCCTTGATATCAGCCTCTGCAGATTTGAAGGCGTTAGGTCCCCACAGCTCAGTCGAGTCAGGCGACACCTGTGACTCTGCTTCAGCGGAGGCGGAGAACGTCAATAACACCGGACTGAAACTCCCCGATGTGGAAGGCGGCAGAAAATAGCGGCCGCGCGCGCCGTGGGTGAGGGCGCCGGAGCTGAGCAGCATGCCGGAGGGGGTGAGGAGGAGTGTGTGGTTTCCGCCGCCGCGGATGGTCATGGGGCCTCCGGAGGTGGGGGGGAAGGAGGCGTGGAAGAGGACGCCTTTGGGGACGGAGACATCTTCTTTGTGGCCTATTCCGAGTTGGCCGGAGCCGTTGGAGCCCATGGCGTATATGCCCATTTTTCAGGTCTGAAGTTGTCTTTCTTGCTCACATTGGTATCATTTTGAGAATGTTTATGTTTGTATGAGAACGTTATGCCTGCACGTCCTTATCTTATCGTCATTAGCGCCATGCGCCACACTTTCACTTTCGCGACGCCGCAACCACCATCTTCTCTCATAGGGTTACGGAACCCCGTGGCGTAAGCGAGACCAACAGTACACAACAGAAGTTGCAGCCTCAGATTACTGCTTAGTCACCGGCCCACTGAGACCATTGCTCAGGTTTTCGGCTTGATCTCGAAAACCTTCACCACCACAACTCCACCTCGACAACCGCAACAATGCCTTCCGACAATCTCTCCACGCCGACCCAGGAGCAGATCCTCGTCCCGGAGACGCTCCTGAAGAAGCGCAAGTCGCAGGAGAAGGCCCGCGAGGAGCGCTCTGCCGAGCTTGAGAAGAAGAAGAAGGTACGCTCTTGAATTTTTCCACACATCACAAAATATACGAAGCATTTCGGGCATGGTCGGCGATTATATGATGCATAACACCATCTTTGCGACTAGGCACAACAGTGTCGATGTTGTCGCCAATTAACCATCTTTCGGGTCTGATCTATCGTCGAGCCATGCCGTCTGCTTTCGTTGTGCTATTCGAATACTCGGTCCTCGATCAACGTTTGCTAACTCAAGCATGATATAGGCCCAGAAGGAGAAGCGCGGCGTCATCTTCAAGCGTGCTGAGAAGTACGTTAAGGAGTACCGCGATGCTGAGCGCGAGAAGATCCGTCTTGCTCGTCTCTCCAAGCAGGATGGCTCTTACTACGTGCCTGCTGAGGACAAGCTTGTCTTCGTTGTCCGCATCAAGGGGTAAGCAATTGCATGACTGGATCCATCATCACACGCCCGAGCACGAGTCCTAACGCAAATTTTACAGTATCAACAAGATTGCACCAAAGCCCCGCAAGATCCTCCAACTCCTCCGTCTTCTCCAGATCAACAACGGTGTTTTCATCCGCCTGACCAAGGCCACCCTCGAGATGCTCAAGATCGTCGAGCCATGGATAGCCTACGGTTACGCCAACCTCAAGACCGTCCGCGAGCTCATCTACAAGCGCGGATACGGAAAGGTCGACAAGCAGCGCATTGCTCTCACCGACAACGCCATCGTCGAGGCCAACCTCGGCAAGTACGGCATCGTCTGCATGGAGGATCTCATCCACGAGATCTACACCGTCGGACCCAACTTCAAGCAGGCCTCCAACTTCCTGTGGCCATTCAAGCTCTCCAACCCTACCGGTGGCTTCCGCACCCGCAAATTCCGCCACTTCGTCGAGGGAGGTGACCTGGGTAACCGCGAGGACAAGATCAACGCTCTTATCAGACAGATGAACTAGAAAATATAAAACAATAGTTCGCTGCATGGTGATGTGTGTGTCAGGAACCGGGATGGGAGTCTTGCTTGCTTCTTAGCTATATTTTAGCATGAATGGCGTAACCACGGCAATACTGATCTCGATTCAACTTCAGTATAAAAATGACCTTTTTTTTATGATATCCAATTTTTTAAATTTTCAGCGATGTAGTCGCGTGATTTCCGATTTCCGTCCCATTTCTCTCTCTCTTTTCTCCACCCATGGTTCTTCGCACGTTTTATATAATACATTCCGCCCCTCTTTCTCAGCCATTTTCCCTAACCTAGCTGCTACATAAGAGTACACAAAGCCATACCCAACTCCCACACTTAGAGCAATCAACCATCCCCCCTCCTCACATCTTAATATCAAAACTCGTCCCACACCCACAACTACTCGTCGCCAACGGATTATCCGCAATCCTAAACTGGCTCCCAATCAACTCCGTCGTAAAGTCCACCTTACTCCCATTCAACAACTCCAGACTCGGCCCATCCATCACCACCTTCGCCCCCTTCTCCCCTTCAAACAACGTATCGTCCTCATCCAACGCAGGCGCGTTCTTGTCGTTCGCTACCGCGTCCTCGATGGCCACGGGTTGCGAGGTTGAGGAGTCGATCGCGGGGACGTTGGTTAGTGACATTTGGTATTGGAAGCCGTGGCACCCGCCCGATTCGACGGTGATGCGCAGGGCGAGGCGGGGGTTTTGGTCGCGGGCTATGATTTGGCTGAGGCGCTGGGGTGTGTTAGTATGCCTTGTTGATCTTGTTCCCTGCTGTCTATGCTAAGGGTAGGTTGGTGCTGGGGCAGGAACTTACGTTCGCTGCTCGAGGTGTGATTTCAATGGTCATATCATTCCCATCGTCATCTTTCCGCGGATTGTAGATGGCGGTCGTTGCGCGCAGTGCTGACGCCGTGAAGGGGCGCGAGCTAGAAAGCTTCGAGAGCGAGCGCGGTGCTTGTCGCGCAATGCTGCGCGGGGCGACTGTAGGTATGCTTGGGAGGAGGAAGTCGAGCATTGGAGGGGCGCCGCGTTGGTGAGCAAGCTGGAAGACGGTTCGTGCTGCAGGTGCCGACGCCGTGGCTGTTGTGCAGCGCCGTAGTGACATTTTCGGTAGGATGTGTGTCGCCATTGTGTGCGAGTATAGGGAGTGGAGAGGTGCAGGTGAGGGTTGGAGCTTCGCTGGTTGGTGAAGGGTCTCGATGGGCTGCTTTCGGGTTCCTGGGAGCTGGAGATGGTCGTATCTGAGCTAAAATGCGGGTGTCGGGCGAGGCTGTCCGAAAGTCGGTAAGGCTAGGGAAATTTATTCGTAATCAGGTTCGTGAGATACGCTCATGAGAATTGTAAGACTAACCAGGTTCTGGACAGGGTTAGCACAAATACTCGTGATACTCATGAGTATGAGTACAATAATTTATACTCACGAGTATACTAATGAGTACTAGGTCACGTGTAAATCACGTGACCTTTAATTTAAAGAGCTTTATTAGTATAAAAAAATGTTATATATTAAAGCTAACGTGGTTGTACACCAAGTCGATCATGACACCGAGTCGATTACTTTTCCTACTACCTTTTGACTTTAACACACGTTTTCTCCACAACCACAAATGGAATTTCAAACCTAAGAAGCTCGAATCGTTCTAGCTATCGAAGCTATTCATTCAAACTTAGTCGTCGCTCTGCTGCCAAAATCTACAAAGTCCCGTACGTGACACTATCTAATAGAATGGCCAGCTGAACACCTTATGCTAAAAGCCAATTGTTATAAATTAACTAAACTAGAATAGTGTCATGACACTCCTTCAATATTTGTGTCATGACCCTTCGATTCGCTTTAGTCTCTAGTACTTATTTCACTATGTCATTCACTTCACCTGCTTCGTTCACTTCGCTCACTTCGCTTCACTTGCTGGCCTAGATCAGCCCAAATGTTGACTACTGGCTTAGGCTCTCTTGTTATTGGCTCGCTTCACTAGGGCTCGCTTAGCTAGGGTTCAGTTAAGTAGTGCCTTCACCTTTTTGGCACTAGTGTAAGGATGCCTGTCCCTCAGTGACGGAAAGGATCTGAGTCGGGCAGGTTACGGTCACATGATAAGAGTAAAGGCAGGTTAGCCGAGTCGGACCCGTTTCGGGTACTTGAGGAGATTGACCCAATGGGGGTTCCTCTCCCTCAGTGACGGAAGGTATCTGAGTCAGATAAATCACAGTCACGTGGTGAGGGTGAAGGCAGGTTAGCCGAGTCAGACCCGTTTCGGGTACTTAAGGAGATTGACCCAACGGGGGTTCCTCTCTTCATCTTTTTTGTATCCTTCATAGTAGACCTATAGGATAGCATCCATGTAATGGTGGGTGCACCAGATGTGAGAATCTAGCCACCCAAGGAAGGGATGAATTTACTAAGACAACACACTGTCTTAGAAAACAGAGCCAAAGGGTCGTAGCTTAGACTATTCCACAACGCAGCAATTGTCATACTGACATTCGTTGCACTCAGTTTGCTATCAAACTCAAGAGCAAACTTAGAAATCTCCTCCTCAAACCTACAAGTCACCATACATATCTTGGCTTATCACACCAACAACAGAAGCAATACTACTCAACGATTGCTGCAAACTCTTCTACTACATCTGTTTATGCTACTGTAACGCTGACTTCTAAACGATAGAAGACACAGAGGTTCTCTTGCGTAAAGGTTTACTTATCAGAGGAGGCAGGGGATCAGACACAAAGGCTTCAAGTAACACGTTACTAGTATATAACAAATACTGTATTGAGTTGAGCACGAAGCTCCTATCTAAGGAAATACTATCTACTTATATAGTGGCGTCGTGCCTAGTGGACTCTTGGGAACTCACTTGAGTCCTCGGAGTCCTGGACTCTTAGGACTCTTCTCATCATCCTGCGAGTCCATCACGTGCCTAGTGGACTCCTGGGAGCTCACTCGAGTCCTCGGAGTCCTGGACTCTTAGGACTCTTCTCATCATCCTGCGAGTCCATCACGTGATACTTTCGGAACTACTATTCCCCGCTGCCCCTCCAGGTACCAGGGCCGGTCTCATGCGACCTCCCTCCTTCCTGTCCTGTAGTTGGCCAGCCTTCTTGTTCCGTCGTAACACTCGCTCCCTTCCCCTGGGCATTCGTCTCGAATCCTATAAGTACGTCCATGTCCCCGGGACTCTGCTGCTCCTCAGCGAGTCCTTCAACATGCAACATGCCTACTGACACTGCCCGCAAACTCCAGGAACGCAACGATCTTGTCCGTCGAATAAAGAACCACGGATACGAACTACCCGAAATGGATTCTTGCTCGAACTGCGTGAGGCGAAACGTTACTTGCGTGTCGTCTCCAAATGATTCACGGCGGTGCGCCGAGTGCGTTCGTCGCAACTTGAAAGAAAAGTGTGACTGTATGGGTCCTGAGCATCCCGACTGGGTGAAGCTCGAACGGGAGGAGGATCGCCTGGATCGCGAAGAGGAAGAAACCCTTTCGAAGTTACTTCGTCTGCGGAAGCAGAAACGCCTCATCCGAACCCGTGGTAAAGATATGCTCCGGTGAGGTTTGAAAACCCTCGACGAGCTTGATGCGGCAGAGGAGGCCGAACGTGTGGCTGCTGAGAAGCGTGACGCTGTTGAGGCCGAGGAACAGGCAGTTAGCGCTGCCTCCTCATCTGTGACCGGGACCTCCGCTTCCTCCGATCCACTGGCCTACTCCCCTGCATCTTGGGATCAATGGCTGGCGGATGGCGGCGTCGATATTCCTCCAGCAGTTCTTTGCTGATGTTCCTTGTTGGTTCCCACGAATTATCCGTAGGTTCGTAATTTTCCCATTTTATCAAAAACTCTTCTCGACGTCCTACTAACCTTCTGTCTAGGATCGCTTCGACCTCATATTCGATTATCTCATTCTCGGGTTGGAGTTCGGTGTCGGTCGCAATTGGGGTATTTCCTCTTGCTGGTTCCAGTAGTGAGACATGAAATACCGGGTGTAGTCTAGACTTCCTGGGTAGCTGCAGTCTGTAATTAACTGAGCTGACTTTGTTCAATATTTTGAATGGTCCCAATTTCTTGAAGTCCAACTTTGTGCTTGGTCGTTTCGTTTTGATATGTTTCCGGAGTAGGTATACTTTATCCCCCTCCTTGAAGGCAGGTTCCATACTGCGCTTCTTGTTTGCGTATGCGGCGGATCGTTCATTTAAGAATTGGATGTCCGTCGCAAGTTGTTCGTGGAACGATTTCAGTTGTTCCACCACGATCAGGGCTTGTTCAGCTCGTGATTCATCCGGTCTTGGTTGCCTATATGCTTCTGGCTGGTAGCCATAATTGGCAAAGAACGGTGAGACTTTCGTTGCTTCTGTCATCGCGCTGTTATATGCAAACTGTGCGATGGGTAAGATCTGAACCCAGTTATCCTGTTGATGATTGACATAGCTTCGCAGGTACTGTTCAAGGGTCTGATTTAATCTTTCTGTTTGGCCGTCTGTCTGGGGATGAAAAGCTGTTGATAGCTTATGATTTGTTCCCAGTAGCGCCATCAATGATTTCCAGAATTTCGAAGTAAAGAGCTTGTCTCTATCTGAGATGATTTCTTCTGGCATCCCATGATCGGCTAATATGACTCGAATGAAGGTATATGCGAGCGCCTCGGCGTCGCTAGCTTCTAGATATGGTATAAACTTCCCATATTTCGTGAGTCTTTCCGTGATGACGAGGATAGAGTCGTATTCTATTCCTGTTAACGGGTCCTTGGAGGGTGGAAGCTTGACTATGAAGTCCAAAGCTATTGATTTCCACGCTCCTTTTGGTACTGGTGTCGACTTGAGTTGTCCGTATGGCAGGTGCCTATTGGATTTTGACTTGCTGCAAATGTCGCACTCTCTTACCACTGTCTCTACCTGCTTCCTCATACCTGGGAAGTAGTAGTGTCGGGTGATTCGTTCGAAGGTTCGTGTTACTCCCTGATGACCGTGTGCTGGTAACGAGTGTTGTTCTTGCACCAGCGGGCGTCTCATTTGACTTGGGACATACACTAACCCTTTGTATCGAATCAATCCTTGTTCGTCGATGGCGAAGTCGCCTTCGACTTTGGACAAGACTCGCTTGGCGCATTCGTCTGTTGCGTAAGCTTTCTTGAGTCTTTCCTCGAGTTCTGTATCTTCGATGACTGAGATCGTCGCTAGTAACTCGTTGTACTGTATTCCTGCATCTGTTTTCTTCAGAATTGCTCTAGGTCTTTCTTCCTTTGGGCCGGCGTAGTCGGTCCGTCTGCTGAGAGCATCTGCTCTTGCATTCTCGGAGCCCTTGCGATAGGTTATCGTGAAGTTGTAGGCTGCGAGGGTTTCTGCCCAGCAGACTTGTCTGCGGTTTAAAACCTTGGTCGTGGTGAAATATATGAGGTTCTTGTGATCCGTCCATACCTGCACAGGGTAGGTGGATCCCTCAAGATATACTCGCCACTGCTCAAAGGCAACGACAATAGCCAGTAGCTCCTTGTCGTGGATGTCGTAATTGAGTTCCGCGGGTGACAGTTTCCTAGAGTAGTACGCGATTGGTTTGAACTTACCGTTCTCGTCTGGTTGATTCAGACATGCTCCAATTGCGAAGTCAGAAGAGTCCGTTTCGAGGATGATCTTCTTTGCAGGGTCAAATGTAGCAAGGATAGGTGCTTCCGTGAACTTCGTCTTAAGTTCCTGGAAAGCAGCCTCTGCCTTGTCCGTCCATTTGAATTCGAGATCCTTTCTGGTAAGCTCCGTGAGTGGTTGAGCTACCTTGGAATATCCCGAGATGAATCTTCGGTAGAAGTTGGCGAAGCCTAGGAAGGCTTGCACTTCCTTGACCGTGGTCGGTGTTGGCCATTCCAACACTGCCGTTACTTTTGCTTGGTCCATCTTGATGCCGTGCGTTCCAATAATGTAACCCAAGAATTCGACTTGGTTTTTATGGAACTCGCACTTCTCTGGTTTGAGGAGTAAGCTGTACTCCTTTAGTTTCTTCAGGACGAGTTTGACATGCTTGACATGCTCCTCCTTGGTTGCTGAATACACCAGGACATCGTCTAAGTAGACAATGGTAAAGATGTCTAAGTATTCGTGCAAAGCATCATTCATCAGTCGTTGCATAGATGCGGGTGCGTTTGTTAGCCCAAAGGGCATGACTTGATACTCGAATAGGCCATAGCGGGTGCGGAATGCTGTTTTCCACTCTTCCCCAGCCTTGATTCGGATCAGGTTGTATGCTCCTCGCAGATCTAGCTTACTGAAGATCTTTGCTCCTTGAAATCTATCGTGTAGTTCGTTGATTAACGGCAGGGCATACCTGTCCTTGATTGTGATGTTGTTCAACGCTCGATAGTCCACACATAACCGTAGGGATCCGTCTTTCTTTGGTA